GGATTGGTGGTTTTGACAACACATTAAGAGATGAAAAAGTGGCTTGTCCTATCAACCAATTGAGAAAGTGATATCCCTGTCTTGTAGTTTTGATTGGCTGGAGTCCATCTCTGAATCGATAATGAGTCATGCATTTTATCCTGTGGCTTTACAATTGCGGTCCTTGGAGGGTTTCTTCCCTATCCACTAGTGTTGCCTTCATGACACTACACAGTGTTACTTAATATTGTTCTGTATCACTGTTAAGCATATCTTTGTGCATATACCACAGTTGTTGAATGCATAGTGTGAGATAGGATAGGTTTATGTATTTGTAAATTTACTATAAATTGTATTTTTATATACTTATCCTGTCTCACACATGCTACATGTCCACCCATACATCCCCACATCACAATTCCTATAGCCTATTTGCTCTAGAAAGAGAATGGGGAAACCATTTGTTCACAGGTGTATTTCAACGGCATGGAAAGTGTGCATGAGGGGGCCACAGTGATGCTAGATGTGTATACCATGGTGGTGTGTGTGCCCTAATCTGACACGCTGTTGGTAGGTCCTGTATACCATGGGGGTGTGTGCCCTAATCTGACACGCTGTTGGTAGGTCCTGTATACCATGGGGGTGTTTGCCCTAATCTGACACGCTGTTGGTAGGTCCTGTATACCATGGTGGTGTGTGCCCTAATCTGACACGCTGTTGGAAGGTCCTGTATACCATGGGGGTGTTTGCCCTAATCTGACACGCTGTTGGTAGGTCCTGTATACCATGGTGGTGTGTGCCTTAATCTGACACGCTGTTGGTAGGTCATGTATACCATGGGGGTGTTTGCCCTAATCTGACACGCTGTTGGAAGGTCCTGTATACCATGGGGGTGTTTGCCCTAATCTGACACGCTGTTGGTAGGTCCTGTATACCATGGTGGTGTGTGCCCTAATCTGACACGCAGTTGGTAGGTCCTGTATACCATGGTGGTGTTTGCCCTAATCTGACACGCTGTTGGTAGGTCCTGTATACCATGGTGGTGTGTGCCCTAATCTGACACGCTGTTGGTAGGTCATGTATACCATGGGGGTGTGTGCCCTAATCTGACACACTGTTGGTAGGTCATGTATACCATGGGGGTGTTTGCCCTAATCTGACACGCTGTTGGAAGGTCCTGTATACCATGGGGGTGTTTGCCCTAATCTGACACGCTGTTGGTAGGTCCTGTATACCATGGTGGTGTGTGCCCTAATCTGACACACAGTTGGTAGGTCCTGTATACCATGGTGGTGTTTGCCCTAATCTGACACGCTGTTGGTAGGTCCTGTATACCATGGTGGTGTGTGCCCTAATCTGACACGCTGTTGGTAGGTCCTGTATACCATGGTGGTGTGTGTGCCCTAATCTGACACGCTGTTGGTAGGTCCTGTATACCATGGTGGTGTGTGCCTTAATCTGACACGCTGTTGGTAGGTCCTGTATACCATGGTGGTGTGTGTGCCCTAATCTGACACGCTGTTGGTAGGTCCTGTATACCATGGGGGTGTTTGCCCTAATCTGACACGCTGTTGGTAGGTCCTGTATACCATGGTGGTGTGTGTGCCCTAATCTGACACGCTGTTGGTAGGTCCTGTATACCATGGTGGTGTGTGCCCTAATCTGACACGCTGTTGGTAGGTCCTGTATACCATGGTGGTATGTGCCCTAATCTGACACGCTGTTGGTAGGTCCTGTATACCATGGTGGTGTGTGCCCTAATCTGACACACTGTTGGAAGGTCCCTTTATACCATGGTGGTGTGTGCCCTAATCTGACACGCTGTTGGTAGGTCCTGTATACCATGGTGGTGTGTGCCTTAATCTAACACACCGTTGGTAGGTCATGTATACCATGGTGGTGTGTGCAGAAGGTAACCACACTCATATATTTACGTCATGTGTTACTCTTTTCTTCCAGCATTTGGGGCAGACACCTTTTAGATGCTTCATTGATTTTAACCTCAACTTCTTACAACTTCATTTCAGGTGGTTTTTTGTTACTGTAAACAGAAAAAAATTGAAATCAACTGATGAAGCCAAATCTGTGAAGATGCTGGAACTTTGATGGGTTGTTGATAAGTTCTTAGCCTCACATAGAAGGTATTGGGTAACAGTCAAATCTGTTGGTGTGGACATCACATGATGTCATAGATGTATAGCCACAACAACTGTAGATAATTGAGCAAATTGTTTAGCTGTGACAAGTGTAAGAAGGGTTTTTATTACCTTCAGAAAATGGATAATCTTTAGGAACTTGCATTCATCAATTACTTACAGAAAAAGGGCTTAACAAAAAAAGTCATCCATGAAGATATAAGTACAACACAATGGAAGGATGCCCCCCTCAGTGCCACCCTAGAGAGGTGGGCAGCAGAGTTTAGTACGACAGCAAGAGTCTTAAAGACAGCCACCATCCTAGAAGGCCTGTCACATCAGCAACACCAGAAAGGATCCAGAGAATTCAAGATATGGCAACGTCATATTGCTAATTCAGTCGGCATTTCCCAGGAGAAAGTACATTCCATTATCACAGAAACTTTAGCAATGAAGAAAGTATCTGCTTGTTGGGTTCCAAACTTCTGACATCTGTCAAAATAGCACCAGGAACAACATTTTATCATGATAATCTAGCTGTGTATGAAGCTGATCCAGAAAGGTTCTTGCAACAATTTGTGACTATGGATGAAACCTGTGTTTACCACTTCCAGGCTGAGTCCAACCAACACAGTGGAAGCATCTCATCACCATTACCAAAGAAGGCAAGGACTGTCCCATCACCTATAACGGTTATGGCCTCCATATTCACGGATGCCCATCATGGTGGACAATTTTCAATAAGTTCAGACAATAATTGGAGCATATTATGATGTACTTTTGAGTCAATTACTGAATGAACTTAGGACTACAAGATGTGTGACCTGAGAAAATGTGTGCTACAATCCATGAGTGTGGCTTTGAACTCATTCAGGACCCATCTTATTCTCTTGATCTGACCCTATCAGACTTCCATCTGTTCCCAAACATGACGAAAGTTCCAGCTGGAACCCACTTCAACTTGAACAATGATGTCATAGCAGCTGTGGAGAGCCGTTTTGGACAGCCACGAAAAGGACTTCTACAAAACTGGGATAGAATCCTTCCAACAACATCGGCCAAAGTGTATCCATGTGAAAGGGAGCAAGCAATATTTATATCTATAGGTCCTCTTAATATGACGCTTGACACTTAATAATCATCAGTCTTGTATCATGGTTAAGCTAAAATGACACCACGAAAGAAATGCACCATCACCTCCCCCAAAATGGCACAATATCTACTATCTTGTTTTAATTAAATAAAAGATTGTGTAATTTCACATACTTTTCTTTAGGCCTTTTGAATTTATGAAATAATTTTCAATTTAACATTTTTGGCCCAAAGTTCAATGTTGTTGGTAGAAAATATTAATGTTTCAACTTCCAAATTAACTTACTATTAATGAATGAAAAACAAACAAGTTTAAACTTGGGACACCATTTAGTGTTGGTACTTGATGGTTTGACACTAGTCTCAGAAGCTTCCACTATCATTGTATTGACTCTCAGATACTTGCACATACAGTTGAGGGAACATCAACCAGTGCCGGGGCGGTCGGGTAGCCTAGTGGTTAAGCGTTCGCTCGTCACGCCGAAGACCCGGGTTCGATTCCCGACATGGGTACAATGTGTGAAGCTCATTTCTGGTGTCCCCCGCCGTGATATTGCTGGAATATTGCTAAAAGCGGCGTAAAACCATACTCACTCACTCACTCAACCAGTGCCTTCATCAGGATGTTGATTGTTGACTTCAGAGGTTGTGTCAGGAGCCTTCAGTTTTACTTTTATCCTCCAGGCAGCTGTAAACTATATTGCTTACACCTACCTTGTATAACACCCTCTGAACCTATTTCAGACAGCTTACTTATCAACGTATCCTGTGTGTTTGTGACTTGGGTAGTGTACACCCCAACCCTTCTTCACATTCCTGGATGTGCCTAGACACGTAACATTAATTGGTCCATTCAAAACAATATGTCAACATTTCAGGCTGTCAGCTGCCACCAAAATAATATTCTAATAAGAGCCCCCTATTTCTCATTTTGAGAGCGCCCTGGGCGCTTATTACGTTGAATACGGTATGTGCTTATTTGCATAACATTTGATAATATTTTTAGTTTTTGTGAAATAAATTCATCTGTGCATAGTACAAAAAAATGGTAAAACACTTGTTTTGCCTGTTCTTCCTTCTGTATCTTAAAACAATGATCGGCTGTATTTTCATGATTATGGTGCCATTTTCACCAATATGTCGTGCTGTTTTGGCAAGCTTAAATGAAGCCTGAAAAGATTCAGGTGAGCGACAAAGGCTTCTGTTTTAGGTACAGGATAAGTCTTCTGTATCTCTTTGATCATAACCATAAATTATCCAAATTTAGGCCTACTTTGGATTAAAATAACCACAATAAAGTGAAAACCTAGATTTAGGTCGTATAGTTTCAGTAACACAAAAATGTTGACGGTTCTTGTCATACACTACAGATGGGGCCTAATGCTATAATATTTCACCAAGGGATTTATCATCGATATTCATCTCTCAGGAACCAATTCATTTCATAATTGAGTACGCATCTATGAGTAAACAAACAACGTTCATTTATAGCCTTTGAACGTGCCGCGGAAATTCACCTCACAAACAAATCAGCCAATGAAATGTCTGGAGCATTACGCACGCGATTAGCATCACGACGACGAAGTGCACCTTCCGTTCGATGCTGACACTGACTACCCACGGGAAAATGACGATATTCATATCCTGATCGACACCTGCCTTCGGTCTTTTTGAAGTTATAAGGTATATAGCCATACACATCACCCGGAAACATTCTAAAACGCCCGTCATTCTTGAGAGTTACTCCCCCAAGGTTTCTAAGCAATCTCCAGACTTGGAGGTCGTTTTACATCGAAACTGAGTTTTTCACCTCCATCGTGAAAGATCTTGAGAGCTCTTCATTCGGAAACACAGTCTTTCGTCAGCTCATGAATGTCGTAGCTCTGAGTGTTTGTTGGGCAATATAATTCTTTGTTTACCATGCTAATTGTTTGACATTGGTCCCCGTCCCTTCCCGTGGCTTTGAATGATGAAACGAAGTACAAATATGGCGGTCGCTGATGTTAATAATGACCTAAATTCAGTAAATATGGCAGAACTGTCAGTTTCATCGCAGCAGTCGGCATCGAGAACAACAGGTGCTTGATCCAGTCCTCAGTATCACACGACATGTATATAAACATAAATGTGTGTGTGCGTGGAGCACTTTGCACAACGTTTGGAAGTAACTTCATTATGTGGATGTAACAATACAATCAGACATTTTATATATTTTTTGCTGGATATTATCTACTGCCCTCCGACCAGTTATCACCATTATTTCTGCGATTTGGAAATGACCTACTGTATGACTAACTTTTATTTTTATATGAGCATATGAGAAAAATGTACAAACAGGGAATCACAACAGTGTAGGCTATGTGTATCAATTGTCTAGTCGTCTGAACATTATGTGATCATGCGCACCTCTTCAGTTATGAATAACATTTATTTGATATTTGATATCACATTCACATATTGTATTTATTATAATGAATCAGTTGTGAATTTTGCCAGTGGATGCAAACCAATATTTAAGAATAAAATATTTCCACATGATAATCTATAACACTATATACTCTGCATTTTGCGACATATACATGTTGATCACTATTTGTGTTCACGTGCTCCCCCTGGATGGCTTTTCTGAAAGGTGTATTGGAGCAAGGTGTATTTGTGTGTATTTGGTAACAATTTTGCTCATTATTTTTGGATAAATATTCTCCCTTCTATTTGCAAGCCAAACTGAAACAGGTGGCCGTCTGTCACATACATGCTACAACAGGATGTTGGTGATAATTAGTCTCAGCAATAACTGGTCGCTATACCCAGCAGTTACATAACCGATATGAGACAAACTAGAAAATTGTGATTATGTGTGCGTAGGTGTAAACTCAATTTGCTCTGGGTTATTTTTCTCTGTATAAATGGTATATGTGCAGACTATACTACATCATACATCATGCTCAGTTGGTTACTGAAAATGGTGTGTGTTTGTGTGTGTTTTCGCCACAAGACAGTTCTTTGCATGTGAATGATTTTGTGTGATTCATGTATGCCCAATTTGTTCACCAGCTGTGACCAGTGGTAAACTTCCATTCTGTACAAAGAGTATGTTTTTGTGGCTTACATCGACTATGGGAGCAGTTCAAAGTTTCATATCTCATCAATCGTAATTCCATTAGCATGTTTCAGTTTTAAACAAATAAAATTAGGGGTGGAGTTTTTTGTGTTTGAACAAATGTGAAAAAGTAGTAAAGTTGACATAAAACATTTTCACAATAATATTTTTAGGGGTCAGAGGATGTCACTTTAATAATGTTCTTGTTGATCTGTTTGAACTACAGGTTTTCACTTTTGTGGTCTTTTTGTTTAAAAAATTATAACTTATTGTGGAATGGCAAGTGAAGTGGGTTTGTTTTGTATTCATCTCTTAGCTTCAGATCGACGTTGCATTTAACTCGCCAAAAAACTGACCCACATAAAAGAACTTCATGTTCCAAGATTCCTTCTGATACTGTAATGTAAGCAAATGCAAATATCCTAGTTGAAACTACTGATATTAGTTGTGTGGGATGAACTTGAGTTAATATACAAATCAATAAACAATATCACATCTATCTGGAGCCATAGATGATAGAAATAAAGAGTGCTTTTCATTGTCTTTTCCCCTAGTAACCATGGTAACATTGTATTTCTAATATGTATTCCAGTTGAGTCAGTTTCAAAACTTGCAACACTGATCATGTGTCCTTTTTACAAACCAAAGTCCAGTCATTTTGCTATTACAGATTCTCATGCCTTCAACAAGGAGCAGTTCGCCACGGGTTGTGGATGACAAGAAAAGAACTCGTGCTCAAACTGAGCAGTCAGACAATGTTCAAAAGGCAAAACAGAGGAAAATGGACACCACACAATCCACAAGATGCAGGACCTCATTAGCAACTAAAAGAACAAGGTCTACTGCTTCAGACACAGATCCCAAACATGACAAAGAAAAGAAAAAGCCTGAGGATGCTTCCTCTGAAGAACTTGTAGTGAAGAGAAGTCGAGGTCGTCCCAGGAGACAAGAGTCTCCTGCCATCACTGCAAAGATCCAAGATGAAGAGCCAGAAGGAGATAATGCTGCAGGAAATAAGAGGGCAGAGAAGCACAAAAACCTGATTGAGGTGGAGAAGAGGACCGAAAAGCACAAAAACCTGATTGAGGTGGAGAAGAGGACCGAGAAGCACAAAGACCTGAGTGAGATGGAGAAGATTGTGAAGGAGGACAGCAGGCATGATGCTGATCGAGACTTGAAGAAGAGTCCAGGAAAAGAGATGACAGAGGAGTCTGGTCAAGATGGGACACAGAAAAGTACAAATTTCCATGCCACAGTAACCAAGTCTCCTGTTGCAAGGAAGAGAGGCAGAAAGCTAGCAATGGCTAAACTGACCGCACCAGCTGAGGCTCACTCAACTCAGACGATGTCACATTCGGAGGATCCTGCATCAGAGAAGTCATCCAAGAGGCAGAAGAGTGACAAGCATGATGAATCTAAACTAAGCAAGATCTCCACGGCGATTCAGCGTGATGTCAGGACATCTGGGGAGGGGAGTACTGCAGGTCTGTTGTCACCAAGAAGAAGTGGACGGGGAATGGTGCCCAACTCTCGCTTCAAGGACATGCATCTCTTCTCAACTGGAAGGAAGCATCAGACTTCATCTAGTATAAAGGGTATGTATATCAGTGACTTTGCTAAAGGCAAATTTAATTGGATATTTTCATGATTTGTGCAAATTGTAATCCGACATTCTTCTATGTTAGTACCAAAATTGAAATATATCTTCAGGACAATTTTCATGACAGAGTCCCAGAAAATGAACCGATCTGAAACCATGATACCTACTTTACAAAAACATGTGTGTTCTAGATGTTGATATTAACTTGACATTCTTATATCTGCACATGTGATCCATGAACACGAAGCCATGGTAACTGAGAAGCAAAGTCTACCTAAGACATGTTAGAGATATTGGTATTTGTTTTGTTCTGTTCTTCACACAGTAATTGGCTGCTCTTCCAAATGGTGTGTTTGTATCATGAAGCTATCATATATTTACTTCTGTTTTTGTTTTTCGCTTCAGTTGACACAAATAAACAGAAAAATCAAGGTAGCAGCACTAAAACTGCTGAGCATGACATCCCAGCAAGGAAGAAGTGCAAGTCAGAGGACAGCAAGCTGAATATGGACATTGAGCAAGTTACGTCTGAACCAAAGTCAAAGGAAAAGCCAAAGTTGACACCATTTTCCAGTGGAGCTTCTTTGGCCATGGCCCAAGCCAAGGTTCAACAGCAGACAGAGGCCAAAACAAAGGCAGCAGATAAGTTCAGGTATGTCTTGTTTTATGGTAGTACTGATGAAATGTGTACTACTAGTCTACCATGGATTACAGAGCACTAGCTAGATGATTGTTTGGATCTCTTGTCCTACACAAAGGGTCCACAATCAGTGTTCGAAATAAAAAAATTTGCAAGGCTGCCATTAGGACCCTCAGTTTTTAGAACCTGCAGGACCTGACTAAGTTCTTCAGGCCCTCATTTAACAAACTGCAGCTTATCGTGACAAATAAATTGATATGTAAATTTACTGCAGGCCATAAGGACCCATACAAATTTGCAACTACGGGCCGACACGGAATCTACCTGCCACAGGCCTACGAGCAGGTTGTTATTTCAAACGCTGTCCACACTCTATTAATCTAATTGATGTATTAGACAAGGTCCAGTTATGACAGATTTCATTATTCCACTGCGTTATTTTTTGTCATTATTGTTTATTTCAGCATCAAAGAAATCCCTGAAGGGCTAGAGGTGACTGGTAGAGATGGCATCCCTGTGGTAGTATCAGCTGAGAACATAGTGCGAGTGCCTTTTCCAGACACATCAACAAAGATAGACACCATAGCTTCTGCAAGCACTGTTGTGGTTGTGCCAAAGATAAACTCACAAGAGACCAGTTCAGAGTTAGAGGTTTTAGACAATGTGCAATCCAAGTCAGTCATAAAGACCCCCACATCAGGATCAACTGTGTTAGAGGCTTCAGACAATATACAGGCCAAGTCAGTCACACAGACCCCCACATCAGGATCAACTGTGTTAGAGGCTTCAGACAGTGTGCAAACTAAGTCAGTCAAACAGACCACCAAATCAGGATCAACTGTGTTAGTTGCCTTGGACAATGCGCAAGACAGTTCAGAGACACCCTCAAATATTGTAGTGGCAACTACACATGACTCTGTAGATAGTAGAGTTCACCAGGCCAATCATTCAGTGAGTGAGAGTGGTGAATTGTCTCCCCTGACTGTTTCTGATGTGTGTGTGATGGAGGAGGTGATTGAGGCAGATGTGATCTCTACAAACACTAAGCCTCCCCCTCTGTCACACAACCACAGCAGAGGAGATCGTACTGACACGACGGCTCCAGTCACGTCGCTGGAGCAGGGTCAGACAAATGTAGGGGGACCTTGTCTCGGGGTTGACATTGTTGCCACTACACCTGGCCAGTCAACAGAGTCAGACATCACCACAAGACGGGTGTTAGACACCACCACAACACAGGATTCCGACAGCACAGCTGATGCTGTACAGCCAGGTACCTCCCTGTTACTTGTGTTTCTTAGCACTTTCCTGAATGAGAAGTATCGGTACTATCACATAAGCAAACAATAAGATGGAGATTAGGTGGATACTTAGGGGAAATTGTTTCAGTGTGTTATGGCAAACGCCAGATATTGTCATGGATTTCTTTGGTTGTCGCATGTTTGACCCAGGGGCTAATATTCAATAATAGCTTTGATTAATTGCTTTTCAGTCCAAATTTGTGTTTTAAAGTTTCACAATTTAGGGTTAAGAAATGTATATTTCTTGCCGCAAGACAATATTAACCCCCAGAATATTTATTAGTTCTGACTTCTATTTATTCTTTAGGGGCGGTCGGGTAGCCTAGTGGTTAAAGCGTTCGCTCGTCACGCCAAAGACCCGGGTTCGATTCCCGACATGGGTACAATGTGTGAAGCCCATTTCTGGTGTCCCCCGCCGTGATATTGCTGGAATATTGCTAAAAGCGGCGTAAAACCAAACTCACTCACTCACTATTTATTATTTAACTCATGGTGTGTAGGAATGGTGATTTTTATTGGATGCATGCAGGATTCATATGTCCTGTTGTTCACTGTGACAAGCAATGGTTTGAAACGTGTTGTCTACTGCAGATGTGGACCAGCACCTGGGAAACAGTGATGACAAGATGTCAGCCAGTGAACTGACCGCCAGCAACAAGTCCGAGAGGGCCGACAAGAACAAGACACTTCCTAACCAGTTCCTCAAGGATGGTTCCTCCTTGACACCGGCCAAACCCGGGTATATCATCTCGCCGGCAAGGAGGAACTCCTCTGTGGTGAAGATTGTCACCCTGTCCTCCATGTTGGAGGGTAACAGCAGCAGGGCTGTGGAGAAGGATGAGAAGGAGCCAGGGACATGCGAGAAACTGACCGATTCAGAAACATTGGAGTGCTTGACAAGTGAATCATCTTCTGTCCAGGACACAGAAGCACGACCAACTGGAGTGGACATGATCCTGGAAGGCAGTAAGACTGTTGATGCAGCTGATACGGCCTCCAGTTCAGAGTCTGACGACACACCAGACTCGCAGGCTGATGATTCCAAGTTCTCCTCGGCTTCAACCCAAACACCAATAGACAGACAGGCAAAGATCATAACACCAACTATTTACAAGCCATTGCCGGCACCCACCTTGAGGACTATTTCTGTCAACCTGGGCAAGCATGAGCTACAGGAAGGCGAGGTGGGGTACGAGAGCCCAGGGCCAGGGGGCAAAGCCAAGAGTGAGGAGTATATCCTGGTGGAACTGCCAGAGGGAGCTACTATACAACAGAGATATGTCAAAAGTCGCACCAGGATTGATGTGTGTACACAAAATTGATTTTAGACTAAACTATTGGATTGTTACATTTATTGGTGTTTTGATGAAAGATGTCAAACATTTTAAAACAATTTTACCTTCTTTTTTTTAACATGATAGAGATATGTAAAATTGTTTTTGTGTAATATTCTGGCTTTTTCAGGCCTATAAATTGATGTTTGTTTGTTTGTTGTTTAACGCCACACTCAGCAATATTCCAGCTATATGATTGCAGTCTGTAAATAATCGAGTCTGGACCAGATAATCCAGTGATTGATATCATGAGCATAGATCCATGCAATTGGCATACGATTACATGCATCCTGTTAGTCGCCTCATAAGCACAAGCACAGTCGCCTTTTACGGCAAGCATGGGTTGCTGAAGACCTTTTCTTCCCCGGATCTTCATGTGTTCTAAAATTGATAGAAATTATGTTGTTTTTTTCTTTTTTCTTTTTTTCTTCTAAAATTGATGTAAATCATGTTTATAATATTTTGTTGTCAATCATGTAGTACTGTGCATTGTTTCAGGACTCCATGTTCCTGTCAAGCGAGTCAATGTCCCAGGGAGTGTATCACTGCACGCTGTGTAATTACAAGACAAGCAAGAAACCAAACTGGTACAAACACAAGAAAAAACACCTCGGTAGGTCGACTTACTCAAAGATCAGTCAAAGGGTCACACATGAGCTCTTAAGTAAATCTACTACTAATAACTGAATTGAGAAGCCTTTGATATGTAGCTGTTTGTATTGTGCTGCAGGTCTGAGAGAGTACGCCTGTACCCAGTGTGAGTACCGGGCAGCGACTAGTAGCAACTTGAAGAGACACATGGCCATACATGAAGACCTGAGGGCTTTCTCCTGCCTCAAGTGTAGCCTCACCTTCAGACAGAAGATACACCTGGAGAGACATATCAAGTATAAGCACGAGGTACACAGCGATTTGCATGTCAGCAGCTCTTCATAAACATATTATTAAGGATTTAGCAGGAGCAAACCATGAATACTTACTCAGATGGAAACAGCTGAGGACCGGAGAGTGGAAGGGCGGTGGTTTGATTACCGATCTGCATCATACCAAAAGAGGGTTAAAAAATTGTACTTGTTAAGTGCCTGGTGCAGTATGCTGTGGGGTAGGCATGGTATGAAGGACGTTAGTCTAGACTAGTACAAGCACTTACACACGCATACACACCTGTCACTGTAGTCTTGAACATGATGTTTAACCCCATTTCACCTGTTGAACTGGGTTGTTGGTTGTGAAAAACTCTTATCAAACGGTAAACTATTGACTCTTAATATATCGTCCTGTAGAAATCAATGTCAATGCTTAATCACACACAGACCCTTCAGCTTGATTTCATGGGGACCGTTAGCTAGCACAGTTAGAATGTTAGTGTGTTGATCACAGTGCTAGTTATGCTTCTGTTGCTTAATGTCCTAGCTGGAATGTGACTACATGCATGCTATACCTCTGTCTGACTTGTATTTCAGGAGAAGCAGATCAAGTGTCCCTTCTGTGACTACATGCATGCTATACCTCTGTCTGACCTGTATTTCAGGAGAAGCAGATCAAGTGTCCCTTCTGTGGCTACATGCATGCTATACCTCTGTCTGACCTGTATTTCAGGAGAAGCAGATCAAGTGTCCCTTCTGTGGCTACATGCGTGCTATACCTCTGTCTGACTTGTATTTCAGGAGAAGCAGATCAAGTGTCCCTTCTGTGACTACATGCGTGCTATACCTCTGTCTGACGTGTATTTCAGGAGAAGCAGATCAAGTGTCCCTTCTGTGGCTACATGTGTGCTATACCTCTGTCTGACTTGTATTTCAGGAGAAGCAGATCAAGTGTCCCTTCTGTGACTACATGCGTGCTATACCTCTGTCTGACTTGTATTTCAGGAGAAGCAGATCAAGTGTCCCTTCTGTGGCTACATGTGTGCTATACCTCTGTCTGACATGTATTTCAGGAGAAGCAGATCAAGTGTCCCTTCTGTGACTACATGTGTGCCAATGAAAACCCAGACCTGAAAGTCCACATCAAACGGAAACACCTGCCAGGGGACTCGCCAGATGGCACAATAAATGCCTTCGCCTGTGAGGAGTGCAACTTGATGACTGTCAGCAAACGAGATCTCAAACAGCACATGAAGTTCCACCGGAAGGGCCCCGAGTTGAAACTGTTTTGTGAACATTGTAGTTTTGTTACCGACTGTGAAAGTCGGTTACGTAGACATGTACTTATTCATACGAAGGAGAAGCCCTATCAGTGTGGGCTTTGTCTGTATCGGGGGTCACAAAAGGAACACGTTCTACGCCACATGCGCTCACAGCATAACATTGACGTGTTACGAAGACGTCGTAAGCCTCTTCCAAATGAAATCACTCCTGTTGAGGGTAGTCAGGTTGCTATGAAAGATATATCCAAGCTTATAGATCGAACTGATTACAGTACTAAGGATAAAATATTCGCATGTAATCACTGCACTATGAAATTTTCAAAATTGATCAACTTGTATAAGCATTTGCACACTCAACACAGAAACATTATGCCATCTGAGCGTGAAGATGACTTTTCTTGTGTGGTGTGTGACTTCCATACAAATACGAAGAAGAACTTGCTGGTTCACATGCGTAAACATAATATGACTGACCACACCCCTCCATCCCACCTGTACTCTTGTGTACTGTGTCGCTACACCAACCCTAAACGCCGGAACCTCTTCCAGCACATGCGTAAGAAGCACCATATCGAGATCGTCATGAAGGATGATGGCTCAACAAGCTGTTTTGTCACAGACACATCCAATATCAGAGAAGATGTGGATCAGAATGTTCTTACTGTCGGTGATGTTGTAACAGCAACAACTGCAGATACAGACTCGCAGGATGATCCAACTGGTGTCCAAGGTGTTATATCCCTGGAGGATTTGGCAACTATAGTGACCCCTGAACCTAACCAAGATGGCAACCTGATCATTGATGCTGGTCAGCTTCACAACATCTCCCTCAACTCCCTTGTCCAGCAGCATGAAGCTGCAGAGGCCATTGAGGGACTCCAGGCCCTAGCAGGGCAAATCAACCTGGCAGATAGTGTCATCGAGGAGGTCCAGGTCATGGATGACCCTGGGCTTGACCCTATCACCATGGAGACAACAGTGGAGACTAGTAAGGATGCTGAGGAGAAGTCAAGCATCCAGCTGTCAGCAGAGCAGCTGCTGCATCTGAGTAGTGGGGACTTTGTGGAGATAAATGGTGAGATGTACAAGGTGGAGATTACGGCAGAGGACAGTGCTACAGCTACACCGACCTCCCTCAGGGCTATGGCGGCAGAGGCAGACAGCTCACATTGTCAAGAAACATCATAGGAGGAACACGTCTAAATTCTAATTACTATTTATTTCACAGTATTGATTAAAAACTGTTTTGGGATGTCTTGGACTAGGGTACAAGTTCTATCTCTCGTGCCAAAACAGCACCACAAGGATGTGGACAAGTAAATTAGAATGTATTCTGTCCAAATACCAGTGTAGATATTTCAACTGAATCAAGAGAAGCTTTAATCTACTTGTACCTGGTATTTCCACACATAAGAATGGGCAAACTGTCCTGGAAGTTTGCTAAGCCTACATCATGTTTAGTCAAAATTGAGTGGATAGCGTTCTATGAGTGTGGGGGCTAGGTCTTGTCATTGTCCTAGGATGTGATAGCCTTGATTAAAACAGCACAAATTTATCTTGCTGGTCAATGTGAAGTTGTCAGCTTTTTTGTATACTGAATACATGTAAATACCTTATTGTACAGGTGTTTTGGTGTTGTTCTCTCCTTGAAATTGCATGTTCTATGAACCAATTACAGATTAACCACACTTTTGTAAATATGCTGTTATTGTCCGCAGTACAAACATGTACAGCTTGAAAATGAATGAAGAGATATTAAAACCAATCATTTCCAGAACAGAAATAGTTTGTTCGCTGTGTACATATTGCAAGTGTTGACCGTATGCCTTACGATGTTCAGGAATAATTTAGCAGCTCCATGTAAGGCTTGTTTCCTGACCTATAAATAGATTACCTTGAAGGTCAAGGCCACTCATTGTGGATATTCGCCTCTTGCTGCAGACCTATTCTAACCCGGACCTTCACTAGTCAGGTTCATAATTTACAATCCTATATACTCTAAGTGGACATGACCGCTAAGGTGGGGGTCTCAATCTTATCGCCATATGAGGTTGATGTGAAATTATGGAACGGTTCAAATTTCATGAAATATCAGATTGTCAAAGTTTTTTGCAATCAATTGAGATGAACTCAAAGTAACTAACTCATCTGTCATAATTGTTTCAAATGTCATATCGCATGTAATGACTTGTAAATAGTTTCCTGCATGGTATAGAAATTTCTTAATAGTAACACAAGTAGTAATGTTTTCGAATGTGATTGGATGTTTTTGAAGTTCAAGGTCATTCCGTGGGAAGTAGACCTTCCAAAAAGCTTGTGTAGACATCATCTTGAGCATTCATGGATGAGATTCAAGGTCATTTAAACCGGAAGTGCTTACAACTTTATTATTAAGATCGCATAGGACTACAATGCCACATGTTTTCCCACACTGGAAGTGATGTTAATAAATCATAACTCAAGGTAGCTACAGGCACAGGCTTTCCCTTATTTTGCATGTTTGAGGTCAACTGTCACCTGATGTGGTCAAGTCAAAATGCTTCACCGTACATTCCTGATGGGGATAGTTTGGGGGCATTCACTAAATGGTAGGGTTGTTTCTGTTGTAGCATGTAAATCAAACACCCATAGTTTAATCTAAACTAATCAATATTTGTTGAAACTTATTTTTCTGAATATATACACATACACAAAAGTTAAGCGCCACCCACCATATTTGTGAGCTGTTACTTTTGGCACTTAATGATGACTATTATAACGAGATGTACGATTGTTATAAGCCGTATATGTAAGCCTCATGTGATGCAAAAGTTGTCCCAAAGCAAGTTTATCTTGTGTTCCAAAAGAATACGAGCAGAAAGGAATTTTACTGAATACCAGAAATTGTAGGATAAGAAAACATTGAAAATTTTCTTTTTTAAATGTTACTGTCATGATATCAACAGACCATATCAGGTGTCACATAGACACCCTAGGGATTGCAGAGTCTATTGCAAGACAGAAACGTCAGTAACGTGTGTATGATCCAGGGACATTGACCACAGCTCCAACCCTTTGCCTCATACTCATTACAAACGGATCAATTCTTCATGAAGTGCGGCTTCAAGTCCAGCGAGATTTTGTACTGGGGGATCACGATGTCGGATTTTCCGGCCAAGAATGTCCCAGAGATGCTCAATCGAATTAAGATCCGGACTACAGGCTGGCCAAGGGAGAGTGGCAATAGCTTCTTGACGCAAATAAGCCAAAACTGCCCGAGAATTTTTTGGTCTAGCATTGTCTTCCATGTAAACAGGTCTTGTCTGAAGAGGATGGTTGTCAAAATGAGGGACTACCACTGGACGAAGAACGCCATCTTGGTATTGTTGGCCATTCAGGTTTCCACGAATTGTCACCAGCGGAAGTTTGCAGCCAAAGGAAATACAACCCCATATCATGGCAGACCCCCGCCACATGGTAAGGTCTTCTGGATGTTCCTTGGTGCAAAACGAGTGTTACGTTGCCTCCAAACACATATTCGACCATCAACAGTTCGTAGCAGCATTCGACACTCGTCAAGACCAATGGATCCTTCTCCAGTTGGCCAAGTTCCATCGACTACGGGCACGACACCATATCAGTTGATTCTGCATGTGCCTCTCAGTCAGTTGAGGACATTTTACTGGTCTTCTGGCGTTATAACCAGCCACTCTGTGGCGACGCATTACGGTCATCGTCGAGAGTCTTTGATTGGTAATCCACTGCAGTCTTAAATCTGTTGAAGTGGAAAATGGATTTCGTCTGACTATCCTGAAAAGACATCTATCCTCTCTGTTAGAGGTCTTTCTTGGCCTACCAGACCTATGCCTGTCATTGACATCAATGGTTCGACCATGTTTGACAATCAAACGAGTGATAACACTGTGATGACGACCCATTTGTCTTGCAATGGCCCTGCATGACATGCCCAAATTTTTCATGCCTATCACTTGCCATCTTTCAGCGTTCGTTAACTTTCTCCTCACCATGGCTGATTTTCAACCTCTATTGGAAGGGGAATCTCAAACAGGAGCAAAATGCAACGTGTCTGAAACTTGAATTTCACTATTTATAAGGTAGGGGAACTGCAGCAACACGTAAAGCACGCTTTCCTTCTGGTATCTGGACAAATTTGGGTTCATGAAACTATGGAAGCCTAATTCAGTCATACATCATCATATTTCGTATTTCTGATTCCCACACGTGAAATCAAGAGACTATGAATATGGTCGCGCTTAACTTTTGTGCATGTGTGTATTTAAAATATCTGATAATGAAATATAGGCATAGTGCATACTTGTTACATGTATCTGGAAACCAATCTGTGATCAGGTCAATGCTGTGAACACCGACCTGTCATGAGGGAGTGTTCATACAATGCACCATTGTATGAGCCCTACTTGTATATGGCCAGTTGATGAAAGATAAAACTGACACACTGGAGAAGATATGTTTATTGTGTTTACGAAGACGCAGAGCACCAGCAGCATCAACAGCTGCAGTGAGTGAGTCAGGATATTATAGCGCTCTTGTTAACCTGAACTGGCAGGATCAAAAAACATATTCTTAGAATGAATGAAATATACCTGTGAAGTCCTTGTGACTGAGGCCTCGCTGGTAATAACTGAGGATGCAACAGTTTAATCAGTGCTGTGTTACAGAAGCTGTGCAAGGAACAATGGCACTTGAAATAATCCTCTGCTTCAACACAATACAAAGTTTTTCTGAAGGAAGAAAGCTGCCATCTCAGTGTAAAGTATTAATGGTTCTACAGAAGAAACAATAAACCAAACACTAAATATACCGGAAATAATCAGTCATTTCATGTAAACTCACTTCATCCTACATTTACCAGGTAAAATATGGCTGTCATTCATAGCCTATGTGGGTGGAGTCTGGCAGGACCCTCCCTCTAAAGATGCTGCAGCATAGGTGTACAATGTATTATATGTGTGACATCAACACAGAATGTAATGATTCAACGAGCGGGACATTCACAAGGGAATATTACATTCCACTTGGCACTGACTGGTTAAAGCATTACACCAGGAGTGTTGGACATACAAATATAGACAGATGTTTTGTATCTTTCATATCCATAAATTCAAAATACTAAATTCCTCCAAACTCTGTTTCCAATATCAGATACTTTACACTAATGTCTTGAGTAGTTTCCCCACTAATGAAGACTATGTCCACTGTTTTGAGGAAACAGCTACATAAACGCTGTCAGTTTTTACGGGCTATCCTATTCTTTGATAAGGAATGTCTTGCCTCCCAACTTCAAATGAAACATCACACCACCCAAAACAAACTATTCAGTTATAGTGTTGGGAATAGAATATTACCTAGAAACACAAGACAAATCCAAGCTTTCCTTTTCCTTCACCGTCAGTAGTTGATGTACTCAGTAGTGCTCACATCATGCTGACGACATCTTGCACTTACGTTTTCATCCCTAGCATGGACATCTTGCCAGTGTGACAAGCAAGGGAAAACATTATGTTTCCTGCAAGTTTGGAATGGATCCTTGCCTGAACATTTCACTGTGGGATTTCAATTATATTGATGTGTAATGGTCACTAAATGTGATTTTAGCACTTGTCTTTCATCACTGGAATGTAGGGGATAACTTGAGGAAACTATGTAACACGTCCTCTCCTCCACACAACCATAATGTATTATGTACATTAGCAACATTTATAACAAATGATCAAAATAAGACTATATACATTGACAATAATGGTAGATTAACAGAATGAAATCTATGGTAGGATCACTGGGTAAACATCAGGTGAAAGTAGGATGTTTGATTATGTCAGGATCATGTGTTGGGAGATCTGCTTATGGGGGCACATAGGCAATTCCGATGAATTGAGTGAAGCCTTATTGTGTTGGTGCTCTGTCACTGACCATACCGGCACACAGAACTGGGTGGCTTCCAGTCTTCAAGTACGCAATGTAACATGTTCCCTTCCCTTCCCTTGCAAATAATATCCATCACTTCCTCAAGTGATGACTTATCCCTCAAGAAGAATTCACAAAAGGTAAAAATGACCCAATCAGCAACCATCGCCAGCTCATCAACAGTTTTAACAAATCCCAGCATCGGTCCAACTTGATTTCATAAAATTGATAAAAAAGGAAAATGCAAAAACAACCCCTAAATGGTAAAGTCACCTCTTATTAAGCACCTCTTTCAAAGTGGTTTAAAGAGATACACAGTGTTTTGGAGTAGTGTTCCGTTAACAAATGACCACACACAGACATGTTGATCCATGCGTCAGCTGACATTACATGCCAGGGGAGATAATACCCCAGTAATCATTCATTCCACAACAAACAATTTGATGACATGGGCAGTCTAGCTGTCAATGTATGCCATGCCATGCTCTGAAAGTTGTACAGGGAAAGACTGTACCAGACATAGCAAACAGAGTTCAGTAACAATCACATGGTCGCTTGAGCTGCTAACCAGGCAACTGAGATCGGTGTGAAGTAACAATGGTTAGAAGTACTTGTTTACTTCTTGTTCTAATCTGGTATATACATGTGTATGTTAATGTTAAATCACTGACATCAGTTGGTCCAAAACATAGCATGTAAAGATTAACAGCAAAACATTGTATAAACATGTTAACTACAATATGTAGATTTCCATAAATCATTAATAATTCAATACTCGATATAAAACAAAAAAATGTAAATGTTCTCATTTATCAAATCTATATCAGTGAAATCAGTACTTGTGTGTGAGTCCGAGAAGTGATTAGGTCACTTAGTATATACATACCACATATCACAACATCATCAGCAAAAATACAGGATCAATACAACTCACACAGAGAATTCATTAATTGATCTTCCCCCATAATCAATAGGTGTTCCATGCCGGCTTAGCGAATATATTCTCGCCCTATTCTATTATGACAAACATCCTGGACTCATTCACCATCTCGTATATTTCCAACTTGGCACAGAGTTTCGCTACACCTACAAAATACTTACTACCTACGTGCAATGTTTGTTTGTTACTGATTTTATGATAGGGAGAGAGAGCTAAAAATATGCAGAAAAAATTACTCTGCTTCCTTTCATATCTTTTCTTATGATTAAACCTCTAAACTGAATATCAAAGGAATTCATAAACATTGGACATTAACACAGCAATATTACTAAAAGAAACAGCAGTTCCACAAAGGAGTGTAGCAATCTCATCAGTGACATTCATTGACAGTGACAGTGACAATGGTGGCAGGAAAACTTAGTAACCGTTACTAGGGAAGGAGCTTGTGTGCCTTGGACACAACTTCTCTTGTTCATGAGCTTGAAGTTAACAACCAATCAATCTCTTCTGAATAAGAGTTCCGCATTAACCTCCATCTACATTCAAAATTGAGGACTTGTCCGAGTGAGTGCTTGATGTATATAATCCAATCAGAAGACAATGTTTACCTGAGTATTGAGACGGGAGGGAGGTGGGAGGGAGTCCTTATGCTACCAGGTGAGCTGAGTACAGCTGATATAGTCGCTTGCTTTGCTTTGTAAAGAACAGTGTAATTTGACTGAACATCCACTCTCAGCATTGAGTCAATCGAGGCACAGTGAAGATATGGTGGCAAATGGGTCCATGTTATTTATCCATTCGTCACCACTCGCCCCTTTCCGTAACCTGCAAGAAGACTCGTCCCCCTATCGATGAGTGTTATGTGCGAAAATACGACAAACCAATCAGAATGCGCGTTTGCTTTCAAGTTGTTCGTCAAAGAATCCCTCAGAAATAATTTTTGATTTGACATATGTCTTGCATCTAAAAATATACCCAAGACACAGTTTAATGTGTTCAATCATACCGTATCATTCTGCATGTCCAGATGTGCTTTAAATTGTATCTGAAATATATATAATATATGGGGAAATTTATGTGAACCATTACGCAACGAGTTGACAATTGTTTTAGGTATGCCCGTTTGCGCTAAGACGCAACCTGGTCGCAAAAATGGCTATTAGAGGGACATGAGTCGCTATTCGGCTTGTCCTGGAATAACACGAGTTGGTCACGAATGGTTATTTATCATAACAGAATGGAACTGTACACAGGAAAATCAAGGCAGCAGGTCTTCATGTTTTTCCATTTCCTTATACAGTATAGTGAGTGAGTTGGGTTTTAATGCCGCTTTGAACAGTATAATAACACTATAGTATCACACTGCTGCGACATAACACTTCACAAGATGCAATTGTTTTGGCCATGCCTTAGAGTTCCTGGAAATTTCTCAAAATTATCCTTCATTACCATATTTACAGAAGTATGGAACATTTTGTCACTTGATTTTCTAAAAATGGAATCATACATGATGTACTAGTCTGAAACTAGTGTGATGATAGGATGAATGAATTGAAAGATGTCATCTTATCATTGTTGGGGTGAGGGCTGCTTGTCTGCTGCACCTGCTGCTTGTCTGCCCTGGGCAGCCTGCTGGTTGGACTGGGGTGAGGGCTGCTTGTCTGCTGCACCTGCTGATTGTCTGCCCTGGGCAGCCTGCTGGTTGGACTGGGGTGAGGGCTGCTTGTCTGCTGCACCTGCTGATTGTCTGCCCTGGGCAGCCTGCTGGTTGGCCTGGGGTGAGGGCTGCTTGTCTGCTGCACCTGCTGACTGTCTGCCCTGGGCAGCCTGCTGGTTGGACTGGGGTGAGGGCTGCTTGTCTGCTGCACCTGCTGATTGTCTGCCCTGGGCAGCCTGCTGGTTGGACTGGGGTGAGGGCTGCTTGTCTGCTGCACCTGCTGAATGTCGGTCCTGGGCAGCCTGCTGGTTGGCCTGGGGTGAGGGCTGCTTGTCTGCTGCACCTGCTGATTGTCTGCCCTGGGCAGCCTGCTGGTTGGCCTGGGGTGAGGGCTGCTTGTCTGCTGCACCTGCTGATTGTCTGCCCTGGACAGCCTGCTGGTTGGCCTGGGGTGAGGGCTGCTTGTCTGCTGCACCTGCAGATTGTCTGCCCTGGGCAGCCTGCTGGTTGGCCTGGGGTGAGGGCTGCTTGTCTGCTGCGGCCTGTGCCTTCTGTGCGGCCATCTGTTGTCTGATCTGCTGTATCTTTCTGCGGACGATGTTGAGATGTTGTTTGATGTAGTCCTCCTCGGGGGCGAGGTTGTGGGCATGGACCAGGCACTTCTCTGCCTTCAGCAGGTCGCCCTGCTCCACATACACAACACACAGGTTGTGGTTGCCCTGAACGTGTTTCGGATCCAGGGCCAGCACTGCCTCAAAGTTCTGTCAGAAGGAAACATAACGTGTGATGCATTTCATACTGAAGCTAATTGAACACACCCTAATTTAAATCTGAATTTTCAGGTTTGTGTGTTGAAGCACATTTCCTGAGTTGATATACTGTATTATTGGTAATTTTAGATAATCTAAATATTTTTTACATTTGTATACTCATCCTGCATTACTCCGTATTGCATTTACTGCTGTCTTTTGACAGAGAGACGAACTGTGTGAGATCCAGCTGCTGAAGAAAAGTTGTTCCAACCAGTAGAGGCAGCACCCTCACACAGTCAGCATGTGACCCGGAAGTCATGACGTCACATCAAAACACATAACTGCTTTAAATATAACATCTGAAACTTCATGGGGAGGCAGCGTAGCGGAGGGAGGTCACTTAGACTTCGTAATGCAGGATAAGTATACAAATGTAAAAAATATTTTAACTTATCCTGCATTACTCTGTATTGCATCTTTATCAGACGGCATAGCCGGTGGCATACCTTCAGATGTGATCCATAATAAACCCTCATCAAGGTCCGATGAATCCCCACCGCATACAAGTGATGACCGGAACATCTACGACCATTCCTGTCTTCAGCCAAAAACTAGAACTTACCTAACAGCGAATGCGAAACGCAGGAGAGCCCTCTAGTCTGGGGTGATAAACACCAGAGAGTTCGATGGGCCTGGGTTGGGGTATCGAAGAATCAGCGGCGCCGGGGTCAACATCCCAAGAGCAAATGCATAATGCAGGAGAGCCCTCTAGTCTGGGGTGATAAACACCACAGAGTTCGAAGGGTATCGAAGAATCAGCGGCGCCGGCGTCAACATCCCAAGAGCGAATGCGGAATGCAGGAGAGTCCTCTAGCTGGGGTGATAAACACCAGACAGGTTGACGGGCCCCACTTAGAGTATCGGAGAATCAGTAGCGTCAACATCCCTAGAGCGAATGCGGAATGCAGGAGAGTCCTCTAGTCTGGGGTGATAAACACCAGGGAGGTTGATGGGCCCCACTCAGGGTATCGGAGAATCAGCGGCGTCAACATCTCGTACCATTCCTGTTGTCAAGACACGAGAGTCGATGCAAAAAGTAAAACACGAATAGGTGACAGAAATAGAACAAGCGTATAGTCGACGAAGTCATCTATATCCCCCACCATTTTAATATGTTATGTCCCCAAACGAGGTAACTGACCCAACATTTCTCTTTGCCCATGTCAAAACAGCTGCAATGGAAATTCTAAAATAAAAATTTCTAAAAACTCCTTAATATCAAATGGCACCAGTTCTGTTCAGTATGTGCTTTATATATAGACATGCAATGTTTGGCAAGGAAATAATTCTGGAAATAATGCCCAGTAATACAAATTTCTAAAATTCATAAGTAGCAAAAGGCAACAATTCAGCATGTGTCTGATAGATGTGGAAAATTTCATCCAGAATCGAGCCCTACCCTTATTGTTTTCTAAGTCCAACTTGTTGCCATGGATACGTAAAAAAATACAAATTTCTAAAAGTGCTAAATATCAAAAGGCACCAGTTCACTATGTGTCTGGTAAACATGAAAAATTTTGTTAGAAAGTATTGAATGGGTTTTCAGTTATGCTCCGGAAACAAACTCTACCCTATAGAACCTAAGTCCAACTTGTTGCCAGGGAAACATAAAAAATAAAGTTTCTAGAATTCCTAAATAGCAAAAGGCACCAGTTCAGTATGTGCCTGGTAGACATGCAAAGTTTAGTAGAGAAATATTTAACGGTTTCTGAGTGATGCTCCAGAAACGATTTCGGGATGCACACACACACGCACGCAGGCACGCACACACACACACACGCACGCAGGCACGCACACACACACACACACATACACACACGGACAGACAACAGAACCCATTTCTATATCCCACGCCAACATCGTTGGGCGGGGGATAATGAGGCGGGTAGCCAAAAACTAGAACTGATCCAAGAGCGAATGTGGAACGCAGTTGAGCCCTCTAGTCGGGGGTGATTAACACAAGATAGATCAAGGGGCCCCGTTCGGGATATCGGAGAATCATTGGCGTCGAGGAATGGTGACCTGTTGGTCTACAACCATGGAACCAAAACTGTGAACACCGGCGACATCTTCCAAGGCTACATCACGGAGGTAGTGACTGGCGAAGACGGTTTCAGATCGCCAAGAACAGCCTTTTTGATTGACTGGATGGAACAGTTACTGTGAAGAGCCATGGTAAATGCAATCACCCTGATCTTGTGTTGATAGTGGGTTGATAGCCTTGGGGGAGGGTCCATTCTGGCAGCTTTATAAGCTTGGAGAATGAAATGGTATTCTAGCTGACATCTGACTGCGACGAAGGGGAGACCGGCAGGAAAAGGAGTTTCCTAGACTTGCGGTAGATCGTCTTTAGATCGTTGTATGAAACCTTCAGTGCCCTTACTGGGCATAATAAAGCTCCTCCTCCTCCTCCTCAGCACCCACAATGGACGGGGGGAAGGGAGGAGGTAGTGAATGATCTATCAGGCTCAGGCTGTCCTGGGCATGGATTCTTTACAATGAAGTCATAGCACAGCCCAAGATGAACGGCGCCCTGAGTAAGGCATTTGAACCGGAGACGTCGCGAAGCAGTTACCAAAGCTAGTAGAAACACCGTCTTCTTCCTTAGGTCGTACAAGGGAACCGTCTTAAGAGTGTTAAAGACCACAATCAGATCCCACATGGGCGGTCTGAACTTGGCTTTCTGGTCTTTATGATTGAACGAGCGCAGCAAGGCCTCAAGTTCAGGAGTTTTCGTCATTCTCCGATCGTCCGGGATGGCAAGAACTGAGTTGATGGCAACCAGGTATGTGGAGATGGTAGAGCCTTTCAACCAACGTGTGCTGCGCAAGTACAGGAGGAACTCAGCAAGGAACTGTGGTGACACTGTCATCGGATCCTGGTGTTTGTCTGAGCAGAATGCCTGGAACGCTCACCATTTATCATCATACAGTCCCCGTCTAACCGAATAGCCCTTGGCTCATAGGGCTTTCTGCAGATGTGCCAGGCGTGCAGGCGAAACCGTGCAGGTTTTTAGGTGTGGCAACCAAATGTGTCGGGGGAGCAGAAGGTTGGACCATGCCGGAAGTTCAAAAGGGTTGTCTCTGTGGATGTTGCATAGGTCTACAAACCAACTTCTGGCCGGCCACCAAGGCGCAACCAAAATCAGTGTCAGGTGCCTAGTGGCCGCGATCTATGAAGAACCGTTGGAGGGAGAACCAGAGGCAGAGAAGCGTACGCGCGTAATCCTTCCCAGGGAACATTGAAGGCGTCGACTGCCACAGCGCCCGGTTCTGGCACCGGTGAAATATAATTAGACAGCTGGCAGTTCTGAGATGTGGCGAACAGATCAATATTTGGGGTGTCAATCGTTTGACGAGTCTGGCGAAGACCTCTGGGTTGAGCTCTCAACCTGATGAGTGCTAAACGAGAAAGTACAGGTCAAGGGGGAAGACCACCAAGTCGAAGAAGCTGAAGGTCTGGTTTAGCAGGGATGGAGAGTGGAGAGTACCCTGGTTCCTCAAACACCACACCATGGTGGTGTTGTCCATGGACATGATCAACAGGGCGTGACTGAGAATGCTTTGCCAGCAAGTGACGTCCAGGATAAGCGCTTTTATCTTGAGGCTGTTGCTGTGCCAATGGAACAGGGGTCTCTGATATGTCCCGTTGAGACGATAGTGGAAAGGTGTGCTCACCTGTGAACCAAACCCCATGTAGACGAAAAAACCCGCTCCACAATCGACCGCCAAGGCATCGACGTAACCAGTAAGTCGGAAGTCAGAGCATTGTCGACTGAGGAAATCTGTAAACCTGTGGTTCAGGTAGATCACACCGTACTGCAGGAGGTAATGTAATCGTTTCTATCCCCTGAGTGTCGTTTAAGCGCTCACATTCTAGACAACACAATGCTAGGCAAGTAGTCAACAGGGGTCGAAGGAACGGTCGTTGGAAGAATTAGAACATTTACGCTGTATCTGGTAGCCAAGGCTGAAGATACAAAAGAGTCCTAGTCAGAAAGATCAAACCATACGAAGTAAGGCGACCTTTTCCACCCCTTGAATGCCGAATAAGCGCTATTGTTCTTATAGTGAGGGGACGATGAAACGTGGTGCCTCGCGACTGCCATGTTGGGAGCGGAGGTCTATCGTTTCCATCCTCTGTACATGGAAGGACTGAGACAGGCATCTGGTAAACATGCAAACCAATCTGTAGAAATACACTGCTCCCCATAGGTCAGTTGACCTAATTCCTGTCGGAGATGTTTACAGTCGGTGAACTTGACACGTGACATGTAAATACACATGTAAATGAGGTGCAATCTCTACACACAGACAATCCTCAATGAACTGTATGGTAGACATACAAGTGGTGTAAGAGTTTTCGGAAAAACTGCAGGAGCACCGGGAGTGCCGAGGAGCGTCGTGGAGGAGCTTCTTTGAGGAACGCCGGCGTTGGTGCCGGGGATGTCAACGAAGAAGACAGTGGATGTCGTCGTCGGATGGCGGGGCCAGTGCAGAGCGATATGATACACCGTGATATGAGAGACCGGTCAATGATGATCCCGAGAAGTGGGTACCCGGTAGCCTATGACGAAGGGGTCAAACAGGCTTAATGAGCCTGAACAGTGAAGATCTGCCAGTTCTGACACGGATGCTGTCCACCAGAAGCTCTTTTTCGATGGAAACCTAGCACGTATCGACCAAGAGGCACGTAGAAGACTTTGAAGAGATGGCTTCCAATGAACATGTGAGCTCCTTCAGCCTCATCCAAGGAGTGAACCTGTAGGTCATCTCTCCTAAAGCATGGCGCTCTAAACGCCGGGGTTAAGGAGAATGTCACAAAACAAAACCTCGTCCAGACAGCCAGTGGGCAAGTTGAATCTTTGAATCGCAAGTTGATAGTCACGATCCTGATGACTGTGTGAGGGTGCAGCCTCTACTAATTGGAACAACTTTTCTTCAGCAGCTGGATCTCAGTTCGTCTCTCTGTCAAAAGACAGCAGTAAATGCAATACGGGGTAATGCAGGAAAAGTTAAACAATTAACAGTTATAACATACAGTACAGTAAGAAGACAGCTACAAGAGTTTCAGTGTAGCCATGATAAGGGGCAAATACTATCAACTGAAACATAATGAATTACAAGGAGCAGGAGGGGGAATAACAGCATATAACACTTACTCCCATGTATAGTCTGGAAGGTAACTCAAAAGGGTGCACGGGAATCACGCACGCACAAATACGGTGTTAGAGTTGGGCGTCTCAACGTGCGTGATTCCCTTGCACTCTTATGAGTTGAGTTGTTTGGTTCAACTGTGTCATATGGCCCTGTGACACAGGGGTAGCATTATGCAGATGGCTGTTACAATGAATGCCCGTTCCGCCCGTGACGAACAGGTCTTGTTGTTGATGAAATATAGTGATAGCTAAATAGACAGATTTTTTATTCATGCACCGATTGTCTTTAAATGTAATATCCAGTTATGTATGACTGTTTAATAATCTCATACCAACTTTGACTGGCCTAGGTCCGATAGTTTTTCAGATATTGTAGTAAATGTCGGTACCTTAAATTACCTTCCAGACTTTAAAATGAAAATGCTCCATGTCAACAGGCTGAGTCAGAATTGGTCATATTTGGTTTCTTCAAAGCGATCAATCATAGATTATAATCAGTTGTTACCATAATTTATTCAGTAATTCAAAGTACATATTTTTAGAATAATTTTGAAAATTCAATATTGAAAATACTAAATCGTAGATTGGTTGGATATCGATGATGAATGTGTTTATGTGTAGTCATTTTACACATCATATTGATGTTAAAGATTTGAGATGCCAACTCCATATGAAATAGCATTCTCCACACTCCATTCTGGATGCCTACAAGGGAGAACTGCACTGGACCACGGTAGCTGCTCAATGATTGCTACTAATTGTTTGGGGCAAGTTCGTACCTGCTGTGCTGCATTGAGGTCCTTGACATAGTTGACATTCAGGTCCCCCGTCAGGATCAGCCCCTTGATGTGGTCCGGCTTATACTGGGGAGGTAAAAGTCACAAGGTAAAACAAACACTGATGAACAGCAATGTCGATAAACACTTTGGATGCCCCATAATATTTCAATCCTCATTTTAGCAAGGATCTATACCTCACCAACTGCTCTACAGTTGTCTTCAGTACAACCCATCTGAGCAGATCAAGCATGTAAAATGTGTCCAAGTTGAAGGGACCTACGTCAATACTTTGAGTTATCAGAGGTTCAACACAACTGAAAATGATGAACATTGAAGGAATGTGCAGGGACCAAGCTTTTACTTCGAAGCAACGGTAAGTTTGACACATCAAAGTTCAACACACCAGTGTTTGACTGTATAAGCACACGCAACTGGAGAGTTCGAACATTACTTATTCCCACGGAAGTAAAAAGAATAATGGTTAAACTTAAACAAGAGAACACATAACACCATCACTGAATACATGAGACTATGTAGTACAACCTTGCTTAGAGAGCACCTGGAGGTTTTACCTTCAGTGAGATAGAGGTAACCTAGCTTAGCTTGGGTGAAGTATGTATGTATTACAGACGTTCTGTCAGGGCTAACTCTCACCTGTAGGAGTGTCCGGAGATAGAGGAGAGCATCACCTGGTCGGTTCATGTCATTCACCAGCATCAGGGCCATGTTAAACAGAGCGCTCGGGAAGTTCTCCCTAAGCTGTCAACATAACAATACATCAGGGCCATGTTAAACAGAGCGCTCGGGAAGTTCTCCCTAAGCTGTCAACATAACAATACATCAGGGCCATGTTAAACAGAGCGCTCGGGAAGTTCTCCCTAATCTGTCAACATAACAATACATCAGGGCCATGTTAAACAGAGCGCTCGGGAGGTTCTCCCTAATCTGTCAACATAACAATACATCAGGGCCATGTTAAACAGAGCGCTCGGGAGGTTCTCCCTAATCTGTCAACATAACAATACATCAGGGCCATGTTAAACAGAGCACTCGGGAGGTTCTCCCTTATCTGTCAACATAACAATACATCAGGGCCATGTTAAACAGAGCGCTCGGGAAGTTCTCCCTAATCTGTCAACATAACAATACATCAGGGCCATGTTAAACAGAGCGCTCGGGAGGTTCTCCCTAATCTGTCAACATAACAATACATCAGGGCCATGTTAAACAGAGCGCTCGGGAGGTTCTCCCTTATCTGTCAACATAACAATACATCAGGGCCATGTTAAACAGAGCGCTCGGGAAGTTCAGGTCACACAATACCAGGTCCTCTGTCACACAATATCAGGTTCAATCTGACATAACATCAGGTCTACTGTCACATAATCACAATTCCACTGTCACACCATCACAATTCCACTGTCGTACAATCTTAATTCCACTGTCGTACAATCACAATTCCACTGTCACGCAATCACACAATCACAATTCCACTGTCTCATAAATCACAATTCTACTGTCACATAATCACAATTCCACTGTCACATAATCACAATTCCACTGTCACATAATCACAATTCCACTGTCACACAATCTCAATTCCACTGTCACACAATCACAATTCCACTGTCACATAATCACAATTCCACTGTCACATAATCACAATTCCACTGTCACACAATCACAATTCTACTGTCACACAATCACAATTCTACTGTCACACAATCACAATTCTACTGTCACATAATCACAATTCTACTGTCACACAATCTCAATTCCACTGTCACACAATCACAATTCCACTGTCACATAATCACAATTCTACTGTTACACAATCTCAATTCCACTGTCACATAATCACAATTCCACTGTCACACAATCACAATTCCACTGACACAATCACAATTCCACTGTCACACAATCACAATTCCACTGTCACATAATCACAATTCCACTGTCACATAATCACAATTCCACTGTCACATAATCAAAATTCTACTGTCACACAATCACAATTCTACTGTCACATAATCACAATTCCACTGTCACACAATCACAATTCCACTGTCACATAATCACAATTCTACTGTCACACAATCACAATTCTACTGTCACATAATCACAATTCCACTGTCACACAATCACAGTTCCACTGTCACACAATCACAATTCCACTGTCACATAATCACAATTCCACTGTCACATAATCACAATTCCACTGTCACACAATCACAATTCCACTGTCACATAATCACAATTCTACTGTCACACAATCACAATTCCACTGTCACACAATCACAATTCCACCGTCACATAATCACAATTCCACTGTCACACAATCACAATTCCACTGTCACATAGTCACAATTCCACTGTCACATAATCACAATTCCACTGTCACACAATCACAATTCCACTGTCACATAATCACAATTCCACTATCCAACAATCACAATTCCACTGTCACATAATCTCAGGTTCACTTCCACACAATCTCAGACCTACTGTCAAACAATCTCTAAGCCACGTTCACATAAAATCAGGTCCACTGTCAAATAATCCAGGTCCACGGTCAAATAATCTCAGGTCCACTGTTCATAATCTCAGGGTCACTGTCATGTAAACTCAAACCTTCAAATGAAGATAAAGATAAACATGTAAGAGACATTTCCTTCAGAATGCCCTATTAGTTGATGACTTGTTACAAATTGGACATAGGCCCTATCACTCCTTTGCTACGTCCCTTCCTAGGTCTGTAATGCTACAGTGTGTCCTACAGCTTGCTGCAAGGCTCACCTCCAGGGCTCGTTTGAAGTATTTCTCTGCCGCTATAAAGTCCTTGTCATCCATCGCCAGCATAGCTAGGTTAAAGTGTATCTTGGAGTCCTCTGGATCAGCGTCCAACAGCTTCTTCAACCTGCAGACACCAAGATCACATGGAGAGTTACCATCCATATTGAAGCAAGGTAAGAGTCTTGTTACCAAGCAGTACCAGCAGTGTTTCACCACAAACTCACCGAGTTCTTTTAGAAAGAGAAATTGCTTCTTAAGGGGTATAGTATACAGAAACTACTGATTCATCATGATAAAGAATCAATAACATCGAAATATTTTTGACATTTGTAGACTTTTCTGCATTTAATAGTCCTTAGTCCTTAATGCATTTCCTGCTGTATTTTGACTTTATTGTGTTTGCCAGGACATTTGAAAACATAAGACGCTACCAACTTGCATGTTTTAAATCTTGCCAGTTTGTTAACTTATCCTTCATTACTCTTACTACTTTTTTCACAGAAAGACAAAGCTGTGAGAGGTCCAGTTGCAGAAATAGTTGTTCCAACCAGTTGTGTGGCAATACCCTCACACACCTGCCACGTGACCCGGAAGTGGTGACGTCACATAAGAGCCCATTATTGCTTTAAATGTAACATCTGAAGACTTCTTGGGAAGGTAGCACTGCGATGGGAGGGTACTTAGATGGGAGGGTACTAAGTAATGCAGGATAAAGTTGAAAAATCAACTTCAGGAGGGTTTCTGATCGTGTCGGGTCTAAATGATACTTGGAAAATTGTGTTCATCTGCAAACCAATGCCAGATCCCATGAAGATTACATAAATGCCCTACCGAACACCAAGGCATGGTCGAGGGAAGTTGAAGCTGTATCCAGTAGACAAAGCTGAATATAAACATAAAACTTTAGTTTGAAAGTAAGGTGATCCTTTCCATCCTCTGGGCATCGTATAATCGCTCACATTCTTATATTGTGATGATGAAGGGACTTCCCATGTTGTTATCGGAGGTCAACGTAGCAGTCGTGGAAGGAATAATAAAATTGATGCTGAAGCTAGTAGATAAGGCAGAATATAAAATACTTTTGTCTGAAAGATCATACTGTACAAAGTAAGGTGATCGTTTCAATCCCCTTGGCACCATATAAGCTATTCAGTTCTTACATATAGGTGACACTGAAGGGTGTATCGTTACTCCGCATGTAGGCATCGGAGGTCTACTGAAGTTAGTGACTCGGTCACCTTGATGTAAGCGACAGGCATCTGATCGAGGGGTTGTAGCATTAAGTACAAGTAAGCATGCAGACCAATCTGTAGAAATACACTGCACAGCTAGCATTAAGTTAATTGACCTAATTCCAATAGGAGACATTAACAATCAGAAACTTCATGACACGTGACATTTAAATCACCCTGCCCAGTAACCTAGAATCCCGCATTTAGCCAGAGATGAGGTTCAAGCTCCACACACAGACAATCCTCTGTAAACTGTGTGTTGGACAGACAAGTGGTGTTCCCGAGTTCTGTGAGGAAAGTATGATGCAGTCAGTGTAGAAACAAAGTGATAGATATGATATTTGAGAGGCCTTGTCCTGACCTGTCACTGATGATCCCAAGAGGCTAAACGAGCGTGAAAAGTGATGATCTGCATGTTCTGGTACAGATGATGTCTACCAGAAGCCATGTGAACTAAGTTCAATGAGAGAACTATCGTCCTCTCCTTGGAATCGTTCACCAAAAGTTGATCGTACTCCGATGAGACAGGAAAAAAACGGGAATTTTCACAACGTCCTCACGGTCCTCCATTTTTAGGAAAGTGAAAAGTGTGTCTCAGATCTGGTTAGCTGTTGGCTTAGACGACTCCTTCATTCAGTGGAGATCCTCATCCTAGGTGTGTGTCCTGTCCACACCTCCAAAGCATGGATGGGGAAAACGTCCCCAGCGATATTGATAATATCACAAAATCTTCGTCCAGTACTGAGACCAGATCCTTTAGCTGGGTGATGGCCTGACATAACTGACATGAGCCGACCAGTCCTTATGCCGAGCGCCAGACAAGGTAACTACAAGTACCATGTGTAAACATCTTTTGGTATGACACGGCCGGGTATCAAACCCCGGACCTTCCTCTCACCGGGTGGACTTTTGACCACCAGACCACGAAATAGGGTCTTTCATCCAGTCAGGGACTTGGTTACGGCTTAGATGAGTGTCTTTCTCAGGGGAAGAGATTCGTTGTACTTAGGTACAAAAGAGCCTTCAGACGAAACCAAGTGGAAACCATATGTTTTTGCACACATTATTTGGGGTGAACTCCCGTAAGTGCAGGTATATTGAAGGCACAGGGGGCATCATGGGCGCCATATATTGTAGGTGTAGGGACATGCCAGGAGGCGCTGTGAGGTGCTGTTGTTGCTGGTTGCATGGCTGGTGCCGATGCTGCTGTTATCACCAGTGCCACTGTTGTCACCATGGGATTGCCGGGATTGCCGGTGGTGCAAGCTGGAAGGCCGGGTAAAGGTCCGAAACCTGTGGGGACTGTGTTGGAGCTCAAGTGCACTGGCGCCGGCACTGTTAAGAATTGACATCAGGGAGGTTGTCAACGCCAGGGGAGGCACCAGCGCTGGCGTGATCATGGATGTAGTCATCGGCTTCCAAGTCATCAGAGTCTGCCCCTGCAACCAAGTCTGGAGAACCGTGGGTGAAGTCATGCCCGAAGTGGAAGGTTGCTGCATCTCAGCCGTAGTAGCCTGCATATCAAAGATAGCAAGGGTAGAGGTTGTCTCTGCAGTGCCAGGCGTCTTAGGGCGTCTGAGCAGCCGCTGCGTCCGACGCTTCTTTGATACCCTCGGGTTACTTGATAAGGCTTGAGGGGGACTGCAGAAACAGCACTGAGATGTTGTCAGACAGGAAGCAGTGCAGTCTAAAAAAAATGAAAACGGGCAGGCAATTTAGAACTAAAAAACTCATTGGCTGAATGAGAACATTATGCAAGAGAAAGTGCAAACAAACATTTAAATGCCCACAGAGAGTATCGGATTATACATGAAACAATTACCAAGCAATACACAAGAATGGCTTAGAGCAACAAACTAGCAGAAATTTAAGACAAATTATGTATGGATAAGACCAAAAGTGCACAAGCCATAAACAACAACACAATAGCAAGAGAAAACAATGTATTCTCATGAACACATCTGACTGTGTTGGCTGACAAAGCAGTAATGTGCTCTTATGTGACATCACCACTTCCGGTCACCTGGCAGCTGTGTAAGGGTCCTGCCACACTACTGGTGGGAACAACTTCTTCTGCTGCTGGACCTCTCACAGCTACGTCTTTCAGTAAAAAAAAGTAGTAAGAGTAATGCAGAATAAATTAACAAACTGGCAAGATTTAAAACATGCAAGTTGGTAGCGTCTTATGTTTTCAAATGTCCTGGCAAGCACAATAAAGTCCCTGGTCTGTGTCACCCCTGTCAGTGAAGTCCCTGGTCTGTGTCACCCCTGTCAATGAAGACCTGGTCTGTGTCACCCCTGTCAGTGAAGACCCTGGTCTGTGTCACCCCTGTCAGTGAAGACCTGGTCTGTCACCCCTGTCAGTGAAGTCCCTGGTCTGTGTCATCCCTGTCAGTGAAGACCTGGTCTGTGTCACCCCTGTCAGTGAAGACCCTGGTCTGTGTCACCCCTGTCAGTGAAGACCTGGTCTGTCACCCCTGTCAGTGAAGACATCAGTCTGTGTCACCCCTGTCAGTGAAGACCCTGGTCAGTAACACCGCTGTCAGTGAAGACCCCAGTCTGTGTCACCCCTGTCAGTGAACTCCCTGGTCTGTGTCACCCCTGTCAGTGGAGACCTGGTCTGTGTCACCCCTGTCAGTGAACTCCCTGGTCTGTGTCACCCCTGTCAGTGATGGCCGGGTCTGTGTCACTCCTGTCAGTGATGACCCCAGTCTGTGTCACCCCTGTCAGTGAAGTCCCTGGTCTGTGTCACCCCTGTCAGTGGAGACCTGGTCTGTGTCATCCCTGTCAGTGATGACCCCAGTCTGTGTCACCCCTGTCAGTGAAGACCCCAGTCTGTGTCACCCCTGTCAGTGAAGACCTGGTCTGTGTCACCCCTGTCAGTGAAGTCCCTGGTCAGTATCACCCCTGTCAGTGAAGACCCCAGTCTGTGTCACCCCTGTCAGTGAAGTCCAAGGTCAGTGTCACCCCTATCAGTGAAGACCCCAGTCTGTGTCAACCCTGTCAGTAAGACCCTTGTCAGTATCCTCCCTCTCAGTGAAGACCCCAGTCTGTGTCACCGCGGTCAGTGAAGACCCCAGTCTGTGTCACCCCTGTCAGTGAAGACCTGGTCTGTGTCACCCCTGTCAGCGAAGACCCCAGTCTGTGTCACCCCTGTCAGTGAAGACCTGGTCTGTGTCACCCCTGTCAGCGAAGACCCCAGTCTGTGTCACCCCTGTCAGTGAAGACCTGGTCTGTGTCACCCCTGTCAGTGAAGACCGACCTGGTCTGTGTCACCCCTGTCAGTGAAGACCCCAGTCTGTGTCACCACTGTCAGTGAAGACCTGGTCTGTGTCACCGCTGTCAGTGAAGACCCCAGTCTGTGTCACCCCTGTCAGTGAAGACCTGGTCTGTGTCACCCCTGTCAGCGAAGACCCCAGTCTGTGTCACCACTGTCAGTGAAGACCTGGTCTGTGTCACCCCTGTCAGCGAAGACCCCAGTCTGTGTCACCCCTGTCAGCGAAGACCCCAGTCTGTGTCACCCCTGTCAGTGAAGACCTGGTCTGTGTCACCCCTGTCAGTGAAGACCTGGTCTGTGTCACCCCTGTCAGTGAAGACCCCAGTCTGTGTCACACCTGTCAGTGAAGACCCCAGTCTGTGTCACCCCTGTCAGTGAAGACCTGGTCTGTGTCACCACTGTCAGTGAAGACCTGGTCTGTGTCACCCCTGTCAGTGAAGACCTGGTCTGTGTCACCCCTGTCAGCGAAGACCCCAGTCTGTGTCACCACTGTCAGTGAAGACCTGGTCTGTCACCCCTGTCAGTGAAATCCCTGGACTATGTCACCGCTGTCAGTGAAGACCTGGTCTGTGTCACTGCTGTCAGTGAAGACCTGATCAGTATCAACCCCGTCAGTGAAGACCCTGGTCAGTATCACCCTTGTCAGTGAAATCCCTGGACTGTGTCACCCGTCAGTGAAGACCTGGTCTGTGTCACCACTGTCAGTGAAGACCTGGTCTGTCACCCCTGTCAGTGAAGACCTGGTCTGTCACCACTGTCAGTGAAGACCTGGTCTGTCACCCCTGTCAGTGAAGACCTGGTCTGTCACCCCTGTCAGTGAAGACCTGGTCTGTCACCCCTGTCAGTGAAGACCTGGTCTGTCACCCCTGTCAGTAAAGACCTGGTCTGTGTTACCCCTGTCAGTGAAGACCTGGTCTGTCACCCCTGTCAGTGAAGACCTGGTCTGTGTCACCCCTGTCAGTGAAGACCTGGTCTGTCACCCCTGTCAGTGAAAATAGTCCACACATATGTGCAGCACCAACTCCCACCTTCTGTAGGACTCGGGCCTATCCCTGGCATTTCCCCCTTCCTGCAGCAATATTGCCGAGTTGAACAACGTTTGCTGAAACAAAGCCAACATTGAGAACAGGTTCAACATTATGAACTTCTAACATTATAACCTCATCAAGGCTTAATATGTCAGAATTACTCACATGTCAAGAATAGAAACTTGAACAAATGACGAGTATAAAGGTCATTCCTTGAATACTGAATTTCTTTTATGAGAAACCTACAATTAGTACACGTATGTGAAAATCTACTTACGATGCACAACAAAATGTCGGCTCAATCAAAGTTACCATAAATGCTTGTCTCGAACATGTCTGAAGCTTCCTTTCAACTACTGACTCCAGTGAGAAATGTTCAACTGAATTAAGAGTTATGAAATTAAGTATCTGATTTAGTGATTTTTTTAAATCACATGAAAAACACACAAATATAATGTTCCATTTTATCATGTTTATGCATGTCTTATTTCCTGTAAAAGAAAGTGATATGGCAACTGTGTGTTGGAAAAGTCTTGCTCACCGTGTGGTCTGGGTTGCGCACTAGGGCTGCCTCGAAGTATCTGCGGGCCTCCCCAATCTGCTTCAGCTCCAGACTGACCACACCCAGCTGTGGAGTAACACGTTCCATCATCATTGTGATAGAAAAAAAACTTGTAAAACTTGGCACACATGCATCTTCCCAGGGCAATGGAGTGAACTGACTATAAAAGTCCTGTTTCCACCCTTGGCGAACTAAACTGGAATTTCGGAGTTATATTTTGGATGGACTAACGAGTCTATGCATAGTCTAAACAAAATCTTGTAATAAAATTGACATCTGGGCGACTGCTGTACAGATTTTGGCCATTTGAAGGAATTGAAAAGCATGTGTGCTATCATCTGATTCAATAGCTATTTTCCGAATCTTTTTCAATGAGCTTCAATCCACATGCACATGGTATCAGTGAGGCAGGGAAGGTAAACCTTATCTTTGATTAACTTGATCAGATCACCGCGATTTTGTTTGAAGATAATGAAAGAGATTTGAGAGGTGGAATCTGATTGGTCAATAGGAGATCATAGAAGGGACATAACTCATAATGGCTACTAGATAAACTAAGACAGAGGAAGAAGTTCTACTGTCAGTTATATGTCACTTTCATGGGAATGATTACTCACATTATAATAGATGTCAGCATTGTCGTCGTCCACCTTGAGGGCCTGCTGGTACACCTGCTTAGCCTCCTCTCTCCTACAACACATGACACACATCAGATATAGAGCTCCACGTCTACCGGAACACACATCAGACAATGCTTCATTTCTCCCAGAACACACATCAGGCACAGAGCTCCATGTCTACCAGAACACACATCAGACAGAGAGCTACATGTCTACCAGAACACACATCAGACAGAGAGCTCTATGTCTACCAGAACACACATCACACATCAGACACAGAGCTCCATGTCTACCAGAACACACATCAGACATAGAGCTCCATGTCTTCCTGAATGCACATCAGACATAGAGCTCTATGTCTACCAGAACACACATCAGGCATGGAGCTCCATGTCTACCAGAACACACATCAGGCATAGAGCTCCATGTCTACCAGAACACACATCAGACAGAGAGCTACATGTCTACCAGAACACACATCAGACAGAGAGCTCTATGTCTACCAGAACACACATTAGGCTTAGAGCTCCATGTCTACCAGAACACACATCAGACAGAGAGCTCTATGTCTACATGAACACACATCACACATCAGACACAGAGCTCCATGTCTACCAGAACACACATCAGACAGAGAGCTCTATGTCTACATGAACACACATCACACATCAGACACAGAGCTCCATGTCTACCAGAACACACATCAGGCACAGAGCTCCATGTCTACCAGAACACACATCAGACAGAGAGCTACATGTCTACCAGAACACACATCAGACAGAGAGCTCTATGTCTACCAGAACACACATCACACATCAGACACAGAGCTCCATGTCTACCAGAACACACATCAGACATAGAGCTCCATGTCTTCCTGAATGCACATCAGACATAGAGCTCTATGTCTACCAGAACACACATCAGGCATGGAGCTCCATGTCTACCAGAACACACATCAGGCATAGAGCTCCATGTCTACCAGAACACACATCAGGCATAGAGCTCTATGTCTACCAGAACACACATCAGACAGAGAGCTACATGTCTACCAGAACACACATCAGACAGAGAGCTCTATGTCTACCAGAACACACATTAGGCTTAGAGCTCCATGTCTACCAGAACACACATCAGACAGAGAGCTCTATGTCTACATGAACACACATCACACATCAGACACAGAGCTCCATGTCTACCAGAACACACATCAGACAGAGAGCTCTATGTCTACATGAACACACATCACACATCAGACACAGAGCTCCATGTCTACCAGAACACACATCAGACATAGAGCTCCATGTCTTCCTGAATGCACATCAGACATAGAGCTCTATGTCTACCAGAACACACATCAGGCATGGAGCTCCATGTCTACCAGAACACACATCAGGCATAGAGCTCCATGTCTACCAGAACACACATCACACATCAGACAGAGAGCTCCATGTCTACCAGAACACACATCAGACAGAGAACTCCATGTCTACCAGAACACACATCTGACAGAGAGCTCTATGTCTACATGAACACACATCAGACAGAGAGCTCCATGTCTACCTGAACACACATCAGACATAGAGCTCCATGTCTACCAAAACACACATCACACATCAGACAGAGAGCTCCATGTCTACCAGAACACACATCACACATCAGATATAGAGCTCCATGTCTACCAAAACACACATCACACATCAGACAGAGAGCTCTATGTCTACCAGAACACACATCAGGCATAGAGCTCCATGTCTACCAAAACACACATCAGGCATAGAGCTCCATGTCTACCAGAACACACATCAGGCATAGAGCTCCATGTCTACCAGAACACACATCAGACATAGAGCTCCATGTCTACCAAAACACACATCAGGCAGAGAGCTCTATGTCTACCAGAACACACATCAGGCATAGAGCTCCATGTCTACCAGAACACACATCAGACAGAGAGCTCTATGTCTACCAGAACACACATCAGGCTTAGAGCTCCATGTTACCAAAACACACATTAGACAGAGAGCTCCATGTCTACCAAAACACACATCAGACAGAGAGCTCAATGTCTAACAGAACACACATCAGACAGAGAGCTCCATGTCTACCAAAACACACATCAGACATAGAGGTCCATGTCTACCAGAACACACATCACACATCAGACAAAGAGCTCCATGTCTACCTGAACACACATCACACATCAGACAGAGAGCTCCATGTCTACCAGAACACACATCAGACAGAGAGCTCTATGTCTACCAGAACACACATCAGGCAGAGAGCTCTATGTCTACCAGAACACACATCAGGCATAGAGCTCCATGTCTACCAGAACACACATCAGACAGAGAGCTCTATGTCTACCAGAACACACATCAGGCTTAGAGCTCCATGTTACCAAAACACACATTAGACAGAGAGCTCCATGTCTACCAAAACACACATCAGACAGAGAGCTCAATGTCTACCAGAACACACATCACACATCAGACAGAGAGCTCCATGTCTACCAAAACACACATCAGACATAGAGGTCCATGTCTACCAGAACACACATCACACATCAGACAAAGAGCTCCATGTCTACCTGAACACACATCACACATCAGACAGAGAGCTCCATGTCTACCAGAACACACATCAGACAGAGAGCTCTATGTCTACCAGAACACACATCAGGCATAGAGCTCCATGTCTACCAGAACACACATCAGGCATAGAGCTCCATGTCTACCAGAACACACATCAGACAGAGAGCTCCATGTCTACCAGAACACACATCAGGCATAGAGCTCTATGTCTACCAGAACACACATCAGACATAGAGCTCCATGTCTACCAGAACACACATCAGGCATAGAGCTCCATGTCTACCAGAACACACATCACACATCAGACAGAGAGCTCCATGTCTACCAGAACACACATCAGGCATAGAGCTCCATGTCTACCAGAACACACATCAGACATAGAGCTCCATGTCTACCAGAACACACATCAGGCATAGAGCTCCATGTCTACCAGAACACACATCACACATCAGACAGAGAGCTCCATGTCTACCAGAACACACATCAGACATAGAGCTCCATGTCTACCAAAACACACATCACACATCAGACAGAGAGCTCTATGTCTACCAGAACACACATCAGACAAAGAGCTCCATGTCTACCAGAACACACATCAGACATAAAGCTCCATGTCTACCAGAACACACATCAGACATAGAGCTCCGTGTCTACCAGAACACACATCAGACATAGAGCTCCATGTCTACCAGAACACACATCAGACAGAGAGCTCAATGTCTACCAGAACACACATCAGGCATAGAGCTCTATGTCTACATGAACACACATCAGACAGAGAGCTCTATGTCTACCAAAACACACATCAGACATAGAGCTCTATTTCTACCAAAACACACATCACACATCAGACAGATAGCTCCATGTCTACCAGAACACACATCAGAAATAGAGCTCTATGTCTACCTGAACACACATCAGACATAGAGCTCCATGTCTACCTGAACACACATCAGACATAGAGCTCCATGTCTACCAGAACACACATCACACATCAGACAAAGAGCTCCATGTCTACCTGAACACACATCAGACAGAGAGCTCTATGTCTACCTGAACACACATCAGACATAGAGCTCCATGTCTACCAAAACACACATCAGACATAGAGCTCCATGTCTACCAGAACACACATCACACATCAGACAAAGAGCTCCATGTCTACCTGAACACACATCAGACAGAGAGCTCTATGTCTACCTGAACACACATCAGACAGAGAGCTCCATGTCTACCAGAACACACATCAGACAAAGAGCTCCATGTCTACCAGAACACACATCTGACATAGAGCTCCATGTCTACCAGAACACACATCAGACATAGAGCTCCATGTCTACCAGAACACACATCACACATCAGACAAAGAGCTCCATGTCTACCTGAACACACATCAGACAGAGAGCTCTATGTCTACCTGAACACACATCAGACATAGAGCTCCATGTCTACCAAAACACACATCACACATCAGACAGAGAGCTCCATGTCTACCAGAACACACATCAGACAAAGAGCTCCATGTCTACCTGAACACACATCAGACAAAGAGGTCCATGTCTACCAGAACACACATCACACATCAGACAGAGAGCTCCATGTCTACCAGAACACACATCAGACAAAGAGCTCCATGTCTACCAGAACACACATCAGACAGAGAGCTCCATGTCTACCAGAACACACATCAGACAAAGAGCTCCATGTCTACCAGAACACACATCAGACATAGAGGTCCATGTCTACCAGAACACACATCAGACAGAGAGCTCCATGTCTACCAGAACACACATCAGACAAAGAGCTCCATGTCTACCAGAACACACATCAGACATAGAGGTCCATGTCTACCAGAACACACATCAGACATAGAGGTCCATGTCTACCAGAACACACATCAGACATAGAGGTCCATGTCTACCAGAACACACATCACACATCAGACAGAGAGCTCCATGTCTACCAGAACCCACAAGTACGGTTACTTTTCTATCTCCATGACTCACTTGCCCAACTTGACCAGAACATCCCCTCGATTGATGTAGCCTTGGATGTAGTCAGACCTCATTGACACTGCTGTCCTCAGCAACTGCACACAGATAACAGCATCAGCAACAAAGGAAAAACTCAAAGGAAGACTCTTAACAGTTTTAACAATACTAGGATATTCTCTCACTTGCCTTGAATGACAGCAACTGGGATATTTGAGACCTCAGCTAGCCAAGACTTACATCATCTACAATCCGGCCATGACAGCGACCTGGATGTTTGTCTGGAACACCAGCTATGTAAGACTTACATCATCTGCCTCCTGTAGTCTGTCTGGGTTCTTGGAGACCAGGCTTGCCAGATTCAGGTAAACATTCAGGTGGTTGGGGGCAATCCGGGTCGTGTAGCTCTTACCTGCAGGGAATAGTCATCATCTGGAGTCATTGTGATAACTACTGACTCCCCACAACCCATTCTTTACTTGTCATCTGCCACTTTCCATTGCATAGCACCAAAGATGTTAGTCAAAAGTCTATTAAAAATGGAATGGTGTGTACAAGCACAGTTTATTAGTGAGAATAAACCATAATAAATATCACCAAATTGGTCGAGGAAACAGGAACGCTTCAGCAGTCTATAAACACATCTTGCTAGAGCAAGCGCAGAGACAAGAGTGAAGGGTGTCACATGGCAGCTAGGTGGCTACGCAAGTGCTGCATGAGGTAATTGAGATCTCTGTGGTAGATTTCGCTATAGCAGCAGTTGTGGGAGACAACAGCCTTGGTATATCAGTGGTAACGTATAACTTAATGTAATTAATATTAATAATAATAATAATAATAATAATAATACCAGGTATAACTGGGGGAAAGAGAGCCAGGGCACTCCTGTAAGCTTTCTCTGCTTCCTGGGTTCTGTTCAAGGTGCTCAGCGTTCGACCAACATTTATATGTGCACCAATGTCATCGGGCTGAACACTGTAAATATACACACAAAACTGCCAATACATATCACACTGTTACAAGACATCATAGAGCACCTGATGGAATATACTAGCAACTAATGCAAGACAACATCGGACAGGACACAGGTTCCACTTGCTCACCTGATGGCTGTCTGGAAGTACTACAGACCTTGACCTGTTCACCTGATTGCTGTCTGGAAGTACTCCAGGGCCTTGACCTGTTCACCTGACAGCTGTCTGGAAGTACTCCAGGTCCTTGTCCTGTTTACCTGATTGCTGTCTGGAAGTACTCCAGGGCCTTGACCTGTTCACCTGACAGCTGTGTGAAAGTACTCCAGGTCCTTGACCTGTTCACCTGATGGCTGTCTGGAAGTACTCCAGACCTTGACCCGTTCACCTGATGGCTGTCTGGAAGTACTCCAGGGCCTTGACCTGTTCACCTGATGGCTGTCTGGAAGTCCTTCAGGCCTTGACCTGTTCACCTGATGGCTGTCTGGAAGTGCTCCAGGGCCCTGACCTGTTCACCTGATTGCTGTCTGAAAGTACTCCAGGCCTTGACCCGTACACCTGATAGCTGTCTGGAAGTCCTTCAGGCCTTGAGTTGTTCACCTGATGGCTGTCTGGAAGTGCTCCAGGCCTTGACCTGTTCACCTGATGGCTGTCTGGAAGTCTTTCAGACCTTGACCTTCTCACCTGATGGCTGTCTGAAAGTACTCCGGGCCCTGAGTAGCTCACCTGACAGCTGTCTCGAAGTATTCCAGGGCCTCGCTGTACTTTTCCACCTTCTCCAGGGCGTGGCCCACATTGTTGAACAGCTTGGCATTCTCCTGGTTGACTTTCAGTCCTGATTTGAACAGCGTGTACTCAGACGCCCTGACAACACACAGACAGTACTTATAGTCTTGGGACAGATCAGCAGCCCACAACTGATTACTTGCCCTTTAACATTTGTCATTGAAACTTAATTTAATGGGAATTGTCATGACCCATTTAAATACACTGCACATCGGGATCATCATGTCCATTGATACAAAATTACACATGTTGTTATCAAAAGAATGGACATCTACTGACCAGTCATTGTTACGCAGCACTGTCTTGATGCTATGTGTCAGAAGGAGGCCTGCCATTAACAGCTGCACCACCATCTTCAGAGACCTGGTGACAGGGAGACATCAATGTCAGCAATGTTGGGACAGGGAGACATCAATGTCAGCAATGTTGGGACAGGGAGACATCAATGTCAGCAACGTTGGGACAGGGAGACATCAATGTCAGCAACGTTGGGACAGGGAGACATCAATGTCAGCAATGTTGGGACAGGGAGACATCAATGTCAGCAATGTTGGGACAGGGAGACATCAATGTCAGCAACGTTGGGACAGGGAGACATCAATGTCAGCAACGTTGGGACAGGGAGACATCAATGTCAGCAACGTTGGGACAGGGAGACATCAATGTCAGCAATGTTGGGACAGGGAGACATCAATGTCAGCAACGTTGGGACAGGGAGACATCGATCAATGACAGCAATGTTGGGACAGGGAGACATCGATCAATGTCGGCAATGTTGGGACAGGGAGACATCAATGTCAGCAATGTTGGGACAGGGAGACATCGATCAATGTCAGCAATGTTGGGACAGGGAGACATCAATGTCAGCAAAGTTGGGACAGGGAGACATCAATGTCGGCAATGTTGGGACAGGGAGACATCGATCAATGTCGGCAATGTTGGGACAGGGAGACATCAATGTCAGCAACGTTGGGACAGGGAGACATCAATGTCAGCAATGTTGGGACAGGGAGACATCAATGTCAGCAATGTTGGGACAGGGAGAATTAATGTCAGCAATGTTGGGACAGGGAGACATCGGTCAATGTCAGCAATGTTGGGACAGGGAGACATCAATGTCAGCAATGTTTGGACAGGGAGACATCAATGTCAGCAATGTTGCGACAGGGAGACATCAATGTCAGCAACGTTGGGACAGGGAGACATCAATGTCAGCAATGTTGGGACAGGGAGACATCGATCAATGTCAGCAATGTTGGGACAGGGAGACATCGATCAATGTCAGCAATGTTGGGACAGGAAGACATCAATGTCAGCAATGTTGGGACAGGGAGACATCAATGTCAGCAATGTTGGGACAGAGAGACATGAATGTCAGCAATGTTGGGACAGGAAGACATCAATGTCCGCAACGTTGGGACAGAGAGACATCAATGTCAGCAACATTGGGACATGGAGGCATCAATGTCGGCAATGTTGGGACAGGGAGACATCAATGTCAGCAATGTTGGGACACGGAGTCATCAATGTCAGCAATGTTGGGACAGGGAGAATTAATGTCAGCAATGTTGGGACAGGGAGACATCAATGTCAGCAATGTTGGGACAGGGAGAATTAATGTCAGCAATGTTGGGACAGGGAGACATCGGTCAATGTCAGCAATGTTGGGACAGGGAGACATCAATGTCGGCAACATTGGGACAGGGAGACATCAATGTCAGCAATGTTGCGACAGGGAGACATCAATGTCAGCAACGTTGGGACAGGGAGACATCAATGTCAGCAATGTTGGGACAGGGAGACATCGGTCAATGTCAGCAATGTTGGGACAGGGAGACATCAATGTCGGCAATGTTGGGACAGGGAGACATCAATGTCAGCAATGTTGGGACAGGGAGACATCAATGTCAGCAACGTTGGGACAGGGAGACATCAATGTCAGCAACGTTGGGACAGGGAGACATCAATGTCAGCAACGTTGGGACAGGGAGAATTAATGTCAGCAATGTTGGGACAGGGAGACATCGGTCAATGTCAGCAATGTTGGGACAGGGAGACATCAATGTCAGCAATGTTGGGACAGGGAGACATCAATGTCAGCAACGTTGGGACAGGGAGACATCAATGTCAGCAACGTTGGGACAGGGAGACATCAATGTCGGCAACATTGGGATAGGGAGACATCAATGTCAGCAATGTTGGGACAGGGAGACATCGATGTCAGCAATGTTGGGACAAGGAGACATCAATGTCAGCAATGTTGGGACAGGGAGACATCAATGTCAGCAATGTTGGGACAGGGAGACATCAATGTCAGCAATGTTTGGACAGGGAGACCTCAATGTCAGCAATGTTGGGACATGGAGTCATCAATGTCAGCAATGTTTGGACAGGGAGACATCAATGTCAGCAACGTTGGGACAGGGAGACATCAATGTCAGCAACGTTGGGATATACTGTTTATGGTGAACCAGAACCCATGTGTGTGCCAAGCTGACCTCCCCATTAGAGTAGCTTACTGTTTATGGAGAACCAGAACCCACGTGTGTGCCAAGCTGACCTCCCCATCGGAGTAGCTTACTGTTTATGGAGAACCAGATTTCACGTGTGTGCCAAGCTGACCTCCCCATCGGAGTAGCTTACTGTTTATGGAGAACCAGAACCCACATGTGTGCCAAGCTGACCTCGCCATCGGAGTAGCTTACTGTTTTTGGTGAACCAGAACCCAGGTGTGTGCCAAGCTTACCTCCCCATCGGAGTAGCTTACTGTTTATGGAGAACCAGATTTCACGTGTGTGCCAAGCTGACCTCCCCATCAGAGTAGCTTACTGTTTATGGTGAACCAGTATCTGGAAGCCCAGGGCCACCAACATGCAGAAGCCCATGCTGGGAGTGTAGAGGATTCTCTCTGCCACCACGAAGCCCACAGGGAAAAACAAGTTGGAGGCCGGAACAAATGGAAGGACTAGAAAAGCTAAAGACTGAAACATACAAATGGGAGGGGCATAAGGAAGGATACTGCTATACCCAGACCATTCTAACAACTCAATAATATCTACAAAGAAACAAAACTAGTAAAATCCTACATATTTTTTATATTTGTATACTTATCCTGCATTAGTCCTTAATGCATATTACTGCTTGTTCTTGACAGAGAAAAGAGCTGTGTGAAGGTCTTTGCTTGAAGAAGTTGCTCCAACTAGCTGAGAGGCCAACCCATCACGCAGCTCTCACGTGACCAAAGGAAGTGACGTCACGGATCCACACATTACTCTGTAGTCCGAAACATCGGAAGGTACCGTGGGGAGGTAGATCTGCGATGGGCGGGTCCATTTAGACGCAGTAATGCCGGATAAGTATACAAATATAAAAAACATCTAGGATTTTACTAGATTTTTTACTTATCCTGCATTACTCCTTAATGCATCTTTATCGGATGGAACCGGAGGTGGGCATACCTTCAGATGTGGACTTTTCATCTCTTATTTCCAGACTCTGTTCCCTAGCCAATCCAAGGCTGTGTGGTTGGCATCGGGTGACCACTCCAAGTGTGGGAACCTCCCATTCCCTCAGCCCGTCCTTGGCTGTGTGGTCGGCATCAGGTTGACCATGACATGGATGGGAAGAGTCAGGTATGCGTTGTGTCCTAGTACTGCGCAGCCTGACAATAGCGCTCGGTTAGGTCGAGACTGGAGCACCGAGCCGTATGCAAATGAGGCATGAACCTTCTAGTCCAGGGGTACGCCAGGGGAGGTCGAAAGGCCGGCTCTTGTAGGCGTGGTCAATGACGTGTAGTAGTGGTGACCTGCTACTAACGGACCAAAGCTGTGCGTGCCTTGCACGTCCTCCAAAGCGACGTCTCGCAGGTAGTGACTGGCGAAGACCGTGTTGGAACGCCAGAAACATCCCTCCATGATGGTGCGTAGAGAGCAGTTGCTGTGAAGCGCCATGGTGGAGGCGACCGCCCGGATCTCATGCGGATTGTTTGAGCGTGGAGGGTCCAGTCCCGTGGCCTGGAGGCCTGGAGGATGATGGCTCAAAGCCAGAGGGCAATCGTGTTGTGGCAGATACCGGTACAAAGAGGCGGTGGCGTCTACGGCGTTCTTCGGATCGTCGGATGTAGCAACGAAGCGCTCTAACCGGACATAGACGGAGCTCTTGTTCGTCTTCCGTGCCCACAATCAATGACAGGGGGGGGGGGATGAGGAACGATCTGTCGGGCTGGCCTTGGAGCTGATTCTTCGCAATGAAGTCCCAGAGCACAGGCCCAGATGCACGACTCCGTGTGCTCCCTGCTCAAAGCAGACCCTAGGACGTCTAGGGCGTGTAGCTCACTGACCCGGGCTGCTGTAGCGAGCGCCAGTAGGAAGACCGTCTTTTTGTCAGGTTGTAGAATGACGACGTTTCGAGTGGCTCAAAAGGCGCGTCTCTCAGCGAGGTGAGAATGACGTTCAAGTCCTAGGCCTGGGGACGGAACTTCGCCTTTTGGTCTTCCAGTCTGAAGGAGCGGAGCAGTGCCCGGAGTTACAGGATTTTCAACATGCGTCCGGCACCGGAGATATGTAGGTCGGGATCTGATAGTTCTGGCTGGTGGCGAATAGGTCTATGTTGGGAAGACAAGCAAGAGTGAAGGCGTCTGGGTGAAGTTTCCACTCTGTGGGAGCCACCTTGTCCGCTAGGATGTTTCGACAGCCCGGTATGTGGTGGACCTGGAACTGGATCCTCAGCTGATCCACTAGGTGAAATAATCGGAACGTCTGTTGAAGGAGCGAGGTCGAATGAGTCGTTCCCTGGTTCTGGAGACACCAAACGACAGTGAAGTTGTCTGTCGAGATGGAGAGCTGGGCGTGTCTGAGTGCCTGCTTCCAGTGAGTGATGGCCAGGATAAGCGCTTTCAGTTCGAGGTTGTTGATGTGCCACAGGCGCTGATCGGTGGACCACAGCCCTGAGGCAACCTGTCCCTCCAGGTGCGCACTCCATCCCTGTAGGGACACGTCTACGAAGAGAGGTCGTAAGCCCTGTCAAGGAGACGCCGCCTAAGACATTCGATTCGAGATGATCCGGGAGGACGATGGAAAGAGTGGGGTCCTGGCGTCTTATGTAGGGCGCCAGGAACATCTGAACAGGGCGCAGTTGGAGCCTTCCTCTGTAGGTTAAGTCCTGTGCCAAGGTGAGGAGGCCCAGGAGGACTTGCCAATGGCGCGGAGTGCGTGGTAGGTGGAGACTGGAATCAGGTGCGCCTGCATGCGTTCCCACCGGTCTCTGGGTACAGAGATGAGGTCAAGGTCCCACTGGAAGAGGCCCCCGATGAACTGAAGGCGCTTGGAGGGTGTCATCTCTGACTTCCTGAAGTTGATCTTCCACTCCAACTGGTATAGAAGTCAAAGGGTGAAGTCCCTGTGGCGGAGTAGAGTGACCGGGTCCAAATGGCGGCGAGGTAGTGTATCATCCTGTGCTTGTCCGAGTCCTTCTTGGGGACCAGGAAGACAGGTGAATAGAAGCCCGGTGTTATGGCTGAGGCGTGTACAACCTCTATGGCGATCTTGTATAGCAGCGCCGTGATGTTCCAGCTCAGAAGCTGCTGTTGAGTTGGGGGGGTATGTGTCCACTATGGGTGACGACATCAGTGGCGGGTCGTCTACAAGCGTCAGCTTGTACCCGTGTTGGATGATATTGGTGACATATGGGTCCCCCAGGATCTCCCAATTCTGCCAGAAGTGAGCCGTTCTCCCACGTACTGGGGTGTCGACAACTTTGACGGCTGGGGGTGGGTTGAGGTGGCGCCCCGCCCCCGGGACCGGAGGGAGTTGCGACATGGTTGGTAGGAGCCAGCCAGGGACACCCTAGCAGAGTCTGGCCGAGACACCCTGGCCAGGGCCTTGAGAGCCGTATCATCGCGGGCGAAAGCTGAGACCCGGGCGTATGTCTGGGATATTTGTCCATTAAAGAGGTCAGAGCCGGACCAGGGTTGACGCAAGAGGTCTCTCTTGAACTCTGGGTCCCAGTTGGACAAGGCAAGGTACCCAAGGCGTCTGGTGGTAGTGAGCTTGATCAGAGCGACGCGCATGTGGGAGCACATCTGTTCCATCTGTTGTTGGAGATAGGATACGACGGTAGTTAGATAGTCAATCAACCTTATGGGGGTTGTCCTCCGCTAAGTCCTGCAGTATGGCCCTGGAGGACGACGCCATCAGAGAGAGGGGTTTGAGCGGGTGGTGAATCTCGGTCTCTACGTAGGCGAGTTTGTTGTCGGAGACTCGGACTGAGGTGGAGTGGTTCAATCCTGTCATGCGTTGCATGTCCTCATCCAAGGAGAGAGCCTGGTCCGCAACTTGAAGAGAGTGGACTGGGAAGTCATCTCGTCTGTACTGTGGGGCCCTGAAGGACGGAGTCAGTGACAGTTTATTGAAGACCTTATCCAAGGCTGAGATCATGTCTCTGATCAGTGGATCAGGAGGGATCGAAGTGGGGTCATCTGAGATGGCCAATCTGGAAGGCGAAACCTCAGAAAGGTCTGACATCCTGCGCCAGTGTTTCCTGGCCTGCTGTGTTCTGCGTTTAGTGCACACATGGAGATGTGGGTGAAAGCAGTAAACAGTCTTTACATCGGTGATATTGGTGGCATTTAGATGTACAATTAAGGCACAGGGGGTGTTGGGATCCTACGCCAACATATTGCGTCGGCACTTTAAGCAGGAGGGCATGATATCTGCAACGAAGCGGTGTAAAATCACAATGCGTCCCCGCCCGATTATGTATGCTATAATTTGTCTATCCCATTATGTGGGTTTATGAAACAAATATTACGACAAACGTAAGACAACATACAATCAAACAAAACAATACATGCGATGATACGCCAATCGTGGGGTACCAAGCAAAAGAATATAGAACGCAAAACAGTCCACAAACGGCTGGCTACGCAAAATATTCAAGATGGCTACTTGGAGCAACAAGACACCCGGCCTTATGTTTTCTTTTGAGAAAACGCCAGTAAGTGTCTAATAAAGTTATGCACATGTTTATCAAATGTACAAAATACAAACTGTATGCACACCACAAAGACAAAACAACATTAACTCAGATAGCAAACACGTGAGGATTTGAACCGTGACGTCACTTCCTTTGGACACAGGAGAGCTGCGTGATGGGTTGGCCTCTCAGCTAGTTGGAGCAACTTCTTCAAGCAAAGACCTTCACACAGCTCTTTTCTCTGTCAAGAACAAGCAGTATTATGCATTAAGGAGTAATGCAGGATAAGTAAAAAAATCAGCTGTCCCCTCACTTTTGAGGTTAATTTTCTTTTCAACAACACCATAAACCCAACCAGAACAAAATCCTAATCACACTAATCCACAAAGTGTTACATAACGAAAATGGGTTTTTCAGATTAAAAACGATGTTTTATTGGTCTGTTTTCAGTCGAACAAATGGGTATCTCTCATACCCTCACGTCTAGTCACACGTTTAAAAGGAAGCCAGAAGCTGGAATGTAAACATGGGTTTTTCAGATTAAAAACGATGTTTTATTGGTCTGTTTTCAGTCGTACAAATGGGTATGGTATCTCTCATACCCTCATGTCTAGTCGCACGTTTAAAAGGAAGCCGGAAGCTGGAATGTAAATATTAAACATGTTTCCGTCCGCACGCACCTCCCTATGACATGTCACAAATCTCGAAGAATAAGCCAAAAAGCAGGACTGGACTGGATTACTTCCCTGTGGGGGATGGCTGGGTGGGAATGTACGACTGAAAACAGACCAATAAAACATCGTTTTTAATCTGAAAAACCCATGTTTTAGTCTGTTTTCAGTCGTACAAATGGGTAGAATTCGACGGAACACTGGAAGGAGGGTCGGGAAAGTAATCAGGAAGTGACCTCTTTCACGTCGAATGTACCAAGTTCCTCACCCCTGTAGTGACAATAGAATATTCGACCAGATGCACGGACGAGACAAGTTGTTTATCACGAACGCACAGCATGGTTAATGCTCTTCGACACACAACTAATTATCGATGCGACAGGACAACTGCACGCGTCAGTTGAACTGCGATCGAAGTGTGGTCGACGTATAGTTTAGTTACAGAGCAACTCGCAGTATACAAGGTAACTAAAACAGCATGGTTAATGCTCTTCGACCCACAAGTAACTATCGATGCGACAGGACAACTGCACACGTCAGTTGAATTGCGATTGAAGTGCGGTCGGCGTATAATTTAGTTACAGAACAACTCGCCGTAGTCAAGGTAACTAAAAATAGCATGGTTAATGCTCTTCGACACACAACTAATTATCGATGCAACAGGACAACTGCACACGTCAGTTGAACTGCGATGGAAGTGTGTTCAACGCATAATTTAGTTACAGAGCAACTCGCAGTATACAAGGTAACTAAAAAATACAAGCAGTACTTTAAAGTATGGGAAGACGATGCTTACACCGAATAACCATAATAAAAAAGCCGAAGTACTGCACGCAACAAAAAACCATAAGAATGCATACATTCACCAACAGCTTTTATTGTAACATGTTATATGGCACGAAGTGTCGAGCAAAAAATCCAAAGTGAATAAAGCACAAATTCACTGTCTTTTCTGAGAGATCTGTTGTGCCACCACGAGTGGACCAAACTGTTTGAGTCCTTCAACATCTTCTGTTGAGATATCTCTGAGATAATGCGAAGCAAACACTGAAGTAGATCTCCAAAAGCAGCCCTCCATAGTAGCTTGCAGCGAACAATTACTGTGGAGTGCTTATGTTGAAGCTATGGCTCGAACTTCGTGCGGATGAGAGGAGGTGGGAGGTGCAAATCCTTGGGCCTCGTAAGCTCTGAGAATTACCGCTCTCAACCAAAAGGAGAGAGTATTACGTGTAATCTCTTTCTTTGCATTGGTTGAGAGCAGTATGAACAGCCGTCGAAAATGTTGTCGTCGCTGTTCAGATCGCTGCAGGTAAATACGAAGCGCACGAACTGGGCACAGGGTGAGATCAGCGTGATCATGAGGGCCCATAATGGCAGACAAGGAAGGAATGTGGAACATTCTCGAATCTTGGCCAGGAAGTTGATTTTTCGCTAAAACATCCCATCTGAGACCAAGATGGACGTTGCCATGATTACGCTGATCGAACTAATCTGAGTGACGTCAATGGCATGTAATTTTGATACTCTAGCTGCCGTAGCCAGCGAGAGAAGGAAAGCCATTTTCTGAGACAATAAGTCGAACACGACCTGATCTAGAGGCTCGTAAGCCTGACTAGACAGGTTGAGCAGAACGACATCGAATTTACGTGACTGATCTTCAACCATGTAGGCACGTAGAATCCTCTGTAACTCCGGTACTTTAGTGAGCTTGTCGCCCGTATGAGACGGCACCACTGAAGCCAAAGCTGCCAGATAAGTCGAGATCGTCGACCCTTTCAGATGCCGAGGTGACCGGAGATAGACTAGGAACTCCGCCACCTGTGGTAGGGCTGCTACCGTCGGGTTGAAGTCATGAGACCTGGTGAAAATGGAGAAGGTGGTCCACTTCTCATCGTACAGCTTACGAGTCGTAACTCGATTTGCCGACGAGACAAGCGCTGCCGCTTTAGCCGAATATCCTTTCTTCATTAACAAGGTCTTAAGCAAACCCAGGCGTGAAGCTGGAAATTCTTTATCCCCGGATGCAAGTGTCGATGTGAGGATGAAGAAGGAGGTCGTCTCCATCTGGCAACGGGAACAGTGGCTGATCGATGATCTGAAGAAGTTCCGGGAACCACGTTCTGGCCGGCCAATAAGGCGCGACCAAAAGCAGACGTACGTTGGCCTTTTGACGAACTTTCTCCAGTATCGATGGTAATAGCACCGTTGGCGGTGCCCGTGGGTCTGGAACCGGCAACACGAATCGAGGGAGGCGGTTGTTGTACCGGGTTGCAAAGAGATCTACTTGGGGCAACCAGAGTCGATCTGTCAGCAGATGAAAGACTGTCGGATGGATTATCCACTCCGTGGGAGATGGCCTCGATGGTCTCGACAGGGCGTCGGCTATCACATTCTTGGCCCCCGGGATGTGACGGGCACGTATGCCCATGTCCATGTCGTCGACGAGGGCGAAGAACCTGAATGTCCGGTCCAGAAGGGCCGCCGACCGAGTCGTTCCCTGTTTGTTGATGCAGTGGACGACTGTGGAGTTGTCCGCCTGTATCATCAGCCGTTTCTGACGGAGTCGAAGTTTCAAGAACTCGACCACCCGAATCACTGCTTCCATCTCGAGGCAGTTGATGTGGAGGACCTTTTCTTCTGGCGACCACAGCCCTGGCGACCTTTCCTGTCCGAATCTCTCTTGCGGGACGGCTGTGGAGGCATGTCCCTACGAAAGGCTGTTGCACATTCTCGTTTCGGTAACGTCGTCGTGGGGCGTTCGAAACCGGTGGCCGTCTGGACAGGTTGTGTGAAGCCAAAATGATGATGTCACACTCGGCTTCCCTGGAGTACTTGTCCAGAACTTCGTTGGTACGACCGTCAAACAACTGTTGCGATGACCACGGGGCCCGTAGGAGTGACCTGCCATGACGATCAGGTAGTTCAGTGCAGTCGATGTAACCATGGCGATGTGCCGTAGTTATCTGGCCCGATACATATCGGGACTTGGCGAGGACATCCGAGATCCACCGTTGCTTACAGGTGAGGACCGATGGCACCGTCCTGTTGTCCTCGTCCTTTCTCCTCAAAGTACACTGAGAGGGCCTCGATCGCTGTCAACAGCATAGCAAGCGGTTGTAGCTGGTGATGAACAGCAGTGTCCATGGATTCCAAATGCCTGTCTTCTACTAGAATCTTGGAGGGCGCTGGTTTCTTGAAGAGTTGCCCCCAATCCAAGTCCCTCCTCATGGGTGACGAAAACGGCATGCCATAAATCGGGTAACGAGATCGCCTAGGCGGCTTGCAGAAACTCTGCCCAGGCAGAGCAGAGGCAAAGTTCTGGTCCATATCTTGAGCCATGGCTCTGAAGGCATCGGGAGGAGAAAACTGAAGAGACTGCGGTGTATCTCCGACCTTAAAGCCAGCACGCGTCGGTTTGTCATCGTCTTGTGATAACTCAGGCAGAAAGTTAGATAGCCAAGCAAACAACTCAATGTCTTTCGGAGGCCTAGGAAGGCTGTCGTCACAATCCATCGTCGACGTCGATTGTGGAGGCATAGATGAAGGAGCTGGTGTTTTGGTTGACGGTCCATGGACCCCCGACGCAGTCGAAAACTTCTTGGTTGACGCCGTCGAGGCGAGTACCGCCGCCGTGATCTGGGCTATCAAAGCCGGGTCGATATGAAAGTGAGACAAGGGCGTCGTTCTGTCATTATCTTCACTACGGCGCTGAACTCCCAGAAACTCCCTGCGAGAACGTTGCACGTCCTCATGGGGACAAGGGCTACGATATCTAACTGTAGAAGTACTACGATCCCCATCGTAGTTATCGTCCGAATCGTACTCCCGACGACCACGAAGGCGATGAACGCCCTTGTGTCGTGTACTGTCTCTCGACGAGGCACTTGACCTGTCGTCCCGACTTGAACAGGAACGACTTCTGTGTCCACTGTCGTCCCTCACGACGTGCCTATCGTCGTTGGTAGAATGAGATACGGACCGACTGGGGACAATAGTCCCCTCATGGTCCTCGTCACCACCCGGTCCCATCGTAACTGGGGTGGCTGAGTGACGCTCTCGATCAAGGGATTGACGAAGATCAGTTGTGCGGGTAGTATCATCAGCAGGCGAACGTGTCTTGTCGAAAACAGAAGTTGACTGAGGCGGGTCTTTATCAACTGATTTTTTGGGTGTGGCCGACTCGCCATCCCCAGGACCGGATGTAGAGGGTGAAGAGTCCTTTGACACGAGGCACAAATGCCCGACATGTTGCCACGTGTATAATCAAGTCGAACAGTGAAACACGTGTTGAACACAAACAATGGATTACCAAGGATTACATTCCAGGAGTCTACAGGTAAGACATATTTATTATTATTATTACTTTATTAGAACAACAACTGTAGACAAGCGATAAGTACCAGTAGAATACAAACTAGCAGTCTACCGCGAAAGACTTTCTCGTGCGACCAGCTCAGAGGCACGCTGAGAGATTTGTGACATGTCATAGGGAGGTGCGTGCGCAACCGGACGGAAACAAGTTTAATGTTTACATTCCAGCTTCTGGCTTCCTTTTAAACGTGCGACTAGACATGAGGGTATGAGAGATACCCACTTGTACGACTGAAAACAGACTAAAACATATGTTTATAGATCAACTGTTTATAACTTAAGGCTGCATAGATAAAGAAGCCTAAGAAACAGGATGGAAACCTAAGATTGTACAACTGACAAATTCTCTTTAATACCTTATAGTGTTGGTGATGCAATTTTACAAGAGGGAAATCATGAAACTTAACCCTTAAAGCAAATGTAAATTAAATGATTTTGTCTGAATTATTAAGAACTTTTAATCCCTTAATATTTTTTTAATTATATTTTTCTGCTAAAATTCTGCTGATACAAAAAACTTACCATGATAATACACCTAGATCTCTGACTTTGACCACTCAGAGCATAGGTCACAAACTTTATCATCATTGCATAGAAGATAAGTGTGAAGATATTTCTGTAGTCTGTGATGGTCTCTAGGAGTGGAATGGTCCCCATCGTCCAGTCACAGCACAGATGGGAGGGGTTGAGCAACAGCCAGGAGTTAACGGACAGCAGGTAGTTGAAGGTGAGATGCCTGGCAGGGAAGTCCGCCACAGATGCAGGGTTGTCAAACCTGCAGCAGGACCAGCAAGTGGTGAGGGGGGACATACCTACATTAGTAATCATAGTCCAAGAGTGAAGAGAAACCTTGGATGTCTTTGTTCCCATATATTGTACAGATTGCTTAAACTTCAGATATATTGGTATTAGTAAGTTTGATTTAACACCACGTCATACAGTACTTCAGTCATATCATGGCGTGTCAGGTGAATATAGGAGGAAGCCAAAAGTTAAGTATGTCTTGGACTTTTACCATTTTGTTGAAACCCACAAGCACTGGTATGATGCTACCAAACCAAGGATATATCGGGGAGAAGTTTGGATTCTACCCCACCATAATAGCTGCTTGGTACACCTAAGGGATGCAACTCTGCACATCGAATATACTGGTATTAATAAGTGAAACAAATTCAAGACAGTCATATATGTTGACAAATATTTTAAGCAATACAATAGAATCATTCACTGATCAGGACATATTGTGTTTTCATAATTTTGTTTTTATATCTAACGCCGTACACAGCAACATTCCAGCTTCATGATGTTGGTCTGTAAATAATCAAGTCTGGAGCAGAATATCCAGGGAATGACATCACAAGCACTGTTCTTCACAATTGGGATACAATGGCATGCATCAACCAAGTCAATGAGCCTGACCACCCGACCCTGTTGGTCACCTCTAATGACAAACATAGTTGCCTCCAACGGCAAGCACAGGTTGCTAAAGATCAATTCTAACCCAGATCTTCACAAGTGTTTTAGAATTAGTGTATCTAACAGCTAAATGGTATTGTTATTACATAGAAAAAGAACTACAGTCAAACCCCGTTATCTCAAATGTACCGATATCTTGAACCTATTCTCTGGTCCCAACTGCCTCACTATACGAGGGCTGGTAAAAAAAGTTCTAGGCTAATTTACTTTCAACTATGGGTCATAAGAAAGTGAATTAGTCAATGCAGTACATTGTTTGAGTTGTTCGTTCATTGCAAGTGTGTTTTGTCTGTTGAGGCTGTTTGTATATTAGTGACATACAGTTGAATGTGATAGGGGTCCAAATGGACACGGACACAGAAATGGAAAAGATTGAGTACCAAGCAGTCATCAAGTTTTATACATCAGAGAAAAGTGCTCCCCAAGAAATTCATGACTGCATGTCACAAGTGTATGGGGATAATATTCCACTGTTGAACATTGGGCAGCTATTTTTAAGGCTGGGAGAACAAGCCATAATGATGACCTTAGGTCTGGACGTCCCTCAACTTCCATCAATGAAGATTCAATGAAGGAGATAGAAAAACTGTCAGATAGACGTATTACCATTGCTGAACTTGAGGAAGACACAGGTCTAAGCCACTGAAACTATTATTCATGAACATTTACTGATGAATAAGATATCTGTTCATTGGGTGCCAAAGTTTCTAAATACTGATCTTAAGGAAAGCAGAACTGAAATTTGCCAGAGAAAATTTAGAATTAGTTGAGAAGGATTTCATCAAATTAAAAAAGAGATTGGGTGATTAAACATAGGTCTCCATTATGATCCCAAGTCAAAACATCAATCCATGGAATGGCACCATTCCACTTCTCTGACACCAAAGAAATTCTAGTCTTCAAGATCAGTGAAGAATGTTATGGCCACTGTATTCTGGGATGCAAAGGGTGTCATCCTTGTTGATTACTTAGAAAGTCAAAAGATGATTACTGGTGCCTACTATGCTGATTTGCTTCAATGCCTGAGAGATTCTATCAAAGAAAAGCGGCGAGGAATGCTAACTGCTGGAGTTCTACTCCTTCATGACAATGCCTCTCCTCACACCTCTCGACTTGCAAAGGCTGCTGTGGAACAGTGTGGGTTTGAAGAGCCTCCTCACTCTTCATACTCGCCAGACCTGGCACCAAGTGATTTTCACCTGTTCCCCGAACTGAAAGAACACCTTCATGGAAAGCACTATGACGACAACGATGACCTCAACGCTGCCCTGAATGGGGTTTTCAGGGTGGCTTCAGTAAACTTCTTCTTGACTGGAATTGAATAGCTTCACTATCAATATGAGAAGTGTATTGAAAAGCAGGTAGATTATGTTGAAAAATAAAATTAAAAACGCTTTCACAATTATTGGTTTTGTTTGTTAGGCCTAGACTTTTTGGACCAGCCCTCGTATAAATACATATGCTATCTCGACCCTTGAACTCTGTCCAACTGTGATTTTACCATAGAATCTTGTACCATTATTTGCAGTTGGTAGTTCCCACATTAAGAATTTTGAGAATTGCAAATTAAGCACCTGCCATAGCAGTAAGCACTATTCACATGTATATCTAGAACATTTCCTCACACATCTTAAATCACTGTAAAAGTACAGTGCAATCTGAACCAAATGTCAACCAATTATGAACTTAACTTTTCATCCAATTGTACTGGTTATCTTTAATGGAAGATAATGAGTTGCAATGCGTAAAGCATAGCGGCACTTCCTGTTTTACGTAAAAAAGTGCTTATCAAAGTAGGATTATAGGAATCAAAGTTGCGTGATAATACTCACAATATCCAAACAGTGAATTAACCAGCTTGAGGTGAGAGTGGCACTTTGTTGTTTTTGTCAAGTGGACAGACGAAATAAAAATGAACTTTGGACGTAACATTATAGCTACATAATGATGTTGTGGGCAATTCAGTGGTTCAGTTGTTGAAATCTGATTGCTGCTACTCATTGCTACTACTGCTACTGCTTCTGATTGCTGCTTTGCCTGATAAAGTGCATGAACATTTTTTGTCAATAGTACCAGTATTTACACTGTACATAATTTGTCACAAATGTTATTGTTCATTGCCTGTGAAATACATTTCAATTTATCATTGCATACATGTGTTGTATTGTGAATGTCTTGTGTATGCAAGCATATTGCTGTGTCTATAATACTGTTAGTTGATCTTCTGGATGTCTTGTGTATGCAAGCATATTGCTGTGTCTATAATACTGTTAGTTGATCTTCTGGATGTCTTGTGTATGCAAGCATATTGCTGTGTCTATAATGCTGTTAGTTGATCTTCTGGATGTTTATGCACTGTTATCTCGATTGCCTGGATATCTCGGAAGTTACAACACTGTCCTGCTATGTTGGATAACTATTCTATTTAATATGAAGAAACCTGTATCATGCATGATTCTTGCAGATGTCCAACATTATATGCCGGCATGGTCTGACCTGGTAAACACTGGCAGCTGTGCGCCCATCACTTTGATCCTGGCAAACAACATCAGCAGCGTGCTGCCTACCAGGAACACCATGCGCACCACTGACGAGGACAACCACCCCGGCACCCGTGGCCTCGCTCCCACCAGGCTGTGCAGGAAGTCCACCAGCTCCCAGAAAGAGGCCTGGTATTTGAAACAACTTTGTGAAAACACTTTAACACATATTCAGGGTGCCCCTAGAATGTAATTTTGCAACAATCCTGATAGTAATATTCACTGATTAAAAATTATGTACACCTTCAAGATAGTAATATTAGCAGTGTTAGAAATTAAGGCCAATATGACACCATGGCTTAAAAACTTAGGACATTTTCCCAGCTGGCTAGTTGTAGTTCAATCTCAAGGAAATGTAGATGCTACCCCACACAGTTAGGGCTTTCAGTTATTTGGTATTTACACAACCCTGTATTAGTAATTATAGAAATAGAACAAAGAATAGAATAGAAAACCTACAAACAAACAAGTAAGAAAACTATTTGCTAGCAATTCTCCACACTGCATCAAGATAGGTTGTCAGGGTAAACTATGTGTTAAAATTTAATCAATGTAATTTAATCCCGTGTTAACAGGCTAATTAACACTGCTGCACTAGGCAGTACAATGAGGATTGACTGGTTAATTAACAGTGCTGCACTGGGCAGTACAATAAGGATTGACTGGTTCATTAACACTGCTGCACTGGGCAGTACAATAAGGATTGACTGGATAACTAACAGTGCTGCACTGGGCAGTACAATAAGGATTGACTGGTTCATTAACACTGCTGCACTGGGCAGTACAATAAGGATTGACTGGATAACTAACAGTGCTGCACTGGGCAGTACAATAAGGATTGAATGGTTAATTAACACTGCTGCACTGGGCAGTACAATAAGGATTGACTGGATAAGTAACACTGCTGCACTGGGCAGTACAATAAGGATTGACTGGTTAATTAACACTGCTGCACTGGGCAGTACAATAAGGATTGACTGGATAAGTAACACTGCTGCACTGGGCAGTACAATAAGGATTGACTGGTTAATTAACATAACTGCACTTGGCAGTACAACGAGGGTTGACAGGATAATTAACATTGCTGCACTGGGCAGTACAATAAGGATTGACTGGATAATTAACAGTGCTGCACTGGTCAGTACAATAAGGATTGACTGGATAAGTAACACTGCTGCACTTGGCAGTACAATGAGGGTTGACAGGATAAGTAACACTGCTGCACTGGGCAGTACAATGAGGGTTGACAGGATAATTAACACGGCTGCACTTGGCAGTACATTGAGGGTTGACAGGATAATTAACATTGCTGCACTGGGCAGTACAATGAGGGTTTACAGGATAATTAACACTGCTGCACTGGGCAGTACAATGAGGGTTGACTGGATAATTAACACTGCTGCACTGGGCAGTACAATAAGGATTGACTGGTTAATTAACAGTGCTGCACTGGGCAGTACAATGAGGATTGACTGGATAATAAACACTGCTGCACTGGGCAGTACAATGAGGGTTGACAGGATAATTAACACTGCTGCACTGGGCAGTACAATGAGGGTTGACAGGATAATAAACACTGCTGCACTGGGCAGTACAATGAGGATTGACTGAATAATTGTTGCACTTGGCATTACAATGAGGGTTGACTGAAGAAATAACACTGCTGCACTTGGCAATACAATGAGGGTTGACTGAATAATTAACATTGCTGCACTTGGCAGTACAATGAGGGGTGATTGGATAATTAACACTGCTGCACTTGGCAGTACAATGAGGGGTGATTGGATAATTAACACTGCTGCACTTGGCAGTACAACGAGGGGGTAACTGGGTAATTGTTGCACTTGGCAGTACAATGAGGAGTGACTGAATAATTGCTGCACTTGGCAGTACAATGAGGGATGACTGGATAATTGTTGCACTTGGCAGTACAATGAGGGTTGACTGGATAATTAAAATTGCTGCACTTGACAGTACAATGAGGGGTGACTGGATAAGTGTTGCACTTGGCATTACAATGAGGGTTGACTGGATAATTAACATAGCTGCACTTGGCAGTACAATGAGGGTTGACAGGATAATTAACATAGCTGCATTTGGCAGAACAAGGAGGGTTGACTGGTTAATTAACATAGCTGCACTTGGCAGTACAATGAGGGTTGACAGGATAATTAACATTGCTGCACTTGGCAGAACAAGGAGGGTTGACTGGTTAATTAACATAGCTGCACTTGGCAGTACAATGAGGGTTGACAGGATAATTAACATAGCTGCACTTGGCAGAACAAGGAGGGTTGACAGAATAATTAACATAGCTGCACTTGGCAGTACAATGAGGGTTGACAGGATAATTAACATAGCTGCACTTGGCAGAACAAGGAGGGTTGACTGGTTAATTAACATAGCTGCACTTGGCAATACAATGAGGGTTGACTGGTTAATTAACATAGCTGCACTTGGCAGAACAAGGAGGGTTGACAGGATAATTAACATAGCTGCAGTTGGCAGTACAATGAGGGTGGACTGGTTAATTAACATAGCTGCACTTGGCAGAAAATTGAGGGTTGACAGGATAATTAACATAGCTGCACTTGGCAGTACAATGAGGGTTGACTGGTTAATTAACATAGCTGCACTTGGCAGTACAATGAGGGTCGACTGGTTAATTAACATAGCTACATTGGCAGTACTTACCCTCTGTGCAACGAAAACTTCGTACACACAACAGATGCCAATAACAGTGATTCCCTGTTCCTTACATAACATTGCTATGGTAACCAGCCATACAGTTGTTATCAACCACATCCAATCTGGAAGATAAACAAGTAATACTGACAAATGACACACAAGTCTATCAAACATGTCATACTGTTAAACAGGACTTATTCATGTACTTTTAGCATATAAGAAAACAATAAACATGATAATGATAGCCAGGCATAAATGTTTGAAACAATAACTGGAGAGATTGAATTTCTGTTAAGCTATATAACTCCTAAATATAGCATGTCAAATTATTGCTCAGGATAAACAGTGGTACTTTAGGGAGCATGTTGCATATTGTATAAATATCAACATATTTTCAAAATATTACTATATTTAGTTTTATACACCATGAATACAATGGAACAGATCTCCAATCTGGGGCCCGTTCCACAAAGCGATCTTAGTGCTATGATTGTCGTAAGCCTATTTTAAAGTATGGGAGTTACGATCATCTTAGCGCTAAGATCACTTTGTGGAACGGGGCCCAGGTCAGCTGTCATGACAAGCATAGAGTACTGGGGACATGCTCTTGCCCATAATCACGATACTTGTGCACTCAACACACTGTCAGTACCTCATCTGACCAGATGAACCATCATAACAATTACAGCATCAGTGCTGGGTGTTTCCTGGCCCCCTTCTCCCCATGTACAACTCACTTATCTGCTTCCTGTACCCTGTACATCTGACGTACGTCATCAGTGCAGCCAGAATGAAGATGGAGGACAGAGCCTCAGCTCGACCCACAACCCCTGTCACCTGTGCAGGGCACAACATGAAGCAGCTGAGGCAACCACTAAAAGCAACAAATCTCACCAATAACAATTTATGTATCCTATTACTGAAACATTATAACAAACAAAATGCTGAATAGAAGATTTCAAGGAATATCACTTTGTTGAGTGCTATATACCAAGCTATCATTAATTGTGACATACACAGGCTAGTGCCACAGTGGGTGACATCTGACAGTGACATACATACCGCCTCTGTGTGAACAGGGTGGACCGCAAACAGCAAGGCAGCCAAAAAGGATGTCCACTCCTTTAGAAACATGCAGCACATCCTGGACAAGAAAACAGATCAGAAACACTTATAACAGGAAACCAGGGAGAAAAAAATATTTGTTTTGTTTGTTTGTTTGTTTGTTTGTTTATTAACTCAGCTGTATGATGGTGGTCTATAAATAATTGAGTCTGGACCAGATAACCTAGTGAGTGACATCATGAGCATGGATCTACATAATTGGGATATGATGACATGCAACCAGGTCAGCAAGCCTGACCACCTGATCCTGTTAGTCGCCTATTACAATTCTAAACAGGATCTTCCCATTTGTATTCTTTTACCAGCCAGCATGGCTAACGTTGGGAATAACTTTAAGGCATACTTTATCAAATTTATCAGGCAAACAAGTAATAAAATGATAAAGATAACTGCATGGTAATACTGGTACTCACTTCATGAACATGATGCAGACCACTGCATGCAGCAAAGTATTGACCAGGTGGTAAGTCATGGGCTCCAGTTCGCTGAGGCTGTAGTTGAGCCGGAAAGTCAGCACGCACAGAGGGCGGTAGGACTTGTGACTTCTCTCCTAACAGTCACACATTGAACAATGGTAAAATAGCTGCATGTAAACAGTTGTAAATGTGATCATTATTGAAAATATATGATGAAATCTTTGCAAGGGTGGAGATGAGAAATTGATAGAATAACAGCAATTGTTGCCAAGTTTGAGAATTCATGCTAATACATCAAGGGATGATGATCACTATAACTTTAATATACCTTGGAATATGCTGATGACAAATAGCTTTTGTTGAGTGCGTGTGTGCATGCTCTGTGTGTGTGTGTGTGGAGGGGATCCTAATTATATTTAACTCTTTAAGCATGTTAAGTGGTACACAGGTGAACCAACAAATAACAGCCTGTACAGCGATATTCCAGCTATTTCAGTGACCTGTAACTAATCAAGTTTGGTCCAGACACTGACCAGCAATTGATGCCATTCAGGTACATTAAATTGACACCCAATCAACCATATTGACGAGTCTTCTGCTCCCAACTGCTTATGCCAGGGTTTGGGGGGTGATTTTGTGGATGTCAGTAAAAGCACAATGTTGCCTTTTTCTTGTGTTTTCTTGTGTTCATATCTGCCTCCATAAGGCATGATACTATGTAATAATCAGCAGTTATTTACACGTCCTGTAGAATGTGTATTATGAATGTATGGAATATATCATGTAATACCCTAGAATTTATCATGAATGAATGTATTGTCCTTCTGGCCTAGACTTACATTTTGCATTGGTGTGCCCCAGAAGTCATTCCAGAATAGTCTTGAAACTGAAGTGTGTGGTCGCAAATCCTTATTCTCAACCACAGCGGACATATCATCAAAGACAAACCCACAATTGAGGGAGTTGAAGTAGCACACACTGACCACACCCAGGAGGATGGCAGAGTATAGTGTAAAAGTCTCCATTATCACTGGTCTCTCTGTCCCTGGCCAACTTATCAACTGTAACTTCTGCTCATATCCTCGCTGTGGATCATGGTGGATACAAGAAATAAAATACAAAGCAATACAAATTGTCATATGTTTCTATTGTCCTCATTTCGAATTTAAGATAATAAAATCAACATTATGGAGGAACTCCACAGTTATGCTTATATTATTCCCACGATTATGTTTAACGCAAGCACCTGCTTGTTTGGATGAATAGAATTCACTTACTTAGACAACTTCAGTGACAAAGTCATCTGTCGAGTGTTCTCTCAAGAACTTTGAAACTATTTTATCAAGGGACACTTGCAACATGTAAGATTGCATTCTCAATAAAACATACAGTAAAGAGAGATTGTTACTTGATGTTCGAATTTTATCAGCTAACCTGCTCTTGACATATGAGTACATGGGCGCGGCCATCTTGGAGTCTCTGGCTTGGTTACTGATGCTATTATCTTAAAACTAATTCCAATTTGGAGACATAACTACATAATTTAGGTGTGTTTATTTCTTTTTTAAACTTCGAGAACAAACAGAAACAAGCCATCTCCTCTTCCACATCAAAAAAGTATTACAATGTCAACATTTCACAAATAGTTGATGTTCACCTAGAGTATCGCCAGGCGATAAAATATTAGGAATTGTTAGACAAATACTGTATTCAAAACAGTATCTATATTTAGAATAGTACCCACGTGTTAACCCGAAAGACAACATTTCTCAGTTACTGACGAGTTCAATAACTGTAATAATCGTTACTTGCAATATTCTGAATGTGTAACAAAACATGGTTTACACTATTCTATACCATTTTCTTTGGTGCATATTATATTGATATCTACAGCTTATTCCATATTCCCTTTTGGTGATATTTATCAGTTAAATGGCTGAAAATGTTATAATCGATATTTTTAAAACGATATACCTGTAGGTCCCTGATGACCGAGTGAGAAAATGTTGACGCAAAATATTTTTTTAATAGTTTCTTTGTAAACAATCATTACACTTATTGGTTTTACTTGTTATTATATATTCTTACATTTTATTCATCATATATTGGCACAATCAAATTTGTTCCATATATGCTCGTAACCTCGTACATATGATTCAGGTTCACATTATTCTTATGGAAGAATATTAAACACGTGGGGACGCGAGTTAGAGTTACAGGCCGCCTGCTATTTAACGCACTTATTGTCAAACGTTTCACAACCTTTGGCAAAATGCATTGTCGGGCGTTACTTGCAAACATCTGGTGGTCACAGAATCATCAACATTATTTGGACACCCACACGTTCAGTTCCTGTCAGACTCGCGTCTTCTTTTTTCAGTAACTCAGTACACGGCTTATAAACTTGGTCGTGTTGCACGTGAAGATATACTTAATTTGTAAACTTAGAAGGGTCCCACTCAAACAGACAAATGTTAAAAGCTTTATTAGTTCCTGGCACAAACTAAGTAATATACTAATATATATGTAAGTCCCTAAAGTCCTGAAAAGTGGTAGCGCCAGAGGCTTAGTTTTGTTGAGACGAGTTTATTCAAGAGTGGCACCATGATCAAACACTTTCATCCAATGGGAAATGTTATTCTTGTTTATAAACCTATCACCGTGTTACACTATGTTGCACTAGCTTCCTAACAACCTCGGGTAAACCTAGTAACCAGCTCATCTTGAAACGGTAACCTCCCAAAACCCCTACATCCCATTTCCCCTACAGCTTAAGACAACAAAGTTCACGGTCCATGGCACTGCTAATCCCTAGTCTGTTACCTATTTCATACAGTGGAACAACCCAAGAAACACGAATAGATTGAGATAAATATTTAATTACGATTACGATATCATTCAAAATTCATAATACATTATAATAAAATGTTTATTTTTCAAAATTCATGATACATTATAATAAAATATTCATTTTTCAAAATTCATAATACATAATAATAAATTTCATCTCAGATGTTCAATTCACTCTTTATCCCAGCCTGAGGAGATGGCCAACCGCATCTAGAAACTGCATTGGGAATTTCACCTCTCTATTCAACTCGTCCTTCAGGCGGCAGAGACTGTTCTCCACCTCTCTGTACACTCTCTTCCTGCCTCTTGGAGCTGCTCCAAAGTCGAGCTGTAAAATCTTAGCTCGTTCTGCCTGTTCCACCTTCCTGACTACCTCCACAAATCGGTAGATGTTGGGATGTCGGTGAGGGAGACCTTGGTTGAGTCGGTTATGAAAGCCTTCCAGGCTGTTGTTCGTCCTGGGACCTGTTGTACCGTGATGGTTCCACAGTGGTTGGGGGAATCGTGCTCCGTGGTCGACCCAGGTAGTGATGATGTAGTCGTTGAAGGCGAATTGTCTTCACTTACTTACTTACTTTGGAGATTTAACGTGCGCTTTCCGACTGATGCGTATTTCGCACACGGGCCCGGCCAGGCCATTTAATGTGTTTCCGAAAGGGGCGAAAGTGGTCTGTGCAACCCAAGAGGGGGCTTTAGGGGTTGCTTATATAGAATTTGGGAATTTTGAGATTTGGAATAGATGCCGTTGGGGTAGGGGAGGAGAACTAAGGGAGCTGGGTATGGTGGATGTTTGTGTGTTTATGTAATTTTGATTTGGTGGATTATAGTGTTTTTAGATGCGTTTTATTAGTTCCGTTTTGATTAAGAATACGCCTAAGGCCTTGAAGTTTTCTAGTTTATTTTGTGGGTTTAGTATTGCTTCTAGAGTGAGAGCCTTGTTTAGATTGAGGGTGGTTTGTAATGCGGTTCGATGTGTTAGGTAGTGTGCGCAGTAGAGTGCGTGTTCTGGGGTTTCTAGTTGTTTGTAGTGTGGGCAGTTACCTGTAGTATGTTTTTTATATTTTTTTTAGGTGGTTATTTAGGTTGGTGTGTCCTGTTTGGAGTTTAGTGATTACTCTGTCAATTTTTTTTGATGGATGGAGAATATTTGGTTTGGTTAGTGGTTTGCTGAGTACTTTTTTTATTTGGTTATTTGAGTTTAGATATAGGTTATGCCATTTTTTGTGATTTTTTGCTTATTTACGCTTTTAATTTAAATTCTTCACATCATACAGGCATCTTTCATAACACTTACATTAATTCTTTTTTTTTTAAAACTTTCCCTGAAGTCCCCTAATCCCCTTAAGCTCTACCCCTTTCATTTCTACTACCTCTACTCCAGACCTTAACCTCTCCTTTAGGTGAGTTCATAATGCCAGACAGGTAAATGCCGCGTGTTGTTTTAACTAATTGTAGGGGAACTGGGTTGTAGGGGAAATGGGATGTAGGGGTTTTGGGAGATAACCCTTGAAATGGGTCACTTCTAAACCTCCTTTGAGGTTTTACATTTTAATTGTAATACCAATTAAGGTTTGATCGAACTCCTTTTATACCGCGACACGCTGGATTGTTTCACAATAAGGTATGTTTTTCGATGTTTTCTTATTTCTTCTGGGATTTCTTGCATTTAGACGGGGTTCATACGTTGGATAAAACACGCCTCCTCGGTTTGGGTTGAAAATGTACAACTTTGAGATCGGGCTTTTCCCTCGCTGGCGCTATTACGTTTTCAATCAAAACCTCGGAGGCGTGTTTTATCCTACACATTTCACAATCTTAAATTACCTGTAGAGGTTGGACAATGGAGGAAACTGCCATATAGCTATGGGATATGTCCACTGTGTCAAATCTCAATTGGAAATACGTTCCACTATCTGTTTGAGTGCACTGTTTTTGTGAATGAACGCAATTATATTTAAAGAAATATTATTATATGAAACCCAATTATTACAAACTACAACAATATTTTGTGTGTTAAAAAGGATAGTTATTAAATTAATCAGTAAATTTATAAAGTGCATATGTAATAAGTGCCTGAGCCACTATCATCCGTAATTAACATGTAATGTGCCACTGTGAGTGCATGTATTGATTGATTGATTGACAGCGGCTTGTCAGTGGCTTGTATCAATGCTTGAGATATTGATCAATGAAAGATAATTTCTTCCAAATATAACGAAATAAAGCTGCACCAAGCTCTAAAGGAATTTACTACCAATATTTGAAGCATAAACCACATTTCGAAAAAAAACTTCTTTTGTAATAGATGTGAGATGCCCCTCTTAAATTCCTATTGTCCTGCCAGTCACCACGCTTGGGTGAATTTGAAACTGTAGGTGCTGGGCAAGTCGGAAGATCCCAGGTTGACATGTGGCCCTTTTGACTGTAATCCGGCCCAATACCCCCGAGGAGAACGCTGAAAATTGCAGCAACTCATCAATTCAACAGGCATTGCAGATGACTTGCATTATTTATTCCGCTGTGGTGCGTTATATAAACAAACAAATATATCTACGATCCAAACATTTAAAATCTTCAACGCATCTTGTGTATTTCAAACTGTAAAGATTTAAAGAAACTATGTACAGGGCTCTTCTTAACAGGTATTTATACAGAGAAAGTCAGTTACAGACCGTGTCATACACTCTGTCCCGTCAGCTTGATTCATTGCAGCAATCATTGTATCACTGCGCATGCACAACCGACGGTAGTTATAAGGGAAATATAGAACATGAAGTTCGACACTTTTAACAATGGAAACCATGACAATGTGAACACACGCACACGCACGCACACACACACGCACGCACACACACAGACGCACGCACACACACACGCACACATATATATACGACCACAGGGCGAGGTTTTACTGATCGTTTCACTCACTTCTTATGGTCAAACAAATGCTGGTTATGTTGAGAAATGTTAAGCGATGTGATCTCACTGGGGCTGCAATATTTTGATTTCTTGAGTATTTATCTCATTTTATCTCATAGAAAATCGTGTCAAGGTTTTCTAGAAATGATATTTGTATTGCATTTATCAATACTGAATTACTAATTATACTCAATCTATATTTGATTCATTTGTTCTTGTTTTGAAAACAGCCAAACCTGTTTTAATTTTTTTTAAATGCAAATGGTATTTAATGGTAAAAAGAATTCAATGTTGTGAATATACGCAAGTGCAAAATGTCCAAGACTCGAACCCGGTTGTTGAAGTTTAGATCGACCAAACCAGTGCTCGGCTCCCGACATCGTCGGTGTACGGAGATTATGTTAACAGTCGGGGTCGCTCATGATGGTGATCATGGATGTGTGAATATCGTGATTACTGACATGGACAAAGCAGTTACATGTGTCATATTGCGGTACCTATGGACAGTTACGCTAGCTAATGATGACAAATTGGTAAGTTCAATTAACCTTTCGATTTGTACAGTTCGTTTGCAGCGTTTTCCCCAGTGAAATCTGTAATCAAGTATCAGCTGACATCTTTATCTATTGTTTATCTGTGTATGAGATGATATGTCAATACTCATGATCAACATTATTGCTCTGATATAGAGAATGATATGGATGATATACATGATATATGCACTGTGTGATATGATATTTATCGTTATTGTGGAACGTACTGTGTGTAAACGATTGGACAATGAGACCAGTGCAGTAGAAACGTCATTGGTCCAACATAATCTGACATCAGTTTGAAACGATTTCACACCGCTATCACATGTCTATGTCCTTAATATTCTATGTTCAGCAAAGTCTGCTGGACATAATAGAGGAAAGAATTTGCTTTCATCGAAATAGTAGTTAGGCTAGTAGTTTGATAGTTGAACACCCCGTGCTGACTCCAGCCGGCGCATGTACTGTCTGTGTGCTCGTGGCTGGCATTTCATTATCACAGTAGGTTCTCTGTAATGAGTTGAACCGTCAGATGTTGAACCAGATGTATCAGGTAACCTATCACCACTGGTCACCACACACATGTAACCAGCCGTAACCATGGTAACTTGATCTGCTTCTGTTTGTACACTGGACAGAAGCACCATGCTTACCATCTTACCAGACCCTTATTATTTTCCCAGTTTCAGGTTCCCCACACCACAACTTATGGATGACTCTTTCTAACAGTTGGGGTGCTCCTATGAAAGCTGTCATGTTGGACCAGTTTTGATGCTTGTATTGTCGCTGCTGGTTCATAGATTCAAACATGGAATTCGGGCAGAGGGAATCAGATGAAGCTCTTTTACAAAAACCTCCAGCCATGACATTTAAGTTTGCCCCAACAAGACTTTCGAGGCCAAACTTTCTTCCACCTATTGTGTGTTCTCGAAGACTGTACATTCAGATAACTCTTGCCATAATGCTTGTTGCCATAGTAGTGATTGTGCGAGCATTGTCGAACATGCGTGTAGTGTTTGTACAATTCCATAATGAAAGTGACACAGATGGTGAGCTTGTGATTTTACCAGAGGACTTCTCTGCCCCTAGAGGAGCGTATTGTCTGGATGGGTCCCCACCAGCATTTTATCTCCGACATGGTGAGTAGGCCTACTTGATGTTAAAGCTGGGAGGAGTTCTCTGCCCCTAGAGGAGCATACTGGCTGCAAAGGTTCCGCCAGCATTCTAATTTCTATCTCAGACATTGTGATCTCAGTGTAAAAATGACAGTTCTAATTCTTTTTTCAAATAAATAAAATAAAGTATAAATTTGAATTGCAACATTATTGTTGACTGGTCATTTATTATAGAATGGTGGTGGTGGAGTTGTCACAAACAAATGTTACATGTTACATGTATTTGAGGGGGGTCATAATATAATGTTACATGTATTTGAGGGGGGTGGTGTCAAAATAAAATGTTACATTAAAAGGGTGAGTTTAGCAAAATATATGATACAGTCGTAAGACCAATCTCATCATGCAGATACTTTTATGGGATCAGTGTGCAACCTGTTTTGTCTTTTCTGGTGCAACTAGTTCTTCATGTTGACAGGCACTTGGTGCAAGTTGAATCAAGTTACTAGCCTGGTAGTATATCATCAGTCACACACTTGAATTAAACTTTTATATCTGATTGTTCTAAAATATTGATTGTATGTAAACAATTGTGACAGTGTGTCGTGTGTCTGTGTCTGTGTTGTCAGGTGAGATCAGTGCTGAGAACAACTGGCTGCTGCACCTCCAGTCTGGGGGCTGGTGTGTGTCTCCCACGGACTGCTACCACAGGTACTCCACAATCTTCACATACAGGAAGTACTGAACTAACCACTGAACAAGATGTCGTGAAGATCACATGTAATCTGGACATATGTACATTAATGATAGTAGTTCACTAGGTTTCTTGTTACACCCTGCCCAAAGTAAGTTTTGTAGGGGGTATACAAACAAGCTCTGTCTGTCCATTAGGCTTCATGTCCAAACCATAACTCATAAACCAATAAGGCTAAAAAAAAAATCTATTCCTGGTTCTCAGGCACCGCCTCACCATCACAAATCCCTTAAATATTCCGCGTCTCGAACACACGATCCCAAAAGTGAAATGCTACAGTACTTAAAAACAATGCAATCCAACTTGCAGTTTCTTCCCTTTTCATGCGCACTGCTTTACTGCACATCTCGTGTGTTATCATGGTTGATCATGGCAGCAATATAGGAGTTTGTGTGCTTGTTTTGATGTTTACAAATTTGGTCAATGGAAACATTAAATTTGTGATAAAACATCCCCAGACATGATAATTTACAATTTCAAAGGTATTTGTGTACTGTATGAGGGACACTGTTTCATGCACAGAGGTTAAGATTTACAATTACATGTGTATTTGTCTCATAAAATAAGCGGGAAATGCTAACTTGTATACCCCGTCTGTAAAGCGAATCGGAATGAAGCACATCACAAGTGCATACAAAGTCCCTACATTTGCAATAAAGACTTTTTTGTCTTCCACTGAAAAAAAATTACATTGTATCCCTTCAGCGAATTCAGGAAAAAGAACAGATCATAACAATTAAACTTGGCCAATACAAATTTGAAATTTGAGATAAAACATCACTAGACATGATGATTTACCGATTAAACAGTATTTCCTGTTCTGATTGGCATTGTTTTATATGCAGTGATTAAGATTGAGTTGTGCAATCTTCCGATCACTTCACATACAATTTTGTCGAAATGAATTGAAACAATATTGAAGGAAATGTTGCATAAAATTAATAGAATAGATTACAAATATAAATTCAGAAATATTATGAACTCTTTTTACAACCAGACAGTGTAATTACATGATTAATTTGCGTACTTCAGCACGGATTTGCTGACATGGTATTTCCGGTGTTACAAGCTCACAGTAATGTGTTTGTGTTGGGGAAAAAAACCAAAAAAATCCTCTTCAACCTTGTGTATAAGATGACCCCCACCTGACCCCTTGAAAGCCTCTTATACACAGCGATATACAGATTTGGATTCTCACTAGTTTGTACAAGTTTAAAAAAAAGAATTAAAAAAAAGAAGCCCGCCGGCACGATATTTTCAAAAGCAATTGCCTGAGAACCAATTCTTTTCTTTTTTTCAGCCCACTTGATTTTTTTGGTGACATTATGTATACTCACCATGTATGTATTGAACTGTTGCCATTTGCTATTCAGGAAGTTTTGAAATTTATATTTATATGTGTTTCCAAGGCAACAAGTATGATTTAAGTTCAAAATGAGGGTAGGGATTGTTTTCGGAGCATAACTCATAACTGTTTCTCTTTCTTTGTGAAACTTTGTATACCAGTATACATGAGGCAGGTACAGTGCTGGTGCCTTTTGCTGTTCACATATTTTTTCAGATGTCTATATTTTGCGTTTCTAAGGCAATAACAAATAGGACTAATGACAGTGTTCAAATGAGGGTTTCATTTTGCAGAGTAGAATTCATACACCTGTCAAAATTCCTTGATGAAACTTTGTAAGCACATCATATATCATACATCAAACAACCCAGTTGGACATTTGGGTTGAAACAGGTCCCATAGAACCTATGCTTATTTTGAGACTTCTTGGTGGCCTGGTTGATAGTGTTACATCGTGACCTGATAGAGTGGGCTGTTGCTCATTTCAGTGTTTACTACACGCACAGCATCATACATCACTGCAGTGTTTACTACAAGCACAGCATCATACATCACTGCAGTGTTTACTATAAGCACAGCATCATACATCACTACAGTGTTTACTACAAGCACAGCATCATACATCACTGCAGTGTTTACTATAAGCACAGCATCATACATCACTACAGTGTTTACTACAAGCACAGCATCATACATCACTGCAGTGTTTACTATAAGCACAGCATCATACATCACTACAGTGTTTACTACAAGCACAGCATCATACATCACTGCAGTGTTTACTATAAGCACAGCATCATACATCACTACAGTGTTTACTACAAGCACAGCATCATACATCACTGCAGTGTTTACTATAAGCACAGCATCATACATCACAGCAGTGTTTACTACAAGCACAGCATCATACATCACTGCAGTGTTTACTATAAGCACAGCATCATACATCACTACAGTGTTTACTACAAGCACAGCATCATACATCACAGCAGTGTTTACTACAAGCACAGCATCATACATCACAGCAGTGTTTACTATAAGCACAGCATCATACATCACTACAGTGTTTACTACAAGCACAGCATCATACATCACTGCAGTGTTTACTATAAGCACAGCATCATACATCACTACAGTGTTTACTACAAGCACAGCATCATACATCACAGCAGTGTTTACTATAAGCACAGCATCATACATCACAGCAGTGTTTACTATAAGCACAGCATCATACATCACTACAGTGTTTACTACAAGCACAGCATCATACATCACTGCAGTATTTACTATAAGCACAGCATCATACATCACTACAGTGTTTACTACAAGCACAGCATCATACATCACAGCAGCGTTTACTACAAGCACAGCATCATACATCACAGCAGTGTTTACTACAAGCACAGCATCATACATCACAGCAGTGTTTACTACAAGCACAGCATCATACATCATTGCAGTGTTTACTACAAGCACAGCATCATACATCACTGCAGTGTTTACTACAAGCACAGCATCATACATCACTGCAGTGTATACTACAAGCACAGCATCATACATCACTGCAGTGTTTACTACAAGCACAGCATCATACATCACTGCTGTGTTTACTATAAGCACAGCATCATACATCACTACAGTGTTTACTATAAGCACAGCATCATACATCACTACAGTGTATACTACATAACAAGCACAGCATCATACATCACTGCAGTGTTACTACAAGCACAGCATCATAAATCACTACAGTGTTTACTACAAGCACAGCATCATACATCACTGCAGTGGTTACTACAAGCACAGCATCATACATCACTACAGTGTTTACTACAAGCACAGCATCATACATCACTACAGTGTTTACTACAAGCACAGCATCATACATCACTGCAGTGTTTACTATAAGCACAGCATCATACATCACTACAGTGTTTACTACAAGCACAGCATCATACATCACTGCAGTGTTTACTATAAGCACAGCATCATACATCACTACAGTGTTTACTACAAGCACAGCATCATACATCACTGCAGTGTTTACTATAAGCACAGCATCATACATCACTACAGTGTTTACTACAAGCACAGCATCATAAATCACTACAGTGTTTACTACAAGCACAGCATCATACATCACTGCAGTGTTTACTATAAGCACAGCATCATACATCACAGCAGTGTTTACTACAAGCACAGCATCATACATCACTGCAGTGTTTACTATAAGCACAGCATCATACATCACTACAGTGTTTACTACAAGCACAGCATCATACATCACAGCAGTGTTTACTACAAGCACAGCATCATACATCACAGCAGTGTTTACTATAAGCACAGCATCATACATCATTACAGTGTTTACTACAAGCACAGCATCATACATCACAGCAGTGTTTACTACAAGCACAGCATCATACATCACTACAGTGTTTACTACAAGCACATCATCATACATCATTACAGTGTTTACTACAAGCACAGCATCATACATCACAGCAGTGTTTACTACAAGCACAGCATCATACATCACTACAGTGTTTACTACAAGCACAGCATCATACATCACTGCAGTGTTTACTATAAGCACAGCATCATACATCACTACAGTGTTTACTACAAGCACAGCATCATACATCACAGCAGTGTTTACTATAAGCACAGCATCATACATCACAGCAGTGTTTACTATAAGCACAGCATCATACATCACTACAGTGTTTACTACAAGCACAGCATCATACATCACTACAGTGTTTACTATAAGCACAGCATCATACATCACTACAGTGTTTACTACAAGCACAGCATCATACATCACAGCAGCGTTTACTACAAGCACAGCATCATACATCACAGCAGTGTTTACTACAAGCACAGCATCATACATCACAGCAGTGTTTACTACAAGCACAGCATCATACATCATTGCAGTGTTTACTACAAGCACAGCATCATACATCACTGCAGTGTTTACTACAAGCACAGCATCATACATCACTGCTGTGTTTACTATAAGCACAGCATCATACATCACTACAGTGTTTACTATAAGCACAGCATCATACATCACTACAGTGTATACTACATAACAAGCACAGCATCATACATCACTGCAGTGTTACTACAAGCACAGCATCATACATCACTGCTGTGTTTACTATAAGCACAGCATCATACATCACTACAGTGTTTACTATAAGCACAGCATCATACATCACTACAGTGTATACTACATAACAAGCACAGCATCATACATCACTGCAGTGTTTACTACAAGCACAGCATCATACATCACTGCAGTGTTTACTATAAGCACAGCATCATACATCACTTCAGTGTTTACTATAAGCCCAGCATCATACATCACAGCAGTGTTTACTACAAGCACATCATCATACATCATTACAGTGTTTACTACAAGCACAGCATCATACATCACAGCAGTGTTTACTACAAGCACAACATCATACATCACTACAGTGTTTACTACAAGCACAGCATCATACATCACTACAGTGTTTACTATAAGCACAGATCCATACATCACTGCAGTGTTTACTACAAGCACAGATCCATACATCACTACAGCGTTTATTACAAGCACAGCATCATACATCATTACAGTGTTTACTACAAGCACAGCATCATACATTACTACAGTGTTTACTACAAGCTAGCACCATACATCACTACAGTGTTTACTATAAGCACAGCACCATACATCACTGCAGTGTTTACTACAAGCACAGCATCATACATTACTACAGTGTTTACTACAAGCACAGCATCATACATCACTGCTGTGTTTACTATAAGCACAGCATCATACATCACTACAGTGTTTACTACAAGCACAGCATCATACATCACTACAGTGTTTACTATAAGCACAGCACCATACATCACTACAGTGTATACTACATAACAAGCACAGCATCATACATCATTCCAGGACTTGTTTATTTTATTATTTTTATTTATTGAATCATGATGTAGAATTTTGAAAATATTATATGTAACCTTGCTTATTAAATGAATGATTCTGTCTATTGAAAAGAATCATTACTAATTGAAGCCTGTGGAGGGTATTGAAAGTGTCTAAAGAATAGAAGGAATTGTATGGTTTAGTCATCAGTGATGTCACAAGCTGTAAGATTAACCTTGTTTGGTATAATGAAGTACGAGGGGTGGTTGAAAAGTTCCTAGCCTCTATGATAGACTGCATTGATGGAGTTGGTTGCTAATTATCTTTTCGACATTATCCACTCCTAATGAGTGCCTGGATCCCGCTGGTGTAGAAGTCTTATTCCTGGTGGTGATGTCATCAATTGTGTAATGGTTGCAAGACAGTTCTTTCTTCAAGTTTGGGATGTAGGTGGAAATCTGATGGTGTCAGAGCGGATGAAAATCGAAGAGTTCAAAGGCATAGTCATGCATTTGAATTTGCAGCCATGGCAACAACAGACTTGCTTCACAGGCGCATTGTCCTGGTGGAACAACACCTTTAATCTGACCTTTTTTGGAAGTTGTCCACTAGTAGGATGACTTTGGACTCCAAATAACATGTTGATTACCTGGTGGCAGTTGAAGGTCTTCCTGATCCAGATTCATCTTTGACGATCTCTCTTCCCCTCTTGAACCCTGCTGCCCACTTCTTTGCAGTGCCAAAGATAGGAGCACCATGTCCTATAGTTGACACTGTGTCCATATATATGGCTGTTGGAGGTAGCCAATGTTGTACCTTTTCATCAGCAGAGAGCACCTAAAGACATACTAGTGCTGCCTGGTTGTGTATTAGGTTCAAATACAGCATGTAAGAAGTATTGCACTTAATACATGTAAACTGTTAAGGGTACTAGGTACTACACATCCTTCATAGGTAGGCTCAGAACTTTTAGGCCACCTCTCGTATATGATGTACTGTATTTTATTTTATGCACATATTTAAGGGAAGGGGATATCAATGTGTTTTTGTTTTAGGTTATGACAACATAATTCAAACAGGAAATCAATACTACAATATTGATACTGATAACAATTCCTGATATTTATGCAGTCATTCTTAGAGCTCTATTTTCAACACAATGTCCAGAATGTCCAATATAATGGAAGGTGTCGCTGACCTCCAACATGTCTGTACCACACAGGAGCTTCACCGAGCTGGGATCAAGCCAGTCTGCCCACACCTCTGCTCTGTTTGAGGGTATCCTGTCCAGCGATGAGAGGGTCAACCCAGACTTCTTCACCTGGAACACTGCCCAGTTTCTGTACTGTGATGGGAGCTCTTTCACAGGTGGGTAGAGGAGGTTCAGCTGACACTACAGGTGGTGGGTAAAGTGTCGTCATGATCAGCCATCTTCCCGAGGCAAGGGAGTTATCTAACTATAAAAGTCCAGTTTCCACCCTTGCCAAACTAGAGTTACATTTTGGTTGGATTAATGAGTCTATGCATAGTCCAATCAAAATCACTAGACATCCAGTTTGTAAACAACCTGGATTTCATTGGCAGATTTTTGTTGACTGCATGATTTGCAAAGCATGTGTTCCGACAACTGGGCATCAAAAGATAATTTTGCAAATCTTTTCATGTGTTTAATCAAGGTGCTCAAATGATTTGATTCACTTCATCGTAAAACCTGTTTTATTACAATATAGATTTTGATTACCGTATATCGCTGTGTATAAGGCGAGTTTTTCGTTCCTAAAATGAGGGGGCTAAGAAGGGGGGTCGTCTTATACACGGAGTCGAAGATCTCACATTTTTTTTCCACTTGCGATGTCAACCGGCGTCCGATAGCCAGCCCAGCATTTGACAATAAAACTTCGCATTTCGTCCTAAATAACTGTTCCAATAACTATTTCCATACATAAACATGATTTGTATCTCTTTTCCTTGAATAAAGTTTAATAATTTCTGCAAATAAAGTTGAAATGACCCTCTCCTCGATGCAGATTGTCAAACCAGCTGACACGGTAAAACAATCAACATCCGTGAGTAGAGAGCCGGAAGTACCGGTAATCATTTGCATATTGCACATGTGACCTAACATATGATAATCGGTGAAGCTGAAATCAATTCCTGCTGTTTTTACAGTTGTATTAACAAGTGTTGGAGACGGTGTGTACAAGTGATTGTGGAATAAACATGCTGAATGTGAAGCAAACATAAGCCTAGTTAGTTACAACATAGTTAATTGGCGATTAAATTAATCACCATTGTCTCTTATATGTTATTACTTCATAAATGAATTTTATTTTACGGGCACCAATTTGGTGTCGTACCGTGTAAACACAAAATGGCGACGTGTGCTGGAGTTACACACGCGACCTATCATTGTAGAAAAACAACAACGCAAGATAAACATATTTTTATTACATATATAAGGTTTGTGTGCGCACTTGTGATGTGTGCGAAATACGCATCAGTCGGAAAGCGCACATTAAATCTCCAAAGTAACTAACTAACTAATTTGTGATGTCCGTGTGCGAAATACGCTAGTTGGCAAGAGCACGTTAAATCTTCTACCGGTATATCAGTCAGACTTGTGATGTGTTTCATTCCAGGTCGCCTTATACACGGAGTATGGGATTTTGGGTTGATTTTTAAGGCGTGTACAGGGGGCGATATACGGTACTGCAAATTTGTTTGAAGCAAATGCATGTGCTATAAGAGATGAAATCTGATTGGTCAATAGGAGGGACACAGAAGGGACATAACTCATAATAGCCACTGGTGGCACTATGATCGAGCCTGGAAATTCCAGCATAGTTCGGCAAGACTGGAAACTGGACTTGTATTGTCAGTTAACACCCTTGCCTCAGGAAGATGTGTTCAGCCAACACTACATGTGTTATGTAAGGTGTTGTCATGTTCTGCTGACACTACAGGTGTTATGTAAGGTGTTGTCATGTTCTGCTGACACTACAGGTGTTATGTAAGGTGTTGTCATGTTCTGCTGACACTACAGGTGTTATGTAAGGTGTTGTCATGATGTGCTGACACTACAGGTGTTATGTAAGGTGTTGTCATGTTCAGCCGACACTACATGTGTTATGTAAGGTGTTGTCATGTTGTGCTGACACTACAGGTGTTATGTAAGGTGTCGTCATGTTCTGCTGACTCTACAGGTGTTATGTAAGGTGTTGTCATGTTCTGTTGCAGGTAACAAGTCAGGTGTGTTGGATGTGCAATCACGGCAACTGTATTTGCGAGGTGGGGCAGTCTTTGAGACTTTGATCGAGTACCTGCTGTCTCACACCAGCCTGGCCACAGCACATCATGTCATCCTTGCTGGGTCATCAGGTATGTCATCATCATTGGTACACAATGATATCTATACACCTGTATACCCGTGTACCTGACTGTGTGTATAATTCCCACATGGACTGATCTTGAGTTTGGGGTGGTTGGCATAGAGTATTGTTTAGTGTCTGGTGTCTTTTTCGTAGAAGAAAACCCCAGTCATATGTGTAGGGCCAAGGTTTTCAACCAATTTTTGACATCCCCTAGTGTTATGCATCTGCTGTAGTGTGTCTGTTATTGTGTGGCTGATGTTGTGTGGTTGTAGCTTGATTTCTGTTGTGTGGTTGTAGCTTGACTACTGTTGTGTGGTTGCTGTAGCTTGACTGCTGTTGTGTGGTTGTTGTAGCTTGACTGCTGTTGTGTGGTTGTTGCAGCTTGACTCCTGTTGTGTGGTTGTTGCTTGACTGCTGTTGTGTGGTTGTAGCTTGACTGCTGTTGTGTGGTGGTTGTAGCTTGACTGCTGTTGTGTGGTTGTAGCTTGACTCCTGTTGTTTGGTTGTTGTAGCTTGACTGTTATGTGGTTGCTGTAGCTTGACTGCTGTTGTGTGGTTGTTGCTAGACTGCTGTAGCTTGACTGCTGTTGTGTGGTTGCTGTAGATTGACTGCTGTTGTGTGGTTGTTGCAGCTTGACTCCTGTTGTGTGGTTGCTGTAGCTTGACTGCTGTTATGTGGTTGTTGTAGCTTGACTGCTGTTGTGTGGTTGCTGTAGCTTGACTGCTGTTGTGTGGTTGCTGTAGCTTGACTGCTGTTGTGTGGTTGTTGCAGCTTGACTGCTGTTGTGTGGTTGTAGCTTGACTCCTGTTGTGTGGTTGTTGTAGCTTGACTCCTGTTGTGTGGTTGTTGCTTGACTCCTGTTGTGTGGTTGTAGCTTGACTGCTGTTGTGTGGTTGTTGAAGCTTGACTGCTGTTGTGTGGTTATAGCTTGATTCCTGTTGTGTGGTTGTTGCAGTTTGACTGCTGTTGTGTGGTTGTTGCAGTTTGACTGCTGTTGTGTGGTTGTTGCAGTTTGACTGCTGTTGTGTGGTTGTTGCAGTTTGACTGCTGTTGTGTGGTTGCTGTAGCTTGACTGCTGTTGTGTGGTTTCTGTAGCTTGACTGCTGTTGTGTGGTTGTAGCTTGACTCTTGTTGTGTGGTTGTAGCTTGACTCCTGTTGTGTGGTTGTAGCTTGACTCCTGTTGTGTGGTTGCTGTAGCTTGACTGCTGTTGTGTGGTTGTTGCTTGACTGCTGTTGTGTGGTTCCTGTAGCTTGAGTGCTGTTGTGTGGTTGTAGCTTGACTGCTGTTGTGTGGCTGCTGTAGCTTGACTCCTGTTGTGTGGTTGTTGCTTGACTGCTGTTGTATGGTTGTTGTAGCTTGATTGCTGTTGTGTGGTTGCTGTAGCTTGACTGCTGTTGTGTGGTTGCAGCTTGACTGCTGTTGTGTGGTTTCTGTAGCTTGACTGCTGTTGTGTGGTTGTAGCTTGACTCTTGTTGTGTGGTTATACCTTGACTCCTGTTGTGTGGTTGTAGCTTGACTGCTGTTGTGTGGTTGCTGTAGCTTGACTGCTGTTGTGTGGTTGCTGTAGCTTGACTGCTGTTGTGTGGTTGTTGCAGCTTGACTGCTGTTGTGTGGTTGTAGCTTGACTCCTGTTGTGTGGTTGTTGTAGCTTGACTCCTGTTGTGTGGTTGTTGCTTGACTCCTGTTGTGTGGTTGTAGCTTGACTGCTGTTGTGTGGTTGTTGAAGCTTGACTGCTGTTGTGTGGTTATAGCTTGATTCCTGTTGTGTGGTTGTTGTAGCTTGACTGTTGTGTGGTTGCTGTAGCTTGACTGCTGTTGTGTGGTTGTTGATTGACTGCTGTTGTGTTGTTGTTGCAGTTTGACTGCTGTTGTGTGGTTGTTGCAGTTTGACTGCTGTTGTGTGGTTGCTGTAGCTTGACTGCTGTTGTGTGGTTGCAGCTTGACTGCTGCTGTGTGGTTTCTGTAGCTTGACTCCTGTTGTGTGGTTGTAGCTTGACTCTTGTTGTGTGGTTGTAGCTTGACTCCTGTTGTGTGGTTCCTGTAGTTTGAGTGTTGTTGTGTGGTTGTAGCTTGACTGCTGTTGTGTGGCTGCTGTAGATTGACTCCTGTTGTGTGGTTGTTGCTTGACTGCTGTTGTATGGTTGTTGTAGCTTGACTGCTGTTGTGTGGTTGTTGTTGCTTGACTGCTGTTGTGTGGTTATAGCTTTATTCCTGTTGTGTGGTTCTTGCTTGACTGCTGTTGTGTTGTTGCTGTAGCTTGACTGCTGTTGTGTGGTTCTTGCTCGACTCCTGTTGTGTGGTTGTTGTAGCTCGACTCCTGTTGTGTGGTTGCTGTAGCTTGACTGCTGTTGTGTGGTTGCTGTAGCTTGACTCCTGTTGTGTGGTTGTTGTAGCTTGACTCCTGTTGTGTGGTTGTAGCTTGACTGCTGTTGTGTGGTTTTTGTTGCTTGACTCCTGTTGTGTGGTTGTAGCTTGACTCCTGTTGTGTGGTTGTTGTAGCTTGACTGTTGTGTGGTTGCTGTAGCTTGACTGCTGTTGTGTGGTTCTTGCTTGACTGCTGTTGTGTTGTTGCTGTAGCTTGACTGCTGTTGTGTGGTTCTTGCTTGACTCCTGTTGTGTGGTTGTTGTAGCTCGACTCCTGTTGTGTGGTTGCTGTAGCTTGACTGCTGTTGTGTGGTTGCTGTAGCTTGACTCCTGTTGTGTGGTTGTTGTAGCTTGACTCCTGTTGTGTGGTTGTTGCTTGACTGCTGTTGTGTGGTTGTTGTAGCTTGACTCCTGTTGTGTGGTTGCTGTAGCTTGACTCCTGCTGTGTGGTTGTTGTAGCTTGACTCCTGTTGTGTGGTTGTTGTAGCTTGACTCCTGTTGTGTGGTTGTTGCCTGACTGCTGTTGTGTGGTTGTTGTAGCTTGACTCCTGTTGTGTGGATGCTGTAGCTTGACTGCTGCTGTATGGTTGTTGTAGCTTGACTCCTGTTGTGTGGTTGTTGTAGCTTGACTCCTGCTGTGTGGTTGTTGCTTGACTGCTGTTGTGTGGTTGTTGTAGCTTGACTCCTGTTGTGTGGTTGTAGCTTGACTGCTGTTGTGTGGTTGTTGCTTGACTGCTGTGGTGTGGTTGTAGCTTGACTCCTGTTGTGTGGTTGTTGTAGCTTAACTGTTGTGTGGTTGTTGTAGCTTGACTGCTGTTGTGTGGTTGTTGCTTGACTGCTGTTGTGTGGTTGTTGTAGCTTTACTCCTGTTTTGTGGTTGTAGCTTGACTGCTGTTGTGTGGTTGCTGTAGCTTGACTGTTGTTGTGTGGTTGTTGCAGCTTGACTCCTGTTGTGTGGTTGTAGCTTGACTCCTGTTGTGTGGTTGTTGTAGCTTGACTGTTGTGTGGTTGTTGTAGCTTGACTGCTGTTGTGTGGTTGTAGCTTGACTCCTGTTGTGTGGTTGTGTAGCTTGACTGTTGTGTGGTTGTAGCTTGACTGCTGTTGTGTGGTTGTTGTAGCTTGACTGCTGTTGTGTGGTTGCTGTAGCTTGACTGCTGTTGTGTGGTTGTAGCCTGACTGTTGTTGTGTGGTTGTTGTAGCTTGACTGCTGTTGTGTGGTTGCTGTAGCATGAATGATGTTGTGTGGTTGCTGTAGCTTGACTCATGAAGTCAGACAGCTGTTGTATAACTTCTGTAGTGTGAGTGATGGAGTAAACTGTATTGTGCAGATCATTTACTTCCTGCAAACTGTTGTGTACTCAGCTATGTAGGACAACGTTCACTGGTCACCTTGAAATGCATAATAATATTTGATATGTTTCAATATAGAGGAATGTTTACAGTAACACATGAGGGGTTTTATGCTATAGCTGGAGGGCTTGCAGCTCTTCTCCAAGCTGACCGGTTGAGGGAGAAGCTGCCTTCATCAGTGAAGACCCTGCATGTGCTGGTGGATGGCTCCCTGTTCGTGGATCAACCAGATGCCAATCAACAGCATGTCATGGCGGAGATGCTGCACAACACTTACAATCTCCACAACCTCAGAGGTAAATCATGCTGCACAACACTTAACCCAGAATTACATGACGCCTAACACCTCAGAAGTACATGCTGCACAACACTTACTCCAGAAGTACATGCTGCACAACACTTGCAAACCCAGAAAGACATGCTGCACAACACTTACCTCAGAAGTACATGCTGCACAACACTTACCTCAGAAGTACATGCTGCACAACACTTACCTCAGAAGTACATGCTGCACAACACTTACCTCAGAAGTACATGCTGCACAACACTTACCTCAGAAGTACATGCTGCACAACACTTACCTCAGAAGTACATGCTGCAGAACACTTACTCCAAAAGTACATGCTGCACAACACTTACACCAGAAGTACATGCTGCACAACACTTACCTCAGAAGTACATGCTGCACAACACTTACCTAAGAAAGTACATGCTGCATAACACTTACCCCAGAAGTACATGCTGCACAACACTTACTCCAGAAGTACATGCTGCACAACAATTACCTCAGAAGTACATGCTGCACAACACTTACCTCAGAAATACATGCTGCACAACACTTACTCCAGAAGTACATGCTGCATAAGACTTACCCCAGAAGTACATGCTGCACAACACTTACTCCAGAAGTACATGCTGCATAAGACTTACCCCAGAAGTACATGCTGCACAACACTTACTCCAGAAGTACATGCTGCACAACACTTACCTCAGAAGTACATGCTGTAGAACACTTACCCCAGAAGTACATGCTGCACAACACTTACTCCAGAAGTACATGCTGCACAACACTTACCTCAGAAGGACATGCTGCATAACACTTACCCAAGAAGTACATGCTGCACAACACTTACCCCAGAAGTACATGCTGCACAACACTTACCTCAGAAGTACATGCTGTACAACACTTGCAACCTCAGAAGTATAGGCTGCACAACACTTATCCCAGATTTACATGCTGCAGAACACTTACCTCAGAAAAACATGCTGCGTAACACTTACCCCAGAAGTACATGCTGCACAACACTTACCTCAGACGTACATGCTGCAGAACACTTACCTCAGAAGTACATGCTGCACAACACTTACCTCAGAAGTACATGCTGCACAACACTTACCTCAGAAGTACATGCTGCACAACACTTACCTCAGAAGTACATGCTGCACAACACTTACCTAAGAAAGTACATGCTGCACAACACTTACCCCAGAAGTACATGCTGCACAACACTTACTCCAGAAGTACATGCTGCACAACACTTGCAACCTCAGTAGTATATGCTCTACAACACTTACCCCAGAAGTACATGCTGCACAACACTTACCTCAGAAGTACATGCTGCACAACACTTACCTAAGAAAGTACATGCTGCATAACACTTACCCCAGAAGTACATGCTGCACAACACTTACTCCAGAAGTACATGCTGCACAACACTTACCTCAGAAAAACATGCTGCACAACACTTACTCCAGAAGTACATGCTGCATAAGACTTACCCCAGAAGTACATGCTGCACAACACTTACTCCAGAAGTACATGCTGCACAACACTTACCTCAGAAGTACATGCTGCATAACACTTACCCAAGAAGTACATGCTGCACAACACTTACCCCAGAAGTACATGCTGCACAACACTTACCTCAGAAGTACATGCTGTACAACACTTGCAACCTCAGAAGTATATGCTGCACAACACTTATCCCAGATTTACATGCTGTAGAACACTTACCCCAGAAGTACATGCTGCACAACACTTACTCCAGAAGTACATGCTGCACAACACTTACCTCAGAAGTACATGCTGCATAACACTTACCCAAGAAGTACATGCTGCACAACACTTACCCCAGAAGTACATGCTGCACAACACTTACCTCAGAAGTACATGCTGTACAACACTTGCAACCTCAGAAGTATAGGCTGCACAACACTTATCCCAGATTTACATGCTGCAGAACACTTTCCTCAGAAAAACATGCTGCATAACACTTACCCCAGAAGTACATGCTGCACAACACTTACCTCAGACGTACATGCTGCAGAACACTTACCTCAGAAGTACATGCTGCACAACACTTGCTCAGAAGTACATGCTGCACAACACTCACCTCAGAAGTACATGCTGCACAACACTTACCTCAGAAGTACATGCTGCACAACACTTACCTAAGAAAGAACATGCTGCACAACACTTACCCCAGAAGTACATGCTGCACAACACTTACCCCAGAAGTACATGCTGCACAACACTTACTCCAGAAGTACATGCTGCACAACACTTGCAACCTCAGTAGTATATGCTGCACAACACTTACCCCAGAAGTACATGCTGCACAACACTTACCTCAGAAGTACATGATGTAGAACACTTACCTCAGAAGTACATGCTGCACAACACTTGCAACCTCAGTAGTATATGCTGCACAACACTTACCCCAGAAGTACATGCTGCACAACACTTACCTCAGAAGTACATGATGTAGAACACTTACCTCAGAAGTACATGCTGCACAACACTTACCTCAGAAGTACATGCTGCACAACACTTGCAACCTCAGTAGTATATGCTGCACAACACTGACCCAGAAGTACATGCTGCACAACACTTACCTAAGAAAGTACATGCTGCATAACACTTTCTCCAGAAGTACTTGCTGCAGAACACTTACCTCAGAAATACATGCTGCACAACACTTACTCCAGAAGTACATGCTGCAGAACACTTACCTCAGAAGTACATGCTGAACAACACTTACCTCAGAAATACATGCTGCACAACACTTACTCCAGAAGTACATGCTGCACAACACTTGCAACCTCAGAAGTATATGCTGCACAACACTTACCTCAGAAGTACATGCTGCACAACACTTACCTCAGAAGTACATGCTGCACAACACTTACCTCAGAAGTACATGCTGCACAACACTTACCTCAGAAGTACATGCTGCACAACACTTACCTCAGAAGTACATGCTGCACAACACTTACCTAAGAAAGTACATGCTGCATAACACTTACCTCAGAAGTACATGCTGCACAACACTTGCAACCTCAGAAGTATATGCTGCACAACACTTACCTAAGAAAGTACATGCTGCATAACACTTACCTAAGAAAGTACATGCTGCACAACACTTACTCCAGAAGTACATGCTGCACAACACTTACCCAAGAAGTACATGCTGCACAACACTTACCCCAGAAGTACATGCTGCACAACAATTACCTCAGAAGTACATGCTGCACAACACTTGCAACCTCAGAAGTATATGCTGCACAACATTTACCTCAGAAGTACATGCTGCACAACACTTACCTAAGAAAGTACATGCTGCACAACACTTGCAACCTCAGAAGTATATGCTGCACAACACTTACCCCAGAAGTACATGCTGCAGAACACTTACCTCAGAAGTACATGCTGCACAAAACTTACCTCAGAAGTACATCATGCCGCCTCTTGTGAAACAGTTTTGCTTCCTTTATTTGATACAATACAAATCCCATTACATAGTGAAATACAGTTAGCTCTGTAAACATTATCTCAGAAACAACTAAACCATTAAGCTGAAACTTCACATCCTTGTTCAAACCAATGATTGAGCTAAAGTTGTTCAATCTAGCAGCCATATTGAAAAACCTATTGTTCATTTGTCATTTATTTCCAATATGGAATGACATTTGTTATATGTGTAGTTAGTAGTTGCGCTCAACATAAGTATTAATATTTTTGCAATATTTGAGAATTTTGTTGTTTTTTTGTCTGCTTTTAAATTCTCTCAAATACATTTTTGGCTTTTGTAAATCTTCTCTGAAATTGTCCAAATGAACAGGACTGTATGTTGGTTCTTTTCTGACATTATATTTTGTTCAGATCTATAAAATTTAGTCCTCCGTATTTAGGCAGAAATTATATAAAGGTCAATGCTGACAGCAACTATTACATTACAGTCTTTGGTGACATTTTAAACTGTACCATTTTTCTCTTCTAATGGGATATTGTTTCCCCTCCCACAGAATCCTTGGTGCTGAAGGAGTGTACAGGGAACCTCCCAGAGCAGGTTCGGTGGCGCTGTTTCCTGCCTGAGGTGTTCTACAAGCATGTGTTCACGCCAATGTTCTTTGTCAACTCCCTGTATGACACATGGTACTCGTCGGCCACACTGAGTATCTCCTGTACTCGGGCTGGACTCTGCCCCCCCAGGAATATGCAAGTGTTGGACAGGGTGAAGCAGGCTATCCTCCAACACTCGCAGGACCTCCTAGCGTCGGGGAAGAACGGTGTGTTCCTAACGTCCTGTCCCGCTCACACCATGCTGCCTAATCCAAGATTCAACAGCATGAAAGCAGGACAACTGACCAGTCAAGATGCTATATCGATGTGGCTCAAACACAACAAAAAGGGATATAATGTTTCAGAGAGCATTGACTTAAATGACTCTGCCCATTACTGCAAATTGTTCTATTGACCCAGTTGCTTGGAAGGCTGTGAGTGGGTGCCTAATGCCTGTCTGTCCCTAGCCTGGTCATACAGAAGCTATTCTAAAGTACTATAAGGAGATTTGTCTCCAAATACATCAGCACATGTTCTTATTTGGCACAAGATTTTGTTTTGCAATTTGTCTACAAAAGTATTGATTGGTCAATATGAAAAATTCAAATTCAACAACTATTTAAAGCTGGCTTCATTTTTTTTACATTCTGAATATTCTCAGGTGACAGTTAAAGGGAGCTGTTATTTCTTTCCGCATCAAACTTTGCTTATCTGTCAGCTTTAACAGACCACCTAGGTCTCATAGTTGCCATAGAAACTGGTGTAAAGATTGGTTGAAGTGTCAGTCTAGTGCAGTTGTCCTCATTCCATGGAGTCAAGACAGAAAATGTTCACCTAGATTCCATGCTAGGCTATCAATAGATAGCACTTCAATGCAGAACAGGTGGATATCAAAGCTACTTCCTTTTGCTCCTCAACAATCCACTGAATCAAGGAAATGTGGGAGGACATCGTAGGACAAGACATCATTCAAGTACTTACGCTTTATCTTCATTATTGTGCAATCACAATAGTTTTGGAATAGCATGGATAGAGTTGTAAGTAGGATTAAGATGAATGACAGGTGTTACGTTTTCACTGGCATATACATTTAGTTTCCAAATAACTAACCCAAATCAATGGCGGGTGAAAAACTATGCGGTTTATTACATAACAATCTCATATCCAAGAGGGCAAATAAGGGAGGTAATTCGAATGCAAGTATTGGCACCGATAAAGTAGAGAGTCTGTGGATCGATACTGGTCATGGTATTATATCTTTTATTCAATACACAACAACAGATATCTGGCGGACTGTTGCAGTTGGGAAAGAAATCCATTTTTGATGTTATTTAGATGATCATAAGGCAGGCCAACTATGAACAAAGGCATCGTCATGTTTCTGGAAGAGACGCACTGTCATGTTCCTGGAAGAGATGCACTGTCATGGTTCTGGAAGAGATGCACTGTCATGTTTCTGGAAGAGATGCACTGTCATGTTTCTGGAAGAGATGCACTGTTGTATAGAGAAGCAGTGAAAAGGCAGTGGGCAAGTTACAAATTGATGTGAGAGGTCTACACCAGGAAGAGAGACTGCCATGATATAATTCAGCCAGAATGTGATGACGGGATGTGCTTGTTGGTTTTCTGTTTACAGCAGTAGGATCAGTTCACTGAGAAAGGATATGTTTGGGTTCAATGCACTTTGCTGGGCCCTATCTGTATGTACTGTTGCAAATCATGTCTTCTTTTACAATTGATCAATTATTTGTGAACGTGGTCTATGAGGGGTGTTTGCTCCCTTTTCAGTATTACTGTTAGTGACAAGGGTAATTACCAAGGACAGGGTACATGTTTACATGTCTCCCTGCACATGATAAGACTGTTTTAACAACCACCCATAACACCTAACACTCTCACTATAAGCTTTGAACAATTAACAGTTTCAATTTGCCTGGTTTGTGGATGTGAAGTAGCGCAGCATGGAAATGTGCCAAACATATGTGAATTCGCAAATAGATTGCCAAATGATGTTATACAACAATGACTTGTCATTCAGCCCCGAAGAAGACAATCTGCTGTGGATCTGCGCCTGTTTTGCTATAGTAGTGCAGTAGTGTCTCTACTGTCTGGACCAAAGGTCACACCTAGAAATTGTGGAGAGAGAACAAAAGAGGATACATTGAGTTGAGCATGTTGAGCTTGCATTCAAGGGTACTCCTTCTATCTGTGATACAGTGATTGTATGACTTTAGGAGCAATGATATTTAAAAGGCTATTGTAGTGTGTGTTGGTAAGCCTGCATGTCAAGATACTGGGGAATCCAAGACTGAACAGCTGTTCATCTCACTGATAGATTAGGCCGACCCTGTCAATTATGAACATGTGTTATTGCTGTGGATGGACAATGTGTACCCGGTCCTGATGGGTACAGGCACCTAGCAGTGACAGCAATACATCTGACACTGCTGGAAGTGGTCCTGATGGGTACAGACACCTAGCAGTGACAGCAATACATCTGACACTGCTGGAAGTAGTCCTGATGGGTACAGACACCTAGCAGTGACAGCAATACATCGGACACTGTGGACCCGGTCCTGATGGGTACAGACACCTAGCTGTGACAGCAATACATCGGACACTACTGGAAGTGGTCCTGATGGGTACAGACACCTAGCAGTGACAGCAATACATCTGACACTGCTGGAAGTGGTCCTGATGGGTACAGACACCTAGCAGTGACAGCAATACATCGGACACTGCTGGAAGTGGTCCTGATGGGTACAGACACCTAGCAGTGACAGCAATACATCTGACACTGCTGGAAGTGGTCCTGATGGGTACAGACACCTAGCAGTGATAGCAATACATCTGACTCTGTGGACCCGGTCCTGATGGGTACAGACACCTAGCAGTGATAGCAATACATCTGACACTGTGGACCCGGTCCTGATGGGTACAGACACCTAGCAGTGACAGCAATACATCTGACACTGCTGGAAGTGGTCCTGATGGGTACAGACACCTAGCAGTGACAGCAATACATCTGACACTGCTGGAAGTAGTCCTGATGGGTACAGACACCTAGCAGTGACAGCAATACATCGGACACTGTGGACCCGGTCCTGATGGGTACAGACACCTAGCAGTGACAGCAATACATCTGACACTGTGGACCCAGTCCTGATGGGTACAGACACCTAGCAGTGACAGCAATACATCTGACACTGCTGGAAGTGGTCCTGATGGGTACAGACACCTTGCAGTGACAGCAATACATCGGACACTGCTGGAAGTGGGCCTGATGGGTACAGACACCTAGCAGTGACAGCAATACATCTGACACTGCTGGAAGTGGTCCTGATGGGTACAGACACCTTGCAGTGACAGCAATACATCTGACTCTGTGGACCCAGTCCTGATGGGTACAGGCACCTAGCAGTGACAGCAATACATCTGACACCGCTGGAAGTGGTCCTGATGGGTACAGACACCTAGCAGTGACAGCAATACATCTGACACTGCTGGAAGTGGTCCTGATGGGTACAGACACCATGCAGTGACAGCAATACATCGGACACTGCTGGAAGTGGTCCTGATGGGTACAGACACCTAGCAGTGACAGCAATACATCTGACACTGCTGGAAGTGGTCCTGATGGGTACAGACACCTTGCAGTGACAGCAATACATCGGACACTGCTGGAAGTGGTCCTGATGGGTACAGACACCTAGCAGTGATAGCAATACATCTGACTCTGTGGACTCGGTCCTGATGGGTACAGACACCTAGCAGTGACAGCAATACATCTGACTCTGTGGACCCGGTCCTGATGGGTACAGACACCTAGCAGTGACAGCAATACATCGGACACTGCTGGAAGTAGTCCTGATGGGTACAGACACCTAGCAGTGACAGCAATACATCTGACACTGCTGGAAGTGGTCCTGATGGGTACAGACACCTAGCAGTGACAGCAATACATCTGACTCTGTGGACCCAGTCCTGATAGGTACAGACACCTAGCAGTGACAGCAATACATCTGACTCTGTGGACCCGGTCCTGATGGGTACAGACACCTAGCAGTGACAGCAATACATCCGACACTGCTGAAAGTGGTCCTGATGGGTACAGACACCTTGCAGTGATAGCAATACATCTGACACTGCTGGAAGTGGTCCTGATCGGTACAGACACCTAGCAGTGATAGCAATACATCTGACTCTGTGGACCCGGTCCTGATGGGTACAGACACCTAGCAGTGACAGCAATACATCTGACTCTGTGGACCCAGTCCTGATAGGTACAGACACCTTGCAGTGACAGCAATACATCTGACTCTGTGGACCCAGTCCTGATAGGTACAGACACCTTGCAGTGACAGCAATACATCGGACACTGCTGGAAGAGGTCCTGATGGGTACAGACACCTTGCAGTGACAGCAATACATCGGACACTGCTGGAAGTAGTCCTGATGGGTACAGACACCTAGCAGTGACATCAATACATCTGACTCTGTGGACCCAGTCCTGATGGGTACAGACACCTTGCAGTGACAGCAATACATCTGACTCTGTGGACCCGGTCCTGATAGGTACAGACACCTAGCAGTGACAGTAATACATCTGACTCTGTGGACCCGGTCCTGATAGGTACAGACACCTAGCAGTGACAGTAATACATCTGACACTGCTGGAAGTGGTCCTGATGGGTACAGACACCTTGCAGTGACAGCAATACATCGGACACTGCTGGAAGTGGTCCTGATGGGTACAGACATCTAGCAGGGATAGCAATACATCTGACTCTGTGGACCCGGTCCTGATAGGTACAGACACCTTGCAGTGACAGCAATACATCGGACACTGCTGGAAGTGGTCCTGATGGGTACAGACACCTTGCAGTGACAACAATACATCGGACACTGCTGGAAGTGGTCCTGATTGGTACAGACACCTAGCAGTGATAGCAATACATCTGACTCTGTGGACCCGGTCCTGATGGGTACAGACACCTAGCAGTGACAGCAATACATCTGACTCTGTGGACCCGGTCCTGATAGGTACAGACACCTAGCAGTGACAGTAATACATTGGACACTGCTGGAAGTGGTCCTGATGGGTACAGACACCTAGCAGTGATAGCAATACATCTGACACTGCTGAAAGTGGTCCTGATGGGTACAGACACCTAGCAGTGACAGCAATACATCTGACACTGCTGGAAGTGGTCCTGATGGGTACAGACACCTAGCAGTGACAGCAATACATCTGACACTGCTGGAAGTGGTCCTGATGGGTACAGACACCTAGCAGTGACAGCAATACATCTGACACTGCTGGAAGTGGTCCTGATGGGTACAGACACCTAGCAGTGACAGCAATACATCTGACACTACTGGAAGTGGTCCTGATGGGTACAGACACCTAGCAGTGACAGCAATACATCTGACACTGCTGGAAGTGGTCCTGATGGGTACAGACACCTAGCAGTGACAGCAATACATCTGACACTGTGGACCCGGTCCTGATGGGTACAGGCACCTAGCAGTGACAGCAATACATCTGACACTGCTGGAAGTGGTCCTGATGGGTACAGACACCTAGCAGTGACAGCAATACATCTGACACTGCTGGAAGTGGGCCTGATGGGTACAGACACCTAGCAGTGACAGCAATACATCTGACACTACTGGAAGTGGTCCTGATGGGTACAGACACCTAGCAGTGACAGCAATACATCTGACACTGCTGGAAGTGGTCCTGATGGGTACAGACACCTAGCAGTGACAGCAATACATCTGACACTGCTGGAAGTGGTCCTGATGGGTACAGACACCTTGCAGTGACAGCAATACATCTGACACTGCTGGAAGTGGTCCTGATGGGTACAGACACCTAGCAGTGACAGCAATACATCTGACACTGTGGACCCGGTCCTGATGGGTACAGACACCTAGCAGTGACAGCAATACACCGGACACTACAGGAATTTGAATATTCACTTGTATTGTTTTGTGAATTGGAAGAAAGGCCATTAAAATCTTAACTTTTCACTTATGATGATACAGTACCATGGCTGGACATTAAAATCTGTAAGTGGTTGTTTATTAAGATCGAGTCCATTATATGTGGCATTGAAAGTAGCTGAGGCTAATTTTTAAGGCTATATAAACAAGTCAATACAGGCAACAGAAAATAGAGGATGATCAACTAATTAACATTGTTGCTGATGTTATTTAATATGAAGAATAACAAGTAAAAGCTAAGAGAAAGAAGGAAGCAATGATGCTGTCTGCTTGTTCAGCATACCCACCTTGATGGCTTTCTACCAATACTCAGTGTTGGCTTTGATGTATTTTTCGGAATTGAATGTTGTCGTGAGTATTGTTTTTTCGAAATAATTAAGTGTCATTATAGTTGATGACTCCATGGAGGCATTTTGTGAAATTTTACAGTATTTTACAGTATTTTAGTGTATCCATGACCCCTCTAAAATATCAAATATATCTGTCATGCTTATTTTCATAAGCCCATTTGTTTCTCTACACTTGCACTGTGTGTTGTATAGGAGGTTTGTGATATTTTTGTACTTTATGTTTTAACCTTTAGCCTGCTGAATTGTTTTCACACTTCTTAGCCCTGCCTGCTGGATTAATTTTAGCATAAGGCGCTGTAAAGAGGGTGGGTGATTTCAAACAGTTGGTGCTTCATTATACAAGGGCCAATTGAAGAAATATTTTGCACATTTATTCGTGATAGAAAATTACACAGTACTATGTAAAAAAATCCTGATGTTTTCAATCATACCAAGGTTAAGACCAAAACGAACACAAAATTTATAAATGTTCGTGATCTTGCCTGAATTACGTTATTAAAGGTGGTTTACGTTTCATGTAAGGAACCTTTTTAAATCGTTAAATTTGTGCAAATTGATTTCAATAATCAGATCTCCGATATCTTAATTTTAACTGAGTATAAATTCGATGTTTTTTATTGGTAAATAACAGCGCGATGGTAAATTATGAACCATTTCTGTAAATTTATCATCAAAACGTTAAACAGAAAAAAAACTAAATTTTCGAGGTCACCATGTCAGTTGCAGAAATACGAACATTCGAGTTAATCTAACATGTCACGTTATCAAATTTGCAGGAAACAATAAATGCCCCAATAAATGACTCATAAATATTCACCAATCCTTATTTCAAGTGTTTTGGTTGAATATTTACGATATACGTAAACACAAGGACCGTGTCATGATGCTAGCAGACGTTCGAACATCAAACATGGCGCGCTTCGCCCGACCTCGGCATAACTTATTGCTAGTTTAATATCAACAAAGTTTACACTGTCTTCATGTATATGCCTTGGCGAAAGTTGACAATCTTCACAATCGAAGATTGTTTCATTTGTCATTTTCCGTTTAATATGACGAGAGAAAAACCAAAATAAAGATCGTAAATTCTGACAGCAATATTTCAGTTTGTGCAAAGGTCACCGGATGTGATGTCACAGACAGGGGTAGTCTGCTGATAATCTTTCGAAACAAAACAATTTTGAAATATTTCGCCTGTATTATACAGAATAAACACAAATCACTACATATTATCAGTAATCACCACTAACATGAAATTACAAAGTGATTTTCAAGATATAATTGGCGTATTTTTTTAATCCGTTTGACCTTGCATGCTCCCTTGACCCGGAAACGGGAGACGATGAATCAACACGCCACATGCAAGTTTCTCGGTATCTTTTATTTGAACTTTTGTTGATATATAAGGATCACCATTCCATGTTACGTTGAATATAAAGTGATATGATTCATGTATCTGCGATGTACATGCTGATGACTTTGTTTTCACTATAATAATTATGTGTGTGAAGCAATAAGTCGAAATCGTCGATCGGCAACGATCACACCCCATAACAGGTGCGCGAAAATAGGCGTGACAAAACGTGTTTCAAAATACAGTAGCATTCATGCGATGCCGAATATGATAGGATATACGCAGGTGGGTGATGTATATATAAAAAAAATATACATATTTTCAGTGTTAGTTTCTAATTAAATGTGGGATATTTAAATAAGTTTTCCTTTTATAATACATTTATCGATTCTAGCAGGATTTTACAACAATTCACGGATGATCTTAAAATATATTCCATCAATATAGAGACCGCCATGATTGCGTATTGATGATAGATTTGTTAATGTTTAATTATTTACATCTGTTCACAGCTTCTAAAATATTAAGTTATTTTTAGTATCTTTTTTTCCACCAATGATCATGTGTATGGATATTAAATATTGGTCAACAGGTCAATGCATCAGCACAGTGTAACTGATCAGACTTAATTATTATCTTTAGTTTAAACATATTTTATTCAACAATTGTTATCTTTCACCTGAACATATATTATGTGAATAAGTAACTATTTGATGTCATTATTTAAGTTTAGTATTTCACACAAAAAATATAGAAATAGATAAGATCCTTATATGAACCTATACATACACAACTCATATGGACATTAATCTTGTGTATGAAGTTGTTTGTTTCCAAAAAAATAATTCTTAAATATAATTGTAATATGAATACGATACATTAATTTCTTGTAACAGAACATGATATTTTTGTTTGTTTAATCACAAGAACCAGGGTGGCACTTAAGCTGGTGAGTTAGCCATATATTCATAAGAGAATGTTATCTTTTGAAAAAGGAATAGGGCACATATACATACATTGACAATTCTTGCAGTTCTGTTCTGTTGGAGAAAGGTACATGGAAATATCCTACCTTATGTATTTTTTCAGGGTTCTCACCAATGAAATAATGTGTAATTAGAGTGGCAGGACTTTCCAGGTTTGTTGCAGTATGCTCTCGTGTGCTTGACAGTGACACTCTTGCATGTCCCCTGAAGGAACATGAACCATTGTGAAATGTGATCAACAGGTTTTCGTCTTCAGTCAATATAATGTACAAAAATACAAAATAAATGCAGATCATCACCAGCTTTGGATCTGACATCCTTGATCATTTTGATGGGTTTCTGAATATACAGTCAGTATAGGTCCTTATGTTCTTTGTTTGACAGTAGCGTTGAGAGCTTTAAGGGCAGATTCTCCAATATGTAGTGAACTTGCAATTACATACATGTACATGGGTGTATGTAATGGTAGATGTTTATTCTTAACCTCAGAATCCAAATGCCCACACAGGCGAAATATTTAGTTGTGAAAGACGCAAACCACACATGCCTGACCTGCATCGTTTCCTTCTCCCTTCAGTGTCATATTATTCTGTACTCTTTGTAGAAAGACCAAATTTTATGGCTGCAATGTTTGCAAGTTCTTTTTGGAGTAGGTGGGAAGCATACCTGGCTCTGTACCAAAATATACTTGGCTGTTTCCTATTCAGGAGTGTTTCTCTTTTTATACCAAATATACACGACTATGGGTGAAGATTGGGGAACTTTTCATACCAAATATACACGACTGTGGGTGAAGTTTGGGGAACTTTTCATACCAAGTATGCACGACTATTGGTGAAGTTTGGGGAACTTTTCATACCAAGTATGCACGACTATGGGTGAAGATTGGGGAACTTTTCATACCAAATATACACGACTGTGGGTGAAGTTTGGGGAACTTTTCATACTAAGTATACACGACTACGGGTGAAGAATGGGGAACTTCGGTATCAAATAGTAATTCAGTTATATCACCACAATCACAGGCCAAAGGGCAGAGATGTTTACCACTATGGTGAAACAAGCATGGAGGATATTCTGTGAATGGAACCAGTGTGGCCCCTCGAAGCAGATGGGCTGTTGCTGACAGTATCTTCTGCTTGTGCACTTGCCACAAACTTATTGACATGCACTTCAACAACCAAAATGGATTTTATTCATTCATATTTATGGATTACTTTTATAACTATTCATCATCATACAAAGTATCAAGAATGTGTTATGGTAACCATGGTAACTGGAGTACAGAGTGGTCACATGGCATCATGTCTAACTTATTTCTCCATCAATTATCTCTCTCTGATGACTGTGAATGTCAGTACTTGAGAGGAGCATTACTGTGGGTAGCTACTGTAAATCTTGAAATTAACGCGAGCCTGAATTAAATGTGACAAAATGCGAGTGATCTTTGCTTGCATCAATAAACTTCACATTTATGTCTCCAAAATGACTATCAACAATAAGACAGCCTCACTGCACACTTTGGATAGTGGAAATACCAGCTTGAATGTAAACAAGGTTTATTAAGCAGCAGTTATAACACGTACATAACAATGTCATTCAAAGAATAGGAAGTACACAATGGGCATCTGGTGAGTTATCACTGCTCGGCTCACAAGTTCTACCCATGTCAAACTTGTTGACACCTTCTCCGCATACCAATCAGTGAACTCTTGTTGGTTCAATTATTTTATTGAACTTCCTTAATGCCTGTCAACAGAGTAAAAAAATAAACTGCATGTTGTTTTTTAGGAAAACACTGTTTATTGTTTTTACAGAAGAGCTCTACTCAGTGCTAATAAGCGGTGCTATTTGCTGTTTGATTGGATAAAGGTAAGGATATGTATCATTCCACTGGGGATGGTGTACAAGAGACGAATTGATATTGAGTCGCATTTTTGGCTAGGGGTCAGCAGTCGCATTAATTTGGAGACGCATTAATTTGGAGATTTACAGTATATGTTGTAATACATGCAGAGGTACAAGCTGACCAGAACTCACACCTAAATCCTGACAAGAGATCACAGACAGCTTGGGTAGTGGATGCTTAACATATCAAAACAATTCCTCAGCTGTATAGTTTTGTCTCAAGCTGCTGTCCTAATACAGTTATGTCACAAATAGGATTCATTGATGCAGTTCAAAAATTGCTGCCAGTGATCAGCAGGTATTAAACAATTTGTTGACAAATTTGTCTTGTTTTTGTTTGCATGTTTTGTTTGTGAAAGCAAAGAGGTTGGGGAGTAATGTAGTGTACGACTGCTGCCTACATTCAATACTGTTTGTTGTTTAACGCCGCTCTCAGCAATATTACATCTATATGAATTTTTGTAAATAATCGACCAGACATCCAGTAATTGACCTCATGAGCATGGATCCACGCAATTGGGATAGGATGACATGCATCAACCAAGTCGGCGAGCCTGACCACCCAATCCCGTTTGTCGCCTCTTATGACAACTTAAGTCGACTTTTATGGCAATTTTACAACCTATTCTACCCTGGATCTTCACGGGTCTCAATACTGTTAGCAGAGTGCCAGCTGTGTACACAGTAGGGCTGAAATGATACTCCAACTGTGCGATGCAATACATACCTCACAATCTGATACATATTCTGATACTTGAATATGCTCTTATCTGTGGTGCATAAGCCGTTTTGTTCATAGACAGGATGGCAAAATACCTGGCACACTGACAATTTACAGTTGGCGGGATCAAGTATGGCGCAATTGAAGAAAATAGTTACGTTTTCATTACTAATTAGTTTTTTTGTGTCATATTTTAAGATAAGAATCAATACTTTTTACTTAGTGTGCGACTGTGATTAATACTTGTATCAAGAAGTAAAAAATTGCAATCCACCGATGCATTGGTGTATCGTCCTACTACTTGTACACAATTACATTCATTGCTGAGAACAACACTGAAATTCCACATTAATATTTGGTACAAAGTTAAGACACATTCACCCAACACTTCAAAGGTTATGTCAACATTTATTCACACAACACATCAGCATTACTGTACAAAAATGACAAAATATCTAAGTTGTTGTGAAGAAAGAGAAGTAGAACCTACAAGTATAAAGATGAGTATTTCAGGGATTCTGTAGGTCTCCTCATTTGAAATGACACGTTTGTTGCAAGTACCAAACATTACTTTGGGATTTGTTGAAATAGACCTAATTTCACAGTGGTGACTTAAAAAATTTGATTAAAATACATGAATATAAATTTTATATAAAAAACATGAGTTGATTATTTAACAACATATCTTGCAGACATAAGGAGGTAATTAACTTGATTTATCTGTAGCAAGTCTGTTACTAGGTGAATGTCTTGAGATACCATATCAGCACATAACATGAAAGTAACAATTATTATCCAACGGCCTTCTTGTGTAGAGCAATCTGGCTGCCCCAGTGTCCCCCAGTTTCCAGCTGAGAGATCCATGATGTTGTACAGATGTTATAGACGGGACAACTGTACTGCATTATGCTACATGACACCAAGAGGCAATAAACATCTAGGACCACCAGCAATGTGCAGCCATCACTGCCAGCATGCAGCATATAAATAATGTACACAATGTAGGGAAGAAATGCCTGCACTTCTCAAGTATTAGGAACATGACCATGAGGAATAAAACATTTTGAACATCCAAACTTTGTGATACTATATCTAAACAGTGTTTCAATTTTCATTGTCCCATGGATAAGAATGAATTAGGTTGGTTGAAAACAATTCACAAATTTTATTAGGTGACTAAATACATTCAGCTGATATTTCTTACGACTTTAGGATGAAATTGATTGCACATAAAACATGCACTTTGCATACACATACATGTAACATTTAGTTTGTCTACTACACAATAAAACCATCAACTAGCATCAACACCTAGTTTAAGATTAAACACTGACAATATATATGATAATGAATCAAATTGCATTGACAACTGAGGTATAAAAGATACATGGCAAGCAGCTGGAGAAATCACCATGGAATTGGAGAGGTCAAGTTAGGCTAAGGAAATAGATCATTGAGATGTATGGATCTACGGCCTTTTAACATAAGGAAAACAAAACATCAGAAAACTCTGATATGATGCCTCTGCACCGTAACATCAGATCTTTTACAGAGTTCATATTGTGTCAGAGTACAGATCTGACAAAACAATATAAAAGCGTTTACATTTATATGCTTGTAGATAAATATTAAGATTCTGACGCTTATATAGCTGAAAATAAAAAACCCACAAAATTGCCATGAGGCGTCAAGTCATTGCATGAGAGTCCACTTCTATTTTCTTAGCCCAACAATTATAACAAATGTAAAAATATTGATGACATAAACTGCATTTGAATACAACTGAGATCTCACAGTACTCCCTGTGTGAACAAGCTATCATCAAAGTGTGAATGTTAACAGTTGATTTGACTGGTGCTAGAGGACAATTAGCACCTGCAATGTAACAAAGAATCTGTTTGGTTGAAAGATCTGGATGCGCTCAGTGGAAGCGATATTTACGAGCTGGTTTGAGTGACACATAAGTCTTCTTCATTTCCTCAGATTCATTTTTCTTGACCTCGGAGAATCTCTCCCCCTTGGTGCTGACAACTTGTCCCTCTCTGTATCGGATCAGCTTCTTGGATTCCTGGCAAACAGATACAATCCGGGTTACAATAGTTCTTCAGCAAGCCCTAATCGGTTACAGGCCGGCAAAGCCACATTTCGGAAATAGATAGCCCAAATTGATGTGGCTCTCGCGGCAATGGTTATGGTTGCGTGATTGTATAATGTGGCTCTCGCGGCTATGCTGTCAAAACATGCTTTGTGATTCTAACAGGTTACCGTATATAACAAAACAAGTCTTGTTTCCTCATTTTTTATTCAACAAGGATAACATATTCATCAAAACTTTACATTGATGAATATGAATATCATAATGGATTTAATGTCATTACTGCAGATGAAGGAGGTCGCCCACGTGGTCAGCATATTCCATCTCACTCAGGTGTTGGTTCAGGAGCTGGATCTTGAGGGACGCAATACGTGCATCGATTGCCTTGTACTTCTTTCTTCGTGAAGGTTCTGACCACTGGTGAGAGAGTCTCAGGACTGCAACCTCTTTGAGTGACTGCTCTCGCTGAAATAGCTTCACTACCTCCTAGATGTTCGGGTGGCACTTCTTGGCAAGTTTCTTTATCTTGTTGTGCCACCCTTCCAGGTGAGTGTTGGTACGGTGGCCTTGGTTTTCGAAATGGTTCCAAATCTCTGGCATGAAGGCCCCTCCTTGAACCCAACTGGTTGTCACGTAGTCCATGAAGGCAGTCACTTTAGGGCCAGCAGGAGAGTCAGCAATGGCATCAAGCCACACATCATCCACTTTGTCACGAGGTAGTAGAGGGAGGGCAGCAGCTCTTCTCACCAGCTTCTTCACCTCCTCATCTTCCTTATAGTCCATCAATAGACCTTCTTTCTGCACCCTCCTCCAGATACATTGGGTGAAGTGAAAGAAACACCCTCTAACTAATGTCCCAGGAAATACATCAGTCACGGCATTGTGAGCTGCACGTTCAAAGTCCAACTAATGTGGGACACTCATTTAAAGGTATCTCTAAAGAACACCACACTTAGTAATTTAAATGTGGGACACTCATTTAAAGGTATCTGTAAAGAACACCACGCTTAGTAACTTAAATGTGGGACACTCATATAAAGGTATCGGTAATCGGATTAAGTAATTACTCGCTAGAATAGGTGAAATGCACGCAGCTGAAAATGTGGCTCTACCGGCAATAGCCATTTCTGAAATGTGGCTCTCCCGGCAAGACACCGCCCTAATCTTGTCATAAAAAGTGACTATGCTTGGCGTAAGAGGCGACTAACGAGTTTGTGTGCTCAAGCAGGCTTATTTGGTTGATGCATGTCATCGTATCCCAATTGTGTAGATCGATGCTCATGTCAATCACTGGATTGTCTGGGTGAGTGCAGCATTATACAAACCAACAAACACATCACTCAGCAAACTAGTCTAGGTTAATATGTATTACAGATGGGTATATCATGTATAGGGTAAAGCATGTCAATCAGGGGTCTCGAAAATTTAAAATCCCAATCGGACATTTGCATTTAGGCCACGCCCCCTTCAAATAGCGTATTTTAGTACTACTTTTCACACACATTACAAGTTTACGTATTCATAATATGATGAATTATGAATTGTTTCAATTTAAATTGTTTAATTTACCGGACAATTAATAACAAATAATATCATTTTAGATTTACATGGAAAAAATACGTTTGTTTCTGTTATAATAACGATCTGTTAACGTAGTGAACGGTCTAATTAATATTCATGAGTTATATTCATGAGTCTGCTCAAGTGTACGCGTTGTAACATTTGGATCGAGACTATTATCCCATATTTGGTTATCACGTGACCTCACGGGAAAAGTGTTTTTTTAAACTAAAGATTTTTTTAAAAACAAGACAGATAATTTAATCACAAATACTAAAATATCGTTGATAGCAATAGTTATTTGAATACTTTTTTCATCTGTACTTAATTATTGACCATAAAAAAATTGGATATCGATCGTCTGAGAAAGCAAAATGGTGGTCAATCAAGATTCAATATACGACTAGCTACTGAAAACAATAAAATCTGCAAATCCTCATTGTATGTCAACCAAGTGAAAGTCGTTAGCCACGACTTACAAAATGATCGTCCAGACTTTGAGGGTTTGGCAGGTCCGCCCGACTGATCTGCATCGGTCAACTGGCTGTCGTCACGCTTTCGCTTCTTGTCTGAGGTTACGTATCGTAGCATTGTGAGGATGATGAGGTACATCGATGATGCAAGGTATTAATGTACAGTTGTAAACACCTTTCACTCAAATTAACAAGATGTTCTCAGTAATTAATCCTCGATTAATCAGTGTCAACTCAGTTTATTGCCTATTACAGTGATTGACAGATTGGACTATCATGTAGGTACGATGTATTTACAGCAATCAAAACAAACAAAGCTTGTCAGTGTAGTTAATCTTCATTGTGTTGCAACTGCAGACAGAAACTGCTCAGTCCTAACTGTTGATCATGTCCGGTCAAAATTTAAGAATGTCCGGACAATACTTTTTAAAATGTCTGGTAAGCAATATTTTAAAACGGACATTTGAGATTCCCAATCGGACATGTCCGGCGCATATGACGGTTTCCGGACCCCTGATGTCAATGTAAAGAAGATATGGGAAATGTTTTGAGGTCTCGCTCCTTCTTTGTTTTACAATCCAAAACAAACTGAGAAATCCTTTATCTGGAGTTTAACACTGGAGAAATTGTGATATCCTGTCATAATAAACTCTTGTCAATTCTTGTTTTAACTGTAGTCAAATAAATCATGTTGTGTCAATCATTAATTGACTTTAAAGGAAACTTGATATGTTCATGTTGTTATGAAAATAAACCGGAAATAAGTTTCAGAGTGATGAGACTTCAAAGACACTGCTGGATTTTGATGCAATTTCCAGTCTCTCCAAGCTTTATATTAACTGAGTTGAGGTATCAGGTATCCACAGAAATACCCTACTCGTTCCATTCATTCCTCGGAGTCACTCACCTGCTTGAGGGGTGGGGGCTTATGGGTCTTCTTGTCATCATCTGTGTCGACAAAACTGTATCTGAAACACCAGTGAATCACTTCAGTCTGAGGACCAAGTATGTTGAAACTACCCAAGTGAAGCATATCAGACAGCTCAACATCACGCATTCCCCTCCCTAAAACTTTAATGGTCCCTTTTGACGGTTGATCAAATCATGGTTAATACAAAGGAGACATACCTTGCTAATGTTAACTCCTTCAGTTGTTTGTCAGCCAACATGCAGCCTTTATTCCGGACCTGAAACCAATGATTCCTGATGAGACATCACACATCACACACACAAGATTATTGTACTTATATAAGCAAGCGTGAGTGTGGGCGTGCTGTGCGTGAGGATTTATAATTCTGCAATGGAAAACAATTGCAAAACCTGTGTTTAATGTTATGGTTAGAACACTCCTCCACATGCTTGGGTGAAAATGTAAAACCTTGAGCTCAGGGAAAAGCCCAGGTTTACATTTGCAACCAAAACCAAGGAGGAGTGTATTAATTAACCAATGAACTGACTAAATGCAAGAAAACAAGAAATGCCAGAAAGAATATAAAACAACTGAATACCTTACACTGAAACAATACAGTAGTCGCTGTATATAACAAATTCGATGACAGCGGGTGTAAGGGAGATCATGTGCAGCATACAGACAACTTAGGTCATGTAAGATTGAACACCCTTTTATCACCTGCCTCAGTGGCTCAAAGAACAGTGACTTTTAACCAATCAAAATTAAACATAAGATGCATATATTGGCACAAGACAATTTATCCGTTGCATTCACAGCCAATGGCAGTATTTTTTTAAATCTAATTTCTTTACGTTTTTTCATGACCACCCCCTTCCAGTGATGCTGAGCATGGAGAAGCAGCACACAATAATTCAGAAGGCCCAATCAAGACTTGTAAATGGGTGCACTTTACATCTATTACTATATTCAAACTGTGATAAAGCTGACTATGAACACAATGGAACTTCTGTAAACTCCTGCCTACATCACATTTTACTGGTACTATTACATTTGAGAATGTTTGAATCTTGATTGGTCAATTGGTTAATGATATCAGCAAATCTAAGTATCAGTTTATCAAATCTAGGTATCAATATGACAAATATAAGTACAGTAACTATGGTTATAACAAATTAAAAGGGACCACTAATTTTGGTATCAATATGACAAATCTAGGTATCAATATGACAAATCTAGGTATCAGTATGACAAATCTAGGTATCAATAATTTGAACCAAATCAGCAAATCTAAGTATCAATATATCAAATCTAGGTATCAGTATGACAAGTCTAGGTATCAGTATGACAAATCTAGGTATCAGTATGACAAATCTAGGTATCAATATGACAAATCTAGGTATCAGTATGACAAATCTAGGTATCAATATGACAAATCTAGGTATCAATAATTTGAACCTAATCAGCAAATCTAAGTATCAATATATCAAATCTAGGTATCAGTATGACAAATCTAGGTATCAGTATGACAAATCTAGATATCAATATGACAAATCTAGGTATCAGTATGACAAATCTAGGTATCAATATGACAAATCTAGGTATCAATAGTTTTAACTTAATTTCAAGATTCACATTAGCTCTCCCTTCAGTCAGCTGAAACATGATATATCCATAATGATACTAGAAGGGATCAGAACTATGCCTAAATGTATTGCCAAAACATTGCCAAAATGTATTAGCTCACATGTAGATTTGTCTCCCCTGGTTCGATGATGGAGTTTCCTGTTTCTTGTCTGTGGAGAATAAGTTGGACTGCTTCGTCGATCTGTCCATGTGACACAGAGACACAATGCCTTGCTTCCATAGCACATGTGTCTGGGAACATCTCAGAGAGTAGCGCCACCTGGCTGTCAAACTCACTCACACCACCGTCTGATACAGAGGGCTGGTGACAGAGCAAGCAGTAATAACACTCATTTCATATATTCAACACAGGAGGACTGCAACAACATACCAGATACTGGATGGAACTTACATCTCAAATAATTTCTAATGCCATTACAACCTGTTGCAACTCTCTTAAATCCCATAACACAGAATCCAAAACATGACTCTCCACAGGGTGCGCTCTCCAACAGGTCACAGATCAGAACCCTCAATTTCCTTATCAAGCTTCAACACAAGTATTTGTGAGTCAAAATTGGATATAACTGTAGAGCATTTTCGTAATCCTTTCTTGGAAGGTTACTACATATGATAATGCCTGGATTTGTTGTGTTGCTTGAAGCATGTTAGTGATTTGTGATGGCATGGTGATTCTGACGTGACCCGAAATGGTATGTCCTCAGATATTTGTAGTAGAGAGAACCAAGACCCAAATTCAGTAAGATTTCCTGAACTCTGGCCATATTGATTTTCCATGCTGTCTGAAATGACTGCAATATAATCCATGACTTTTCAAAATCATACCCATGCTTGAGGTTTTATGGAGTACCGAGTGTCTATGAACTGCTCATGGACTTTTTCATCAAGGAATGTGCTCTATGCATGTGATTATGCAATAAAAATTTCAAATGTTCCGGGGTTTTCTGGAACATAATCTAAAAACTCTTGTTCTGCGTATTCTCCTATTTATGTTTATTTGACACAAACCTTCACATCATCTTCATCTGACTGACTGCTCCTGTCCCTGTGTTTGGTCAATGTCCTACCAACTTCCTCTGTGACCTTCCCGCTCACGGCCAGAGTGTCCCCATTCCCAGCGTCCACAGAGCTGGAGGATAGGACAGTCTTCTTCTCATCTGAATAACAGTGGACACTCAGTGGTCAGTTTACACACATTGAAAACACTATTTGAAATATTCCTGGGTGAGTAGTAAGCATACATAAGAAATGGCAGATTCATGGGGGGTCCCACTTTACAGGCCTCAAAGTTTAAATTTTTACCAAGTAGCCATATGGCTACAAGTATTTTTTTCCAGGTAGCCTATGTTAAAATCAACAAGTCAAGCCAATATTGTAGGTAGCCAAAAGCATTTGAAATGATCTTTTATCAAATAACTATTACAATATGTACAAATTATAGCACTAGTCATGGAATTGTATATTAGTGGAAACTGTGCTTGATTTTTGTTACTTTTGACTCAAAGAATGATACAGTTTATGTTACTAGATTATATAGGCTTATCCTTGCTTATCCATTGAGCATTGTCAACTAAAATAAAATACTAACTACATTAATATTTATGTATTTCGGTTCATTGTCAACTTTAGGGGGAATTATTTGCGAGTACAATTATTAGCAGACATGTTTTCCAAGATCAGCTGTTATTTATTTTTGTGTCTACAGATGTGTAGCAATAGAATTTAGTCGAAACAAGATATTTTCCAGGTAGTCATCTGGCTACCTTTGAATTTAAGACAGTAGACAAACTCAAATTTAGGTCACATTGGTGACCGTTTTACTCGCAACTTTGAGGCCTGCTTTACCCAACTTGTGAAATAAACCAAAACACATGACAGGTTGACATATGAGTTTCTGAAAAAGGGGGAGGGAAAGCTCCTGCATGCCCCCTCTGAATCTGCCACTGACATGTATTAGCAGAGCTCCAGATAAGCGTTTGGTGTTGTGGGTATTTTACCCATGCATTTTAAAATCATTGGGTATCAGTAATTCTATCTGGGTATTCAAATTTCTGTTACCCACTAGTTTTTACACATGTGGGTATTTAAGTAAAATATTTAAAAACACTATTCATCTAGTCCCTGCAAACTAGTGCCGTGTGGTTTCGAGAGCTTTATAGGACTCAAAAATACCACGATACTTCCAAAAGAAAGTGTGATGGCAAATGATCATGATGTAACTGTCATTGTGGAGTTTAGCAAGGTTGACGTAATGCCCGTATATAATTTCAAAATAAGTTGCTGATTTGCTAATCGAATACGCAGGGTTACTTCACGATATTTTGATGATACGCACAAGTTTTATTTTTGTAGCGTATCTGTAATGTTCGTTGCGTATTTGATATGCTTGGATTTTATTTTACTGCATATTTCTGCATTTCTGATGCGTATTTTACGCAGATATGCAGCTTATCTGGAGCTCTGTATTAGTCTTAAAACAGCAATTGCATGTAAGGTTATAGAAGATTCAATAACATTGATAGATACAAAGTGTTCAACGGAAAAGGCTGTCTCAAACAATCTATCACTCTTCACATTAACAGGAAGTAAGCTAGAAACTGAATAGGGGTCATATTGTATCAGCATCTGCTGTTTGATTCCATGGGGTGAGAGGGTAACCTCCCAAAACCCCTACATCCCATTTCCCCTACAGCTTAAGACAACAAAGTTCACGGTCCATGGCACTGCTAATCCCTAGTCTGTTACCTATTTCATACAATGGAACAACCCAAGAAACTCGAATAGATTGAGATAAATATTTAATTACGATTACGATATTATTCAAAATTCATAATACATTATAATAAAAGGTTCATTTTTCAAAATTCATAATATATTATTATATAGTTCATAATGCCAGACAGGTAAATGCTGTGTGTTGTTTTAACTAATTGTAGGGGAACTGGGTTGTAGGGGAAATGGGGTGTAGGGGTTTTGGGAGATAACCGGTGAGAGAGTATACAGTACGTACATGCAATCACTCTTAACATTGTGTGAATCCCCCTCTTGTGCCAAGCAAAGTGAAAAATATTATGGCAATTTTGTTGCGAACATAAATTTTCCTCATTTAGGAAATACATACATTTAGCCAAGTTTCCGAGAGAAATGAATTCATAATATTCGTGAAAAGTACTTAAATGTCCAAATGAAGGTACTGAAATCACATTCTCTGTAATCGGCTCCCGAATCAAAACTATTTTGGGACATGGCTACCGGCACAGTGGTGACAACTGTTTTCATTGGGTGAATGTTTGCCGTGTTTTATAACTGACATCCTGTTTGGGTAATACACCACCTTCTGCCCTCGGCCCTATTTCACACAATAAATGCCTGTCAGGGATTAATCCCCTGAGTAAGCAACTGAAGGCATCCTCAGTGTTGTTACTATGGTTACATAAGTTGTGCACATGGTAATCAAATGGATGAGCAGACAGAAAATAAAAGACATAAATTATCAAAAGATCTGAGGCAGAAGCAGGCAGTCTGAGCATCGGACTGATCGTTATGATTGTTGAAATTGGGCAGCGTGCCAAACACTGGGAATCCGTTTTAACCCAAGTAAGGGGAATCCCTACAGTGCCGGAATTTTTCATTTGGGGGATGATCTCGCCTGTCTCTTTTATCGTCTGTTTTATGCTATTTCTGTTCTTAAGAATTCAATTTTGGTCAAGCATTTGTGATTAAGCATGCCCTAAAGAATTCAAATCTGCAAATTGTGATGCTGACTTTACTTGCCCTATATGTTTGGTTTAAAAATATTTTTATTTCAAAAGAAATCTGGATTGGTAAACAAGCAAAACTTGCTTATGTTAATACCTCTCCTGGAAATAACTTAACAATATATGTGATACAGTACAACATGTCTATGACAACTGCAAGGGACTGGTGTAATGTGTTTGTTATATGTGTAGTTTGTTACATGTTGGATTCCATATCCACCCGCTGCCTCAGTCTATGTGACAACTGTTGCACTGCTAGAATTCAGTTCACTGGACTGCAAGTGCACTGTAGTGAGAATGGGATAAGTACATAGTTGTTGTTGACGGTGGATTGATACTGACTGAGTTGGGGACAAGTTTGTTACTCTAACAAGAAAATGTAGATTTTTAGTTCTCTCTGTGGTGAAAAAGTGTTCCACTATAGCTGGTAATTTGGTATACCCAAATTGTCTCTTTCATGAACTTCTTGAAAGCATTCAAGACTTTTGAAGCACAAGTCATCAGGAGATGACATGTCCCCCCTGTCTGGTGCGATTCAGAAATGGAGTTTGGCTACTTATACCTCACCTTTGGTTCATTGCCACTGGATACATGTACATGTACTTTCAGTTGAGTGAAGAAAACAACAATGCTGTGCAGTATTTCTAAAAATCCCAAATCATCAAAAGGCACCAGTTTACCACTTGACTGATCTGTGTAGCAAGTTTCATCCAGAAATATTCCACGGTTCTGGAGTTCTGCTCCAGACCTAATGCCTACCCTGATCTGTTCCTCCTACCATTGTCCCCCCCCTCCATTCAAGATGTCAACTTGTAAACATAACAACATGATAGGTTCTTAAACAACTTTTTTTCCAGTGATGGGAACAAAAATAACAAACAGCAAATATTGTTGGGTACAGGGCATTCATTGCCGTGTACAGTATTGACATATAATAGACTATTCCCTATTTTGAATTACTTTGCAAATTCATCGTTTCATATGGAGCCAAAAGGACTGAAATTGGACAGAGAATTGAAAAGTGAGAAGTAAAACACTCCCTGAACAAATATTCTTTAGATTTGATTATGTAGGGATACCAACCTTTACTTTTGCCAGTCAGCTTGCCCGACAGGGAAAACATCCATTCCCACACACCTACACTGCAACAAAAGCAATATACTGCTGAATGGACATTTCCCGCTGTGAGTGTACTTAGGTTGTGACAGTTAGAAACAAAACACTACAGCTACAAGTCCTATCAATAAAGATGACTAAATGTTATCTTCAAAGCCAGAGTACCAGCTAGAGTAGTAGTATAGGTAATGGGGGTTCTGGCTCACTTTCACTGGAGCAGGATTCATATACCTATACTGCTACTACAGGAGGAATTTTTTATGCCAAAATGATGATGCGATTCAATGATAGTCATAAGATTAAGTTAAATTGACTCCAGCTCACCACCACCTGGAGTCTATGATATAAATTTTTATAGGTAATAGGGGTTCTGACTCACTTCCACTGGAGCCGGATTTATTACCTATACTGCTACTACAGGGGGGATTTTTTATGCGTAAATGATGATACGATTTAACGATAGTCATGAGATTGGCTCTAGCTTACCAATACCTGGGGCCAATCATTGCTTTAGATGAGTCTAAATGGTAATAAAAATATTCTTTATTATTTTTATCGATAAAGCGATATTCAACATTTTTATTAAGTTCTTCGTTCATTTTACTAGGAGACCAGACTATATAACTACACTCTTTTTGTAAATTGATAAGAAACAATTGATAACCGTATTTGGTTGGTTTGACATCACTGATATAATAAAAACCTTGTGGTAATTCTCTCCATTTAATAGTTTTTTCGATCTCCATTATTATATATATTTATGTAAGCATTTGTCTAAATGTGATCAAACGATAGTAAGCAATCCATTTTCAATCTCCAACCAGTTCTTTGGTTTTGGCACGGAATAATTGACGCGCTTGTTGCCTCCCCTGTTCTATGAACTTTTTTTTCTCGTCTTCGCTAATACCACTGGTCTTACGAGATTTTGATCGAATCTCCTGCTTTATTTCATTGTATTTGGTGAGTTCCGACAGCACTAAACGAAACTCATCCTCGGATATCTTACAATCGGCCATTGCTGTCGAAATATGATCCTCAATGCTGTTCAACTTTGCTTCGGCGAGTATCCGAATACTATCGTGTTTTAATGCTTTCCTTTGTAACCTACGAGAAATGAATTTTATCGCTATTCCTGCCAGTCCCAAGACTCCAGCGGTTATTTCCATGCCGAGCACGATAGGCGCGGCGATTATAGTTGATAGTAAACCGATACCCGCTACACCGAGTCCCATGCCAGATACTACAAGAGCGGTGTCAACTCCGTCCAGAGCATTCACGGCTCTGCGATACTTTTTATACAATCCAAGTCTCAACTCCCTATCCTTCCCTATTCGATGTTTTATGTCGCTTATTTGATGTAATCGAAATCCATCAACAGTTTCCATCTTTTCAAATGCTTCACCGAGCGCCGGATATAAACTCATAGTGTATATAACGATCATATAATAGTCTTTAATTGGTCTTGCTTAAATGTTTTGAGACTATACATCAATCTTATCAAATGTATATTATACGGCAATAATATCTTAGAAAGAGAAATGCTGTCACTTTTAATAATTTGGACCCCCTCGAGGGTTGCAACGGGCGATGCTCCGATATGAATAATACTGCAACGTTGACGCTCGTGTTTCTTGAGCCATTTAATCGATAGACCTGGTAATATTTCGAAGGCATCTACCGGTGCATCTCCGAACAAGACTTCAATAATAAGAGTAGAAATATTAGGTATTGCACTAAGGTTAACTTTAATATCTTCGAATTCAGTAACCAAATTTAAAGTAACATTTTTTAAGGCCAGACGACTATATAACATATGACCGGGGTTTTCTGGCAGGGGGGTAACTAACACACTTTTTCGTTTTGACGGGATATAAGCCGCGAGTACGATGCCACGATTTATTATCTTAGTTAAATTATGTCCCTTACCCATCATCACATAAGGTGGGGTAATGACGATATTCAGTAGCCACTCGATGTTTGCTTCGATCATAGTCCATTTATTATCGTCATTGCGAGTAATATTATATGAAGTGTTTTTATATAGTCTACTAACGTCGACATCGCTTAAATCTCCTAGATTACCCGTGAATGTGACTTCTTTCCGCTTGTATACATTATCATGTAAGTGTAAAGCGTATAACTTACCATTGTAACCGGGTTTATCAAATCCTTCTGTGTCTCCGAGATCGGAAAGTGCAATTGTATTACATTGTCTTAGTGTTCCAGGGCCTGATGCATCAACCATTATTTTTAATATGGAGTGTTACACTTAAGTATCCTATATGTACAGGTTGGTGTTTTACATCTAATATAGAAATTTTGAGGTCTGAAATAATACCACGCTTCAATTTTTTATATTGTAATGACGAGAAAGATTCCGTTCTACCGCTATTGTATTTTTCATTTTTCTCTGGAACACATCTGAGTAGAGTTGAAGGACTTTCTAGTTGAATATTATCCGTCGTGCTTATTTGATCAAGATGGATGAACAACTCTTTATAGGGAACTAAATCAGGTAATTTAGATCCCTCATTTGATAAAGAGATTACTATATTATCATCATTTGCAAATCCAATTGTAATTGCAAATACGTTCCCGTAAGGAACTACACCATGTTCTCCAGGGTATAATTTCAGTCTCCCAGTCGCCTCATTTTGTGTGAGACTAGCTCCATTAGGCTTAAAAATTTCATCATTGAGTGAGCATACGCTGTAATACCCATCAGGTATAGTAATAATTCTATTATTGTCTTTAAATAACATTATCTCATTATTATCTTTCGCAGCACTTATATTGGTCCACAGTGGGTAATACGTTACATCGCATAGGGCTACTTCGAGTTGTCCATCCCAGTTATCGATAGTATGAAGCAGTTCAATAGACTGACCATTTGTTATTCCAGGTAGTGTAACATACATATTAAATATACAATGATACTATATCATAACTTAAATATGAAATCGACTCACATTACTAATCAATCAATTATAGTAACTGCCTCCGGTGCTGAGTTTACCGTTAAATTCCACGATATCTTTGAAAAATACAGTTTCACGGCAACTAACGATAAAATGGTGGACGATTGGTTTAACCGTCCGATGCAATTTTGGCAGAATCAGTTAAACTTTGCCGTATGGTGTGCCACAACGGGATGTGGCGTATCTGTTAATGCCCCAGGATTTAAACTATATAAGTCTGTTATATTATTTCACGTGTACTATCAGATTAGACGTATACTTAAAGAAATTAGTGCTCCATTACCGATGGATCCAGCATGGAATCACGCAAATAATCATTATAATAAGAGGGCCTTCGAACGTATTTGTAATGAATTTAATGTTTCTACGAGTAAAGATTGGCGCATTAAAGGACCTAGCCATGGTCTAGGTATTCCGTACAATGGACAAAGAACTATTAAAGATAAAAGCGATTATTTAATTAAAGAGGGTGTGATCCCTTCAGGCTTTGCTCTCTCGAGTAAACAGTTTAGAGCAGATCGTATGAACTTTGAGAGTGGCATTCCTTATATTATAACAAAGTTTGTGCATCCAAACGATACAACAGATGCTTGGAATGAATTTCTTAATGATAAAACGGAAAATAATTTTACTAACCCAGGATTTGAAAGAGTTAATGAATCGATCCCTTCAGGCTTTGCTCTCTCGAGTAAACAGTTTAGAGCAGATCTTATGAACTTTGAGAGTGGCATTCCTTATATTATAACAAAGTTTGTGCATCCAAACGATACAACAGATGCTTGGAATGAATTTCTTAATGATAAAACGGAAAATAATTTTACTAACCCAGGATTTGAAAGAGTTAATGAATCGATAAGAACTTATGTATGGGCAATTCTCGGTGCACAATCGCAAACACGAACGGGAATCATCGGTACTGGGACGGTGTGCGATGCGCAAAAACAGTTTGTCTCAAACGTGGAGGACGCCATTAATTCACCAGTTGACATACCATCGTCTATAAAGCGTTTTCAAGATGCATTACAGTACGCTCAATCAAAAGTGGACTACGTTTATGCGCCGGGACTATACATGTCTCCGAGTAATATGGAACTTAAGATCGGTCAAGTGATAGGCTATAATAATAAAATTGTTATCGCTACCGATCAACAAAAACCAGGAATAAATTCAGATATTAACGTCGAATTAATAACGCAAACGATCACGGGCGAAAAGGGAATAGTCAAGCCGCAGTTATCTACTAAAACATCTTTTAATGCACAACCGTCTACTAACGCACAAGTGCCACCGCATATTGAGGCTAAAAATCAACAACATATCGATGAAAAAACAGCGCTTGTAGTGGGTGGAGTCTCAGTTGGTTTACTCATGATTTGGTTGTTAAATAGTTCTAAGCGAACTGATTCGGATAAATAGTTCTTAGCGAATACGTACAACAGCCCTGCAATTGCTACGATCAACCCCCACAAGTTTTGACTAAGCCAAGTGGTGGTCTTAGCTAATAAATTCAATAGCCAGGAAACAACACACCCTAATATACCGGGAAGTGCGGCCGCGGCTTTCTCAGCGAGCTTTCCCAGTGCTGAACCTAATGCTTTTAAATGCTTTTTTATCCACTCTTTTATACCATTTTTATCGTTAGGCGGTGTACTACCACCTGTACTGCCACCTGTTAATGAGAGAGTCAAAGTCGATATAATAAAACCCAACGCGGTTAAAATACTGGCAATTGTTATTCCCTGTTCTCTGAACAATGTTTTAATTTTATCGGCCAGTGTAGTGTCATCGTTGAGGACTTGATCGATAGTTTCTCGAATACGACTGATTTGCGAACGAAGTGCCTTTCTATTACTGGAAGCTGCTTCGAGGCGGGCCGATCTTTCGTCTTCTAAGTAACGCAATCTTTCCGCTACGCGGCGTCTACTGAACTCATCGCCCGCCTGTTCAAGTTTTGTTTTCTCTTTAGCTATATGCTTGTCGATTTCGGATATCTTGGCTATATTATTGATGAGTTCTCCCCGCATTGTTCGCATTGCCTTGTCAAGACC